CTATAAACCATTGGAGTACAGTTGAATTCTTTTTTGCGCAGAATTATCTCAGAAATTTCTCAGATTGATCAAAGACGTTCTTTTGTCCCACTGTTTGGTCAATGAATGGAGGGGTCGGGTCGCCCTTCATTCACCATTAGTACGAACATGATTGGCAATTTGGCAAGCAGACCTTTCGCGTTTTCTTTCCACAAAGGCATGACTTAAAAAGATGAAGGCTCAAACATACAGTTATGGCCATTTATTAGTTATAACTGGTTATAAGTGGGATTATAAATTTTATAAATGGGGTTATAAGCACATAAAACTGGTAAAGGGCCATAACTGTACCAACTTGCAACAATTTCTAGTGCAGATGTTCTTGCCCGCGGTGGCCCTAAGATTTCGCTGTCTGTTTTTTACACCCAGGTTTTTTTTGTGCAATCCTGAGGTAACCGTTAGGTAGAAAAACCACATACTTGTATACCTTATACCGATAAAGAGCTTAGATTTATACTGTTTTTTCGTTTTTATCCGAAGACTTTGCGTGGAAACGACTAGAGATCCTGATGCCGAACTGTTTTTTTTTTTTACCACTGCTTGGTTGAATACGGGATATCGCATCAAATCAATGCTGGGAGACGGGTCAACAAATCAAACCATCTGCTGGTCTGGCAACATTGGATCCATTGAAGCAAAGGATGTGTTATTTAATGTTATTTCGTTTTTTGCACTTCCAGTTTTCGAAAAGAAACATGTGGTATCCAAGATACATGTGGTATCCAAAACATATTTTTGGAAACATGTGGATAACCACTGGACTTTTACAAAAGTCTGAACAGATGGGTATCCAAAAAGTCCAGTGGTTGTTTGGTCTCCATTGAGGTGAACGCTTAAACTGACCAGTCGCAAGGTGTCATGAATGGTTTTACCCGTCCAACTGGAGTGTTTTATACAATATATATATATATATATATACATATATATACATATATATATATACATATATATACATATATATATATACATATATATACATATATATATACATATATATATATATGTGTTTTCTAAAGCAAGCAGTTGTAACAGTTATGGTTGATTGTATCAACAGAAAACCAAATCAGCCATGAATCCTCTTGCTGTTGATGATTAAACGATATCTAAAACATATTGAGACCTGATCGGTATCAGTTCTCTAGTGACTTAAATTCCCCAAGAAAAATGGCTGTCGACAGGAGATTGGTGGCCTTGTTGGTGCGGGTCCTCAGGACCTCCGAAAAAGACAATGATTTTAATGGAAAACATGGAGATTCACCCTGGGATTTTGATGATTTTGTTTGGGGTAGCCTATTTTTTTAACCAAAGCCATAGATCTACCAGAACAGTAGCCTTCAGTATAGGGTCAACAAACCCGGATTTGCTAAAGTTCTGGGCTGTTGATCATTGCGGGAGACCACTTTAGTAGTGGGGAACTGCAACAGATCTTTAATCGACCAAGAGGACCACTAGGCTTATTATGGAATCCACACTACCTTAGACCAACTCCAAGTAGAAGAAAAAGGAGGGGGCTTTAACAAGAATCATCCCCAGTCAAGATGTTTTTCTTTACGGAAGATGTTTATTTGATGGCAGTTTCACGTTTGAGTTGCTCTCAAGAAATCCTGGAAAGATTACACATAGATGTCAGATGTTTTTTGTTTTTCTCCAGCGAAATGGCTTAACCATCTTAAAATAATCCATTGCGCCAACAGGTGTGAACATTTAACATGGTATCTACCAAGCTTCACTGAAATGGGGATGCGATAAAAAACAAACACAACAAACACATTCTGTCAACCTTTTGATTTTCCACATGCATACAGTTATGGTCCTTTGCCAGCTATAAGTACTAACAAAACCCCATTTATGGAATGTATAATCCCATTTAAATAACCAGTTATAACTAATATATGGCCACTTCACTGTAGAATATCCCATGATTATCCCATTATTATCCCATTAACTATAGTTATATAATATATCTACCATAAACCATAGTTACATTACAGAAACTATGGACTAATGTGAAAAAATTCATCGAGGTGCCCGTGTCAAGTTGGTCGTTGGTCATCCATAGTTGACTGTTCGTCTCAGTCCCAGCGCTAGTGATGATAGAACGTATACAACTGTGATCAACTGGGTATAGATACACAGTGATATATATATATATGTATATGTAAGGTGGTGACCCCCAAGCTATTGAGTTTGTTTATGAACTCCAATGATATATCTACCATAAACCCTAGTTGTGTTAGTTTTGATAGCACTTTAGCCAACTATGGGGCACCACCTCACGTATGCAATCATGATTGTGGAAACACAAAATGCTGGGGTCAGAGATGTCTTTGTTTTCCCCAGTGGTTGGTTTATAGATGGGTATTTGTCCCTTTTCCAGCAAAAAGACCCCGTTTTTTTCCCACACCAAACGACCGTTTCTGTTCCCAGTAACCTCTGCTAAACTAACAGTTTGCTATTGAACATGGCCATTTAGTTCGTTGATTTACCTATGAAAAATTGTGATTTTCCATAGCCATGTTAGTTTACCAGAGGGTATATGTTTGTAAGGTTATTCCATGTTATTCCTAGTAACAGCTGTATCTCCCCTATTCCTATTCCGAATATTCCCATGATATGCCTACAAGATGGTGCCCCGGTGAACCATAAATACATCTACCATAAACATATGAACGCTAGTGAAATGTTATCCCTGGCCATCTCAGGAACCTAAATTGGAGGTACCTACCATATATAAGGCCTATGTAATGGCTAAATTTCAGGGAATATCCCCACAAAATATGGCCTTATATGGTACAGTACCTCCATTTTAGGATCCTGAAATTCCCATTGATGTTAGTTATGTTCACCAACCTAGCTATCCTAGTTGTAATGGACCACCTTACATAAACTCTGTAAATTGTGGTTATATTCCATAATTATACCAAGAATATACCATTGTCTATTATCCCATGTGTATCCCATTATTCTCATGTGTATCCCATTATCCCCATGATTATCCCATTATTATCTCATTAATATCCCATTATATAATACAGCCCCTTCCTTACCAGTTATAAGATGTTATAAGTACTTATAACCTTATTTATGGAATGTATAGTCCCATTGAAATATCCAGTTATAGCTAATAAATGGCCATTTCACTGTATGAAACTAGTCCATTGAATAGCCATCGAAGCCATCCATCCTAGCCATCCTCAAAGTCGAGGTGTGGGCGGCCTGGGGGGCATCATGACATTCTTTATGAAGGATGAGGCTGTTGCGGGTGGGCAGAAGTTTACCAGGTGGTGCCCTGTAGTTAGCTAAGTTGGTAATATCTAGGGTTTATGGTGATATATCGAACTGGTTACCATGGTTTATAAACCAACTAATAACTGGGGGGGCACCACCTTGTATGTTAACCAACGAGAGCGGTGATTGAAGCAACAAAAAGACGGTTTTCATGGGAAGATCATGATTTACAATGGGAATTTATGATGGTTTGTGGTTATTTATAGTGATTTACCCCAGGGTAAACATACACAAAACTGGAAATCTATGGTTTCCCTTGGAAAATGATCTACAAGGTGGTGCCCCAGCAAAGTTGGTTAACTCTGGGGGAACTACAGGATGTGGCCCAAAAAAGATAGCGTGAACCGTTGCCGAACATGGTGAAGTGGCTGAATTCTATGGTTTATGGTAGATATAAGTATGGTATTCATGGGGTGAAACCAAACCAACAAACATAACTGGAGGGCACCATCCTGTAATAACTATATATAGATACTCGTATTAGATATATCTACCATAAACCCAAGTTATCGGAGCTATAAACTAACTTAGCCAACAGACTGAGGCACCACCTTGTATCTAAACTCACACCTTTAGGGAGAGATGAGAGGATAGCCATTGTCGGAGTTGGAGATTGAAGGTCGAGCAGAGACGGTCTAAATTGGATAAATCTTGGCTCCATAAATGAAGATACTCTCCGGCAATCAAACATGACAATTGACAATTGGGAAGACCACCTAGAAATTCAGGTTTTTATGGGAAAATCATGGGGGAAACCCTCTATATATCTCAGCTTTTAATGGGAAAACCATGGGAAAACCCTCTATAAATGGAGTTTTTTTCATTGGAAAATCAATAATGCAAGATGTTCCAGTAAGCCACGAAAAACTACCAGAGGCTCCCACAATATTACCATCCTTTAATAACCCATATGATATTCCCATATTCTCCGAAATATTATGTGTACATTCTCAGAAATATAATATTAATATCCCATACATATGAGTATATCCCATATGATATTCCCATATTAACATATATTAACATTTATTGACTACAGAAATGTACGACGAGGGTATCTTGTAAACATGTCTTTCTGCAGGGTATCTTTTTGATGGGCCATTTCTGCAGGGAATCTCGAAAAAGTTGCTGCCTTTTCTGGGCCTTTACGTCCGCAAAATGGGATCAACTTTTCTCCTTAAGAAGAAGCGAGTACTAAAATCGACAGATCTATGATACCATTACATTGTCTTCCTAAAATCAACTTAAAGTAGCAATGTTAGGTACCCAACAAAAATCCTAGTTTTACCATAATTTTAGCAATGTTAGGTACCAAAAAAAACAGTGTTTACCAACATTTTCATACTAAAACTCTGTGGCACTCTGTGGTGCAGCCCTGGTCCCAAATCACTGTGCCCGATGATGACTCGCCTGGCAGGATATCATCAAGGAGACCAAGCAGAAGGCGAAAAGAACATAGGGAGATTGAAAAACAAAATCTTGGAACCAAGGAACATACAGTGATAACTGGTTATTTCAGTGGGATTATACATTCCACACATGGGGTTTGGTTAGTACTTATAACTTGTATTGCGGGCCATAGCTGTACTGGTTTAACCAAAAAAAATAGAGGGGTATCCAGTGATTAGCAGGAATAATAGATTCTGTTAACATGAATATCCAATAATAAGACACCGTTGGTTTTGAAACTCCACTATATATATATATACATATTACTATTATTATATATTATAAATTACTAGTATTACTATTATTAAGTATTAATTATTATTATTGCCATAAAGCCTAGCTAACCTAGTTATAGGCCAACTTGGCTATGGGGGACCATGGGGGACCACCTTGTACCAGGTGACGTTCATGTGAGCCACTAAAGTCAGTGGTTTAGCCATTCAAAAATAGGGGCTTTGACTATCACATATGGGGTTTGAATCATCACATGGGGATAGACTTGATAAATGAGTTGATTGGTTATCTAGTGGGCATGTCATCATGATTTACAGAGATGTTGAGCATCAAAAATATGGAGATATAGTTGATAGATGGGTTGATTGGTTAATATAGGGTTTGTGAACCTAACTGGTTAATGCAGGAGTTTACCATCCAGTATTTGATGGGATATGAACCGTATGAACTATGCCATAATACCTCTTTCATTCATCAAGCTAACAATTCACCAAGTTATGCACTAGTATGATTTCATGATCAATTCAATTGTTTTTCAAAAGTCCCCATATTCATCAGTTTTCACTAAACCATCTTTTCATTTCTTTTCCTGTTTTTCTTTGAATAATTCTTACTGGTGCGTTTTACGCAGGGAATTTTCGGGAATGATCCATTTCATCACTATCAATAATAATCCCAGCAACCCCCAGCAACCCATCCAGCAACCCTACGTTTAGCACCAGTAAGAATTTGTTGGTGAAATCCCCGTTGTGACCTGGCGTTTTTCGATGGTGTGCAGGTCACAGCCAGGCGATGACCGAGAACGTTTACGCGTCTTCGTAGCCGACCGAGAACCAAAGGTTAGCGTCTGCGGCTGAGCGAGAAATAGGGCTAGTCATTCAGAAGGCATTAGATAGATCGAAATAGTCAATGACAGTGCTTATAAATGGTGGGTATGATAAATAGTGATTTATAGTCGTTAATAGTCATCAATGAACAATGATTTAATGGTGATTCATAGTCATTGACAGTGATTAATAGTGATTTAGGGTGATTCATATGGGAATCTAACAAACCAACATGGGAATCCAGCAAGCCCCAAAAAAGAGTGCCGGAAGTTGGACAAGGGGTGAAACCTGCAGACAAAACCATGGCGAATTTGCTCGTAAAAAGCCATGCTTTCTGATTAAGATTTGTCTTAAACCAATCCATTGATCCATAGGTTGCCCGCAATGTTTGTTGGTTTTCCCATGTTTTCCCGGTGGGTTTTCCCGGTGGAAATGTTGGTTTTCCCATAGGTTCAACCACTAATATGGATGCCGACCCAACCGGCATCCTGTTGTGAACTGATTTGCCAAGAGGATGTTGACCACGCAGGAATTGTGGTTTACAAGCCATATATAACCCATTATACAATCTAACTGGGGATGGTTCAACATATAACTCTGGCTTGTTTCGCCATGAATAACTAAGTGGGATACACCTCCAAATATATCAAAGATGAAGCCAGCACCCTCGCTGCATCCGCTGTACACCAACTATTTAAGCCCCGCAGAGCCCAACAAAAAAACGGCGACGCAGCGTAACGGACCGCAGAGTCGGGCAGAGTGTCTCTTTTAACCTCGGGGGACGAACCGTGACGTGACACGTGATCACGTGACGTGACGTGGCGTCCCAGTTTTTTTCGTTATATCCCCTGGTAAAGTAACAGTTCGCCATGGTATAGATGGCCCATAGAAATAGATGGTTTACCTATGTTTACCTATTAAAAATTGCGATTTTCCATTTATAGATGGTATCCTCTGGTAAACAGCCACGTAACTATGGAAAGATCCACCATGCTATTAATGGGTAAATCCACTATTTCTATGGCCATTTTCAATAGCAAACTGTTAGTTTACCAGAGGGTAAATTAACATAGACCCTGAAAATCACCAATGTTTAATGGAAATGAATCTTCCAACCCCTATCTGCCAGGGTCTATGTTAATATACCAGAGGGTAAGTTATAAGTTGGTTTATGTGAAAAAGTGTAGATTCTAGCCCTGAAAAAACGGAAACACAATGTTTGTTGAATTTTGAAAGCATCAGAAGCCTATGTTGGCCTACATTGCACTGTATTCTCATGCTGGTTGGTGACAAAAACTTATGCCATTGATCAATCATAGGTGATTCAATGATCATAGTCAAACAGTCACCATCATATCCTATAATATTCATATTATATGGATTGTTTTTTTTTTAATGGTTTCCCCATTTTTTCCTGAAACAAAGCCACAACCACAACCAGCAACTTGTGGGGTTCCCCCGTAGTTGGTCCGCGCTGTGCCGGCCTTTTGGCGTGCGGTGGCGAAACAACGACACGACTTGTTACTGCGCAGCACCTGATGCCACCCGAGTTGTGCTCGAAAAGCATAGGTTGAATAACGTGAGATGTCACAGGCTGCTCATGTTAATGGAATAATCATGATAGGATATGATGGGATAATAAATGAATAATAAGGGAATAATGAGATAAGAATGGAATCATAATGGGATAATGAAATTATACCAGAATAATAATGGAATAATAATGGGAATATGATGGATTAACCACATAATCAATAGGGATTTACAGGGATTTAATTGTGAAGCACAATAGGATATTAATGGGAGTTACTCTCCAGCAATCTAACGTGGCTTGCTGGGAAGTCTCCCATAAACAAAGGTTGGAATGGGATTATCATCTTAAGTTATACTACCTGTTTTATCGGGATTGTGATAACCCATAGTACGGAAAGCTACCAACCAACTAGCATGATGAGATGGGATAGAGGTGATTTTGATGGCTCAAATGGCAATAACATGAAAATATCGTATGGGAATATGATATGGGATGTAATAAAAAATATTGTGGGATGTTCCCTCTGGTGTCCTCAAACATAATGGGAAAATAGCTGGGAAAATCATGTTAGAAGTCGGAGTATCACCTTACTTATATAATCTTATATAATCAATTGGATAGTTCACTATTTGAGCAAGATGTGTGGAATATCTTTGGGGCGTCTTAGAAAATCCAAGGGAAAAGTATGTTTTATCTAGTTGGGGAACTAACATGGCTATGGAAAATGTTTATTTTTAATAGGTAAATCAGCTACAAATGGGCCATGTCCAACAGCCATGTTAGTCTATTGGATGATGTATATATATATAATTACATATATATATATAACATGGCTTGCTGGAAAATCTACAATTTAGTTCGATGATTTTCTCAGCTAGAAACCTCCATCGCTGAGATGTTCCAGCAGCCATGTTTGATTACCGTTTCGGGTATACTTGTACCACTTACTACCCCGATAAAACCCTTTAAACAAATCCCCTTGGTGGCATCCCTACTCGTATCAATTTAAGTGTCGCTTGTGGTTTGATCCCTTTAAAACCCATCTACCCTCTGGTAAACTAACATAGCTATGGAAAATCACCATTTTTAATGGGAAAATCCACTATTTCTATGGCCATGTTCAATAGCTACGTTAAATTACCAGAGGGTAAATCCCCATTTTTTCTTGGAATCCATAAGGTGGGGCCCCTGGGCCGCAATTCCACCTAGACTGGAGCCTTTCTGAAAGGGGCTCCGGGGGGGCGGCATGGGGCGGCATCAGTTGACGTAACCAATCCGTTTAGCTTCCACGTGCTTCCAACATGACCCTGGTGGGCAGCGGGACAGGTAGGTTAGATTAGGTTAGTACCTGTAGAACTATGTTGATCTGAATCTTTTGAAGCACCAAAAAGATAGAACATGTAATTTCCGGTCCTTTTTTTGCAACAACAGATGGTTTCATGGGGTTTATAAACCATCTAACATCACTGGGGGCCCCCACATTGTAAGAGTTTTGGGATGCTACAGTTGTGGGGGCCCCCGTTCGTTGTTGCGTAGGTCGTTGGTTTAGAAAGTGGCTGAAGTCTATGGTTTATGGTAGATGTAACAATAGTTCCTGGGGTTTATAAATCAACTTACAACTGGTTATTTCCATGGAAATATACATTCCATAAATGGGGTTATACGTACTTATAACTGGTATAGGGCCATAACTGTAGGCTCAACTAGGCAGCCGGGGAGATCAGCAAAATGAAAAAGTGTAGTTTTTTAAAATGGGCAATCAGGATGATTTTGTGACAAAATCTGTGGGGTTTCTCAGTGTTTGGTTTTCTAGAGCTTGCTGAGGTTGGTGCAGACTAGATGTTGTTTCCTGGGTTGAACAAGTTATGCAATTTGGTACAAAGTGGGGCCCCCAAACGATAGCTAAGTTGGTGCAAATAACTCCAATAACTATGGTTTATGGTACCTATAACTATAGTTAATGGGGTTTATAAACCATCTTATAACTGGGGGGCCCCACATTGTAATCTTAATGGTCTATATTGAGAATCATCCCATTCCCCCTACGTCCTACGTTTAGCTCCAGTCATTTGGAGTCACGCATCGAGAAAAAACATCTTTTTTCAAGCGCCACGTGCGCGATCGATGGCATGTTTCGTGCCGTCGACGTGTGGAGTGTGGACATGCCAAGGGATAGGCACGTCATCCTCGGACCAAAAAGGAAGGCGCAGCATCTGACCCTCAGCTGTAAGGTGCTCCATGCTTAGCTAAGGTGCTAAGTTCAACTTGGTGAACCAGGGTTTATTGGGGATATAACATTACATACCTTTACTTAATCTAATTTGTAAACCAACTTATAGCTGAGGGCTCCACCCTGCCCATCAAAGATGGTGGTTTAACCAAGCCACAAATTACTGGACGTAGCAATGCGAGTATAGATGTACTGGATGAACCTTGATGAAGTATTCAATACCCCGGCTGGTTGATGATTATGGGGTTACCCTCTGGTAATTTGTTGCATAGCTATTGAACATGGCACATAGAAATAGTTGATTTACCTATTAAAGATGGTGATTTTCCATAGCTATGTTCTATGTTAGTTTACCAGAGGGTAAAGTTATACTATTCAATGGGGGATTGTCAGGATCGATGGGTAATCCAAAAAAAAGTCAGCCACTATAGGGACGACAGAGGTTTTTGGAACACTGCTCATGTGGCAAGAACATTCTCAGTGTGTTTGCAGGGCTGTTTGAAGCAAGTTTCGAGTGCCATGACAGGTCTAGTTGCCTACATGATTTCCTGAATCCGGGGTAAACCCATTAGCGTTTCCATTAGCGTTTGGTTGCAAAGTAGTTACCTTTCCAACATTGGAAATCACGAATTGCCACATCTTTGGTCCTTTAACTAGCCTCTGGTAAACCAATACAGTTTCAGAAAATCACTGTTTTGACATGATTTGAATAGGTCAATCATCGAACTAAACGGTCCATTTTCCATAGCTATGTTGGTTTACTGGAGGGTGCAAGGTGGTGCTCCCAGTTATAAGTTGATTTACAACATATAGGATATATATGGATATATATATATATGAATATATATGATATATGTATCATAAAACCCAAACGTTCTCGGAGTTCTTTTCGAAAACCAGGTTAGCTAACTGGGGCACCACCACGTAACTTGCACCTGGATGACGTTTCGGCGGTTTCCGTGGGATGATTTGTGGGATGAATTGCCATCGCCATCTGATAGGTGGTGACTGGAACAAAAAACTATGGAAAATCAACTATTAAGTATTAAAAATGGTGATTTTCAATCTATTAAAAATGGTGATTAACTATTAACTACTGAAAATGGCCCAGTCGAAATAGTTGGTGGTGACTAGAAAATCACCTTTTTGTAGTTGGATGAATCAACTATTTCGACTGGGCCATTTTCAATAGTGATTAACAGTGGTTAATGGTATTGATGGGAATATATTAATAGTCTGGTTGGTGGTTAGGAAATGTTTGGAACCATGGATTTTTTTCCCATTCAGTTGGGAATGTCATCATCCCAACTGACTTTCACTCCATGATTTTTCAGAGGGCTAGGTATACCACCAACCAGATTATTATTAACAATCATTAACCATACAATAACCATATAGTAACCATTATTAACAGTACATTAACAGTAAATTAACATGTTATTATCCATATTCTTACTGAGTAGGGAATTAAGGAATGGGATGATTCATAGTTATGGATTGGATCATTCCATCATTCCCCCAGGGACCCTACGGTACTTGCACCAGCATTCCGTATTTCTTTACAAAGTCAAACATGGAAAATCAGCGACATAAATGGGCCATCAAAAAACCATAGCAAACTGTCAAATTACCTGAGGCTACACCAAATCATTATGTGATTTTGGGGATATCAGTTAATCAGGACCATTTAATAGGAAGGACACACTTCTCGTGGGTTTTGGTTGGCTCAAGGCGACAAATCTATGGCAGAACAAACCAGAAAACGTGAAAACGCGAAGCTGATTCCATGCTGGGTGCGGCTTTGAAACTGAAATATGCACAACGCTTGTGGCATCAAAAGCCCAAGAACTTGGAGGGACCCAAGGGACCAATCCATGGCGGCCTGAGAAGGCATGACCCAACATGAATGACATGGGTTTAGGGTGCTGAAAGATGTGGGAGAAAAGTGGCTGTGCAAATGAGAAAAACACAGAAAACAAGTTACATCTTCATTGAATGTTGGAAAAATCAACAAACATTGCATGCAATTGCATGCCTGGTAGTTCAAAGTGACCATGATTTGGGGCTGGAAATGAAGATTTTGAGTTTTTTATTTTCTGGTTGTGATGACCTCAAAGTGATTGGCTCGCCAGTGAATCCCCTCCAGCGATCATAAAGAACCTGGAACTGGATTTGTTCATGTTGGTTTATAGGATTCTTTATTGGCTTCGCATGGGTCAGCCTTTTGATGGCTACTTTGATACTTCAACTTTGCCGGAATTTGCCATAGCCAGAATAGCTGCTATGCCGCAACCTGTTAAATGTCTGACATATGGGTGTGTCTGAAAATAGCGTACCCCTAAACCCAATGGTTTTGCTGATCATTATCCCTATTAAATGGCTATTTCATTGGGAATATACCCTATTTTCAGACAAACCCATATCAATAACATTATGTAACTACGCTGCCTCGGCAGCCAAGTTGGATGGATCCCTTTGGCCGCTCCGTTGCCTCCGCAGAAGCCATGTCCGAGGAGCCGGGGCTGAAACGGCCGAAGCACAGCTTTTTTGGGGCAGATGGGGATCAACAAAGCAGCAAGTTACCCTCTGGTAATTTAACATAGCTATTGAAAATCACCATGTTTCATGGGAAAATCCACTACAAATGGTCATTTTCAATAGCCATGTTAGTTTACCAGAGGGTATGATTCTCATTGAATAGAAACCATCAATAAGAATCAATAAGATATGGTGGATGTTGCGAAAAGTGAAGAAATCCTGCACCACCTATTTGGGATGGTTGAATCCCTATCAATAATGGGATGTATACCACCTATCAACTGGTTAAGGAATTCTTCCATCGTATTACATGATATTACTAGAACGATTGACATCATCAATGTCCTCAGCATCATCATGATCCAGGATTGATTATATGTGAATAGCCAATTATTTTTTGGATTGTGTTGTGCCAAGACCATATAGATTTCATGTATATCGTGTACTGTATACACGTACACATCGAAATATCTTGTACATAATACCAGAATCTACCATCTATATGTCGACATACATGGCTGGGTATAATACATATCATGTACATAGGTACCCTCTGGTAAACTAACATAGCTATGGAAATTCACCATCTTCAATAGGTAAATAAACTATTTCTATGGACCATTTACAATAGCTATGTAACAAATTACCAGAGGGTACTCAATCTCCAGTTTCCCCATGAAAACCACTCCGGCTGTTCATCCCGTTTGGCGTTTCGAGATGTTTCGAGGAGTCGAAGAGGGGGTACAGGATGGTGCCCCCCAGTGATGTTTGATGGTTTATAAACCCCATGAATACTATAGTTATAGGTAGCATAAATCATAGTTATTGGAGTTATTTGCACCAACTGAACGCTATCGTTTGGGGGCCCCACTTTGTACAGGATGGTGCCCCCAAACGTGATGTGAATTAGTTGGTTTACAAAGCCCATGAATACTAGTTCGTTATATCTACCATAAACCATAGAATTCAGCCACTTATAAGGCAACTTGGCTATCTTTTTGGGCCCCATCCTGTACCCACCAAAAAAGATCGAGTTTCAGGTTGAATTCAAGCAGCAAAAATGTCGATATGACCCATACAACCATAAATGAACTTATTGTAATTTGAGCTCACCATAAATAGAAGAATTTGTTGAAACTCATCGATTTTTTGAGTTCAATATCTTTATGATATTAATATATCCATCAAGTCGTTAAAATATGAAATATCCATATGTATGCATATCCACATGTATGCATATAAAATGTATACATAATATATATATATATTATATGTGTGTGTGTGTGTCATGCAAAAAATATTAATTTAATTACGACGTCACTGGAATGATGGCTAGCAGAGGTAACTATCCCAAAATGGTCTTATTTCAGGTTAGTGAATTATATTTCAGCCAGATAATATACATATATTATATACCTCATGAAAAATATAGTTATTTGCGTATCATAAACCATAGTTATTGGAGTTTTGTTCACAAACTGAACGCTATCGTAAACGGGGGCCCCACTTTGTATATACATGAATATCCATCCGCCACATTCAACCTGTCCAAATATCCCAGGGACTTGGTACATTCAAAAATGCCTTTGTTCAGTCCATTGCAGTTGGTTTTTGCCAGATGTAAGGTCGTTCAAAGCCAATGAAAATGGGTTAATATCATGGAAATACTTTTAGACTACAGTATATGATATAATGGCATATATCATTGAACCAGTACTGTTAATAGTGTATATAATAGGGATCTATTGGGGATATATATATTATATATATATATTATATACATATATATGTTGGGGTTTCCATAAATGCGGGTACCCCAATAGCTGGATGGTTTATAAAGGAGAAACCCTATAAAAATGGATGATTTTGGGATACGCCTATTTCAGGAAACCTCCATATATCTACCAGAAACTCTATTTACATTATGGTTCACCAACTTAGCTCTCATAAATCAATTATAATTCCCACTGAAAATCCTCATTTTTTCTGGGTTAGATCGTCATTTTCCGTCATTTGGGAGATGTTGAGATGGGGAGTCCCTCAGCGGCGCAGGCAGCGAGGCTCTACAGTTGCGCTGGCTGTCGGTGCAGAGAGGCGCGGGCAGAGTGAGTGGACCACCGCTTCAAGGGGGATCCCTGGAGGGTTCGGCAGATTTTAACCATCAACAATGGGGATTTAATGGGATTTAATGGGATTTAATGGGATTTAATGGGATTTGAAGATAAGATTCATGGATTGAACTAGCTATCAACAGCTTCAAGTCATATTCAACTTGTTTATTTTGTGGTTATAGTATATGTTATAGTCATATTTGATCATAAGTACAGTTATGGCCCAAAAAAGAGTTATTGCCATGGGATGAAACAACTTCTGCAACCAAGGTGAAACATATCACTTCAATGAAATTATAAGCCAGTTAGAACTGTTAAGTGCTATAACTGTATAGGTTGTAATGGGTATAAGATGGTTTTCCCTAGTTATAAGTTGGTTTACCACCTCGGCTAACTATAAATATATCTACCTTAAACCCTAGCCCTAGTTAACCTAGTGATAAACTAACTCAGCAATCTATGCGGCCCCCACATTGTATAGATGGTTAATGATGGTTGTAAATGATAAAAAAAGTTGTAAATAGCAGTCAAAGTGGTCGACTTGAACTTTGTTTTGAGTATCCGGATGAAAGACTGTTAATCAACCACCACATAGTTCCGATTTTTTGAAATTGTTTTTTAATACATATATATATATATATGTGTAAATCGCTAGAAATGGTTGTAAATGTTTTGAATGGTTGTAAATGATTTGAGTGGTTGTACTGCAATACTTATGGAAACTCAAGATGTTCAGGGTTGCTCCAACTAATAGACAACCATTAGAGGTTACTTGGTGATTTGACATGTGTTATTTACTTTTTTTTGTTGGGAGCAAACTGAACTTTCGGTAATCAAAATTTCCAGGCTAAATTATATGATCTAGATTCATGTGCTCTATTGGTTTATGATCCAGTCACGCAGTAGATGGCCAGTGGGTCGATTTCGCCATGATGGGATGACTATCATCGCCATGCCGGGACCTGGTCAAACGGTCGTGTCGACCTCGCCAATGACGTCGTTCCGCGAGTTTTTTTTTCGCTGACATTTTTAGTCAACTGCTATGAGCGGCAAGTTTTTGGATTATGGGGTGCCTCCAAAAATTGGCTGTGCATCAAGTTGGCGACCGTGACCGAATTACGACCGAGCGTGAAGTCTTCATCGACGGCGGAATGAAGGCGCAGCACGAGAAACCGTCAAGGAAGACATGCAAAAGTTGATTGAGAAAGCTACAATGAAGGGCCCCTTACATATAAGTCAAGTTATAAATAGGGGTAAGATAAGTTATAAGTGGGACAACTTATGTAATAACTTTGTTAACTGCATTAGAAGTTATATCTCAGATAGCTACTTATAATCTAAGTTAGTGTCATGTTGGGGCAAAATTATACATATAACTTTTGAAAAATGTGAAAACTGATGAAGAAGCTCGCAAGGTAACTGTTTATTTGTTGTGTTTGTTGCCGAAACCGATGTGTTGTTCATCGGCCAGATCCTCATTCTGAGGTGCGGCTGAATCCCACCATGATTTCGCTTGTCATCTGATTGCTTGTCATCGAGCTATATGAATCCAATCAAATACCTGGTTGGCAATCAGATTGCTGCATGCCTGATTTTCCAATATTTGCATGTATTTTGCCATGCTACATCACAATAAATCAATGGATACATCTGCTTTATTTCCCTCCTCTTTAGTTGTTGTTGTTTAAAAAAAAAAATAGATTCAATCAACCCGTTTCACTTGTCCAAACTTCAAGCATGAACATTTGATATGGCAGTGTGTCAAAACCTTGTACCCCTGGTGAACATCAAAATAGCTGGTAAATGGATGTTCATCCCATTAGAATTGATAATAATAGGTTTTGACCCACCCCCATATAACAACTTGACCTTTTTAAAGTCAACCCACTCAACATCAACACATAGTAACTCGCTTTCAGAGGGTGGGTCAAAGCCAGGTGCAGCTTCGAAGCTTCCGAGCAGCGAGGCCTCCACCAGTGCCAGGCACAGCAAAGTCATGGATGGTCATTGCGAGTCATGTTGGAGTTTGGGTGGAAAATAGCATCCATATGATAGCTATTGAAAATGTCCATTTATAGTGAGTTTTCCCATTAAAAATGATGATTTTCCATAGTCATGTTAGTTTACCAAACACCGTGATGTTAGTCAATATGTTAGTATATGACCATATTATATCATATTATATCCATATTTAACATAATGTTAGTAAATAACATGATGGTATAGTACATAACCATATTAACATTATTAAAAACTTGATGGAAATTTGCATAGCATTAGTAAAGCAATAATGTAAGCCATATAAATTGGTGGTTTATAGCACCCAATAAAATGGTGAATTTTGATTTGGTGATCGTTTCCTATTGCTTCACTAATATCTTTAAACAAATGAAGATATGGCTTCTTAGGATCCCCAAAACCATAGGTTTTGATACTAAAACTGTTTAATTTTGAACGAATTGGGTGTACACCCCTGTTTGAGGAAACCTCCATATCATTGCATATATGGGCGGGTTCCATAAATGGAGGATCCCCGTGTTTATGAAAGAGGGTTACCCCCATTTTTGGAAACCTAAAAGAAGAAGCAATCAAATTGTTACTCACCGGGTACTGGGATTATAATCATGGGATAACCCTACAATGTGGGGCCCCCGTTTACGATAACGTTCAGTTGGTGCGTTTATAACTCCAATTTCACTATGGTTTATGATACGCAAATAACGAACTAGTATTCTAATGGGGTTTATAAACCAACATTCACATAACGTTTGGGGGCCCCACATTATAGAATATGGTTTTTCCATAAATCACTGTTGTTGGTGCTTAATCCATGATATTCCCATCATATTCCCATGATTATCCCATGAATGACTACAGTTATGGCCCTTTACAAAATATAAGTACTAACAAGTCACCCCATTTATGGTTCATGTATAATCCCATTGAAATAACCATATATAACCATTTATAACCAGTTATAATTATAACATTTTCTAACCATATATATATAACCACTTATATTTACCATAGAATATTAACCATTTATATCCATAACTTATAACCATTATATATATTATAACCATATAATATATATATATAGCCATATATAGCCATTTATAACCAGTTAAAATAACCGTTTCTAACCATTTAAAACCATTTTAAAATATGTTTTAACCATTTTTCATCAGGTTAGAAAAACGTTACTGACTCCATGGGATGATCCAACCATCCCATCCCGATCTGAAGTCTCTGCGTCCTCGGCCATGGCTACTCAAAATGATATGGAAATAGTCTATTAAATGGATAATATAACTATAAATAACTATAACTATAAATAACTATAAATAACTATAAATAACTATTAATGATAATTTTTATTTACAGTAAATGGAATGAGTGAATTTTCCATAACTATTCCTATTTCATATGGGATATGAAAAATGGAATGAGTGATAATGTGATAGTGACTTAATATTTACTTCAAAATTCATATCCCATATTAAGTCACTATTCACTATTCACTTTCTATTAAATGGGAATATGGGGTTTTATGGATATGAATAGTCATGGAAAATGGGATTGAAGTTTTTGAAAACCCCATAAATTGGTTCATGTATAATCCCATAGAAACAACAAGTTAGAAGCAATAAATGGCCATAATTGCAGTTGATGTTAGGGATGTGAACGACTAAGCAATAGGACAGTGTTTCCACAATGGCAACATAGCCTGAAGACATCTTGAGACCATGCGCTGCAAATGGGGCTTTTTAATTGACTATCACTATGGGGTATGCCGAAAAATCGAGACCGCCATCACAAATCCCAGGGTGTTCTGAACTGTAGCCGGTAAATTATTGTCACATGGTGAGGAAATTGATGACTTTATCCCTCAACTTCCCCTATGTTTTCCCTGGTAACAGGGGTGTTTGGGAACCTGTCCATATTTTTCCTCCAGTATACCTTTGGATATAGAAACGGGACATGAAAAATCCGAACGGTGTGCATTCAAACTCCCATTGATGGATGATTTTCTCATTGAAGCAAACATTTATCTATGTCATGTTTGCATATGTTTTCGTAAAATAACCCACAGTTGTCCGTTTGTTTGCCAGCATAACCCATAATTCATAGATGGTTTTCTGGTTGAATGATTTGGAACATCAATTTTATGTTTTCCATATATTGGGAATAGTCATTCCAACTGACTTTCATATTTTTCAGAGGGGCTTCTGAAACAACCATTTCAATCAGTGATTTCCTTGACTTGCTCAGGCATCCTGGGCATCGTAAGTGGACCAAAATCCGAGAAAATACAGCACTTATGGCTTATATACGAGTTATATATATATATATAGACATACTGTATATAAATATATATAATATACAGTATATATGTACAGTGTATATATATATATACACCGTGTATATATATATATACGGTATGTAGTATATATATATATAATGTGTATATATATATAATTAGTTAGATGTATACACAGTATGTATCTACATATATATACAGACAGTATTCTATATGTATATATATATGTGTTTTTTATATAATTACAGTATATATACAGTATGTATACAGTATATATACAGTATATATACAGTATATATACAGTATATATACAGTATATATATACAGTATATATATACAGTATATATACAGTATATATATACTGTATATATATGTACAGTATATATATATATGCAGTATATTTATATATATATGCAGTATATACATATATATATATATAGCTCAGTTGATTCATAACTGGGTTGACTGGTTTATGCTAGATAAATCTAGAGTTAATGTTTTTGTTTTTAATAAACCAACCTTGAACTTGGGGGCTCCACCTCGTATCTTTGCTGGTTGATGTTCACCCATTAAACTGCAGATCATGTAGATACTTAGACCATTAAACTTGGTAAAAGTCCCAACGTCTATGTACTAAGAAAACCCCGTTTATGGTTCATGTCTAATCCCATCGAAAGAACTGGTTATTGCTACGTAATTATTTTATGGCCATAAGTGCAATATCACGTTGGGGTTATAAATGGGTTTATATACCATAAATGGAGTTATAACTGACTTAAAACTGGTAAAGGATCATAACTGTGGGTACATTGCCCCATTTTTCCCGGTACTGGGTCTACGTCCAGGACGTGGCCGGCAGCTTCCGTGATGACCGAGCCGCTCTCTTCGATAGGCGGACCTGGATGCTGGGAACGTGTCGGACAAGAAACCGTGAGATCAGAAGATATTTTACTATATGGGAAAATATGAGATTATGTGGGAAAATGATAGGAGATGATATGAGATTATATGTGACAATATTGGGAACATGATGATATTATACGGTGAGGTCAGATCTATATGGGAAACTATGGGATTATATTTGATAATATTTGGGAGAATGTGGGAGAATATGCGAATACAATAGGGAAAATGATAGGATTATGGTAGTATAATTGGGATTTACCACTGAAAATTGCTGTGATAGCAACCAATTTAAACAATTACATTTTGGGATATCACGCACGGATATTTAACATACAATATTGCAAAAATCATGTTCAATATGATATTAGGTTTGTCTCAAACTTGGGACATTCCCCAAGATTGATATTTTAATTGGGAACAGATACGATGAAACATGGGGGTAGCCTATTTCCAGACGAACTCATTTTATTTTAAATACCAACCCTCCAAAAAAAAGGACAAGTTAAATCCTACCAAAAAAAGTGACCAAGTGTTTTTTGATCTCTTTAGGGGGTTGTGCTACATCCAGAAATGGAGATTGAACCAATGGTTTGTTTCTTCAACAGACAGCTGGCTGGATTTGAAGAATGGTGGTCCAATGGAAGCGGGGGGTTTCAACCAACAATAGCCAGGTATCTAACCATATATAAGGCTGGTTGGTTTGGAACATGTGTTATTTTTCCATATATTGGGAATTTCATCATCCCAACTGACCTTCATATTTTGCAGAGGGGTAGGTATGCCACCAACCAGAAGGCCTTTGTTTTAGGGCGATGTAAGGAATTATCCCCGCAAAATAGGATGTGTTCCACATGACAAATCTCGCAGGTCGTGCATGCTTACCTGGCTATGGCACCAGTCGCAAAGCCGTGGAAGCCGGGCACAAGTTGAAACGAGGCGTGGTGGCAGAAGGGCTTGGGAACGGGTTAAAACTACAGTTAAGGCCCTTTACCAGTTATACATAGTTGCAAATGGTTAGTTATAAATGGTTAAACCATATTTTAAAATTGTTTTAAATGGTTAGAAAAGGTTATGATTATAACTGGTTAAAAATGGTTATACATGGTTATATATATATATATTGGTTATTTCAATTGGATTATACATGAACCATAAATGGGGTGACTTGTTAGTACTTATATGTTGTAAAGGGCCATAACTGTAGTCATTCATGGGATAATCATGGGAATATGATGGGAATATCATGGAACCACCAACAATAGTGATTTATGGGAATATAATTGGGGATAATAATGGGATGATGATGGGATATTCCCTATAGAGTCCGCAAACAATAGGGATCTAAAGGGATTTATACGGATTTAACGGTAAACAATACGGAATTAGAGGAATAACAATGGGATCATTAAAGACACCTCTGGTTTAATCCTCTGGTAATAACCATGGATTAAGGCCAATAATGGTATTTTAATGGGATAAAAAATGATTTATCCTCCGGTCAGACGTGGCCATGGGAAATCTACATATGGAGGTTTGAACTGGTAAAAAGCATGGAACAAAATGGGGAATTGTCCAGCAAACAATGTTTGATTACTATGATTACTGTAGGTTTTGAGAATATCAGTGGATATTATGATGATATAAATTGATTGGAACCACAAAAAATAACCACAGGGAGGTTGAAGAGTCAGCTCTGCCTCTAAAGACAAAGCCACAGCCATGGAGGGTTCGATAGTGACGGGACCGCCTACAGCTGCCCTTGATGGAACCCTAACTCTTCCTATAGCACAGTTCTTTGGGTTCAACTGTCCGTTCTGGGTGAAGATTGCTTCCAGCAAGAATAACGGTGGGTTTTTGACCAGTAATCACAATGCTTTAAGCCACAATAGATGGACATTTTGGTGGGATGATGGGATACGAATCCCGGAAACACACTTGGAAACCCAACAAATCAGTTTCGGGACATGGTTCTGAACGAAGACACTTCTGTGATCCAGCGTTTGTTTTGGTTCGCAAGTGGTGAAAATCCTCGACTGAATGTAAGAATCCTGCTGGGTGATGGTGCCCTATAGTTAGCTAAGTTTGTTTTTCAGTGGGTTACCAGGGTTTATGGTAGATGTAATATTTCTATTTAATACAGTTGATTGAGCATGTATACCAACTCATAACATGGTGCACTACCTTGTAGGGGACTTGTTAACCATAGTTACTAACAAGCTCATCCAACAACCAATGGACAGTCTATATACGTGGTAGGGTCTGGTGGAAAAACATACGTACCCAAGCCAGGGTTTGAACCAGTATTGTAGAAATGGATTCAAGAGATTTCATACTTGTTAATCAAAGCTTAAAGCTATGAGGAAGAAGATTTTCGAATCTGAACGTAGACTGTTGCCTGTTGCATCCCGGCGTTTTGATTGAATGTACATTTTGTAAAATCTTTGCTTCGATTGGTAAAATACAGTTTAAATCCTTATGTTACACTTATGTTTGCCTCTTAACTCTTAATTCCCAATCCTTTACTGGTTAATCCCTATTTTCCTGATAGAATTGTCATGTTTATTGGTATGTCTCCCCTCTTCTAAACCCTTCGTTTACAACGCTGAGCCCTTATTTCAGTGGTCAATTCCCAATTTTTACTGTTCAAAGTCCCTCTTGGACGGTGTCGATAATCCCTATGTTTCATCCCAATTCTAGTGTTGAACCCTTCCTTGTTATCGCTCAAACCCCCTCTTTTTAGTGCTTCAAGTTGGATATTTGAATATATTTCACACGATCACTGCGTCAGGACCATCTTCACCTGAAGAACCGGAGAGCGGAGCAGAAGAGCTGACGTCGTCTGCTTGGTAGTGGGAAGAGTTGTGCTTGGTTAAAGCAACCTCTGTAAGTCAACAACCATTAGTAATCATTAGTATATAGTAGCTAATGATCAACACCTGATATTAAGAATGGTTCTTGCCGTAGCACCCATATTTATTAATGACCTTATGTCTTCATGGTTATTACTATTACTAATGAATCATACTATATATTATTATTATTATTCATGTTCATTGTTCATGCTCATTACAAGTGAAACCGATTATAAGGATTACTCATGATTATAACCAATGGCTCGTACTAATGAACAGGCTATAATCATTACTCATGGTTATTGCTAATGCTAATGGTTTTTTATTGACTATAAATGGGACGATCCTCCTTAAAATCAACAAGCACTAGTAATCATTTTGTATTCGCTACTGATGACCATTTTAGGCATTATTGCTAGCCGCCACTATTAGCGCTTGTTTCTAAGAGCCTTTATGAAACGATCTGCAAAAGCGGGATGTCCTCTTGTTCTACACAGTTCAATGTCTTCATCTCCAACGTATTGTCTAAAATAATTGCTTGCCACTGCTCCTTCATCATCGGGTATATATGTTTTTTGATTGGTTTCTTTCCCATCTTTTGTATGGCGTGTTTTGTCCCATTTATGACACTGAAACTGAGCTCTTTTTAGATTTGCTCAAAACACCTATTGCAACTAAACCACCTCTAAATGTATGTTTGGTAGGCGTAATTCTTATCAGTACACCGGGTCCTTTTACCGTGGAAGTCAGGATGGAAAAACCTGTCGGTTTACATGGAAGTCGTTTACGTCCAATTCCTGGGGAAAAAGTGAAACTGGGCTACCGGGCCAGCAAATGCAGAAAAACTGACCGTGAATCTCTTACATGGAAGTAGCTCATCAGAAAACTGAGACTAAAAACCCTTACGTGGAAGTAACTTCAGGGTCCAGACATCAGGTTGGCAACTTCTATGTTAACATGTTCTCCCCTCATGTTGACTACATCCTTCTAGGGCGATCCCTAAAACCCCCAGACTGACCGCCACATCATATTTTTTCTTCTTTGCATCTATCTTCTCACCCCTGTCATGTCCGAGCGATTGAGGATGCAACCTTTCGAAATCAACGGTGCCAAATTGGTGCTCGCTAACATGGCACTTCCCACATCCTACTTCAAGTAGCAAATTTCTATGTAAGTTATCCGTTCCAATCGTTGGTTGTTAAAAAGCGGAGGCATTCCCAGCTTTATCTTGAAAAATTCAAAATGTCTACGTTAATCAACAAATGCCCAGGATTCCCGGGGAACTCGTGGCAAAAAGAACTAGCCAAAAAAAAAAGGGCTCAGATCCAAAGAACACAAATTTGCAGTTTACCCCTCCCCATTGCAACTAACATGGAAGTAAACCTCCGAATTGTCACTTTAGTTAACGTGGAAGATTTTTTTTTGCACTACGGTAAAAGGAGGACCGAGCGCTCGCTAACATGGCACTGCCCACATCCTACTTCAAGTAGCAAATTTCTATGTAAGTTATCCGTTCCAATCGTTGGTTGTTAAAAAATGGAGGCATTCCCAGCTTTATCTTGAAAAAATCAAAATTTCTACGTTAATCAACAAATGCCCAGGATTCCCGGGGAACTCGTGGCAAAAAGAACTAGCCAAAAAAAAAAGGCTCAGATCCAAAGAACACAAATTTGCAGTTTACCCCCCCCATTGCAACTAACATGGAAGTAAACCTCCGAATTGTCACTTTAGTTAACGTGGAAGATTTTTTTTGCACTACGGTAAAAGGAGGACCGAGCGCTCGCTAACATGGCACTGCCCACATCCTACTTCAAGTAGCAAATTTCTATGTAAGTTATCCGTTCCAATCGTTGGTTGTTAAAAAATGGAGGCATTCCCAGCTTTATCTTGAAAAATTCAAAATTTCTACGTTAATCAACAAATGCCCAGGATTCCCGGGGAACTCGTGGCAAAAAGAACTAGCCAAAAAAAAAAGGGCTCAGATCCAAAGAACACAAATTTGCAGTTTACCCCCCCCATTGCAACTAACATGGAAGTAAACCTCCGAATTGTCACTTTAGTTAACGTGGAAGAAAAACAAATATTTTTTTTTGCACTACGGTAAAAGGAGGTGGAGTAGCCTTTTTGGTTTTCTTTTAGTTTCAGAAATCCCTTCCAACAGCTTGTCTAGATGTTTTCTTGATTGAATGGTCTTTTATTCTAGCATTAGCTAGTGTTATCGCCCTTGAACTAAATCCTGATCTGTCAAAATATATCTTATTGATAGCATCTTGCTTAGAAGTAATCTTGAAGTGAGTACGATAAAATCAATACTATCTCAACTATTTAGTGAACACTCTTGTTGCGATAATCACGCTGCAAGGCAAATATATACGGCACGACCCAGCTTGTTATCAGGTCTCTGACCGGTGCATTTTGAACACAGCTTTCCAGTATCACTTCCCAAATCACATTATATGCCACACTTTTAACTTGCACCTATTGATGCACCACTCATATTCAGTATAATTCTCATTATATATCTATTTCTCTCCCAGTTGTTCTATCCTTAACTTTGTAATTATCCTTCAACTTGTTTGCGAGACACACAGGATTCTATCATTCGAGAAGAGCAAAACTGGGCAAGATGTTGGCAGAACCAAAATGTGGCGAGCTGTTTGTTGCATTGGAACAACGTGCTGCGGTTGCATGCTGCGTTCCAGATCCACCTATTCCATTCAGTTTACCACAGAGCCAACAAAGTACGGAAAGAGGCTGTCTCTAAAATAAATATCTTGATCGCAACCACCTCCTACGCGCGCAAACTCCTTGGAGTCTTGGGGATATGATGATCCAACATGAACATATACTTATATGTGCAGAATTTCACATTACGGGGAAATGTTAAAAACCACCATCCAGTTTTCATATTTTAGTGCTTGTCATGTTTTGTTTGAGTTTGATGAATGGCCAGATCATAGCGTTGCTGGCAAAAAAAGGAAAACCCAATGTCAACGAATCAAGTTCGAAGGTGTCTCTCGAGGCAGCAATCGAAGAGCTCATGGATGACCTGGAGCTGGAAGAGCTCATGGATGACGAAGAGGCGCCAATTGAAACCGCGCTTTCGCTCTGCGTAGGTTGGTTCGGCTCTTTGTCGACGAAGTGCACCAAGAGACCTACTTGGCTTTAGCCGCACTCGCACATGCACCCGGCGCTGTGCTGGTCGGGTCACGCAGTGTTTGGTCGCAACCGGCGATTCCTCGACGGCTGCGAAGCGCACTCGTCAGCACCAGACACGAAACTGCGACCGGTGCTATTTGAGCCAATCCAGGACGCCGCTTTTTTGCCGATGCGGAGATTAGCACGGGTCGGTTCATGCTGCGGCATCAAGAAATATCTATTGAATCTATTGTCAAAGTCTTATTCATGTCATGTTATATTTATATTATTATTCAATAGTTTTACACTGTTAAAATCCCACCACCTTGTCAAAAGAAGTCCATGGCCACTTCCTACTCATCAACTGCTTTATGTTCAGACAGTTTCATGTATGGCAGTAGTTTGCTTCTTAGCTTATATTGTTAAAACCCACTAAGTGAGCAGTGTTCAAAACCCTGCGTCGTCCTTTTATACCGGCTGGTCAGAAATATTCAATGAGTTATGATAATCCCCAAAATGTTGGATACAATACTCCCTATAATAAACAACCCACTAGGGTTTGGAACACTCGTCATTTCAAAAAGACACATCAAGAAAATGATCCAATCATAGTTAAATGACTAGTAATAGTTGAGGATTAATGATGCTTCATGGTGATTAGTAATATGTAGTCGACGATGGTCAATGATGCTTCATGATGACATGGTTGCAATGTGGAGCTACGATCGGAAAGCAGAGTGAAAGTTGAGATAGCTCAAGCAAAATGGAACCATATAGCTATCTTGTGATATATATATATCCTAATTTCATAAGCTGTTTACCAGTGAAATGTTGATAGCTAAGTTGAGTTGTCGAAAGGCCCTATATTACGTTTTTTTTAGCAGATACATCGCATGTTTTGATGGGCTTGTAATCCTGCTTATAACTGGGAAGGTGACCAATATGGACATCTATGGGTTCCTTGGCATTTTCATGATCGACAAATGGTGGGTTGCCCAGGTCTATTCCATCCTGGCGGTTAAGCTACCCTCATGTAATTTAGCACGTTGCTATGGAAGCCGTGGATCAACTATGGAGGATTTACCAACCAGATAAAGGTGGTGTTCCACAAGCACATGGCATATTTACCAGAGAGTGTATAGTCTTAAGTCGTAAATCATGATTGTTATATCCCCATACATTCCAGTAACTCTCAATCATGGCTAATAATGCTAATAAAATCATGTCAAATCACAAATACTCTGGGTTGAAAAAATCCTGCACCACCTTGGATGGTTGAAACCCTGTAGATGATGGTACAAACCACCTATCAACTGGTGCAGGATTTCTTCCATCCACAGTATCATTAACTTACCTCAAGGCAGCATTGTAAAATGGACCACTTATAGATGATTTACCTATAGGAAAAAGGTAATTTGCCATAGTCACGTAACAAATTACTAGACGGTACTGCTCAAAGCCGGGGTTGAGGCGTGCCGGTGACTTCAGTTGGCGCATGGAGCAACAGAGGCGGTGATGATCGACGGGGCTGACTGGTTAGGTGGGTTATAACAAAATTACAAGTTGGAACCCCCATACGAAACCACGTTTGAAACATGGTGGCTGGCCCAACAAAATTGTGATTATTATTTTTTTAATGGAACTTAAATGAACATATAATCAATATAGGTTATATGTGTTGGCTATGTTGGTGAACATGACTTGGTTAACTGTTGGGTTTACTGAGGATATAGCTATAGTTTTCATGGAGTTTATCACCCAACTTATAACTGCGGGGGCCACATTGTAGTCCATTGAAGAACCATATGTTTCAATATGTTTCATACGCTATTGTGTATGTTGAATTGGTGTGATTATTTAGCTTGTTGAGTGCCAGGGTACCGGGTACTGATCATCATCATCTGGGGGTTTTCATGGGAGTACATACCCCAACAGGGATGGTGTGCAATGGAAAATGCGCTTCAAATGGATGGTTTAGGGGCACCCCCATTTTGGGCAATCTCCACAGTATGTCTTTTTCATCGAACTGCAAACCTCGAGGATTCAGCAGGCGATTGGCTAAGTGTTTCAATGGTCAATATCTTCTATTCAGTGGCTCAGCACTCAAACTGACCTACAATGATATGGAATCCCCAAAACTGTGATTGGATTGGAATATCATGGGTTAACCATCAATAATGGGGATTTATAGGAATATAATTGGGGATAATAATAGAATGATAATGATATATTGGTTGGTGGTTTAAAACAAGCCGTGAGCTCTACACCTACCAGCAGGTGCGGCCGTGCCCTGCTGATCGTAGAGCGTTTCGTTCACCGTGTTGTGCCATGGATCGTCATGGATCTTGCTGAAGTTGATGCTGGAGGTAGCTCTCTGATGTGGTCATGGTGGTCGTTGATCCTGTGCATGTGCGCCACTTGTTCCTCAGTCCGTGATGGGACTGGTCTGGTGCGTACTGGCCTCTTGGATGGAGCTCCTGAAGTGCTCACTCGGTTGGATGTTGTCCTGGTGCAGCAAGTCTCTATTCCGTTGCTGAAGGTGGATGATGGTGCTAAGGTGTTGGTTCACTCACTGCATACCTGGGAGGACTTCCTCAAACTGGTCGATGCTTGCTACGGGTTTGATGGTCCTGCACATGGGGCCCATGCCGTTGGTGTGCAAACTATGGTAGCTGTTGACTCTAGTGCCCGTATGGTGACCTTACACAAGGCTCATGGAGGATGTGAGTATGTGATCGGTGATGCTGGCTGTCCCCAGGTGATCGCTGGAGTGTGGTCCACGTGTAATCATGCTGCGGTGAAGAGTGCGGGATTTTCATGTCAGCCGTTTTCCCAGTTGGGTGATCGTAAAGGAGGGGCAGACCCTTGTGCTATGTCCCTTCCTAACAACCTTAGAGCTGCACCGTCTCAGCGTGTTCATGGTTTGGTGCTTTCATGCGCTGTCCCTGTATGCAGAGATCCGTTCATCTCGCAACACCTTGCTAGGTTTGTTGACTGGTCTGAAGTTGTGAAGGAGAACATCAACCTTGAGCTCTCTGCTATTGGTCCAGTGCAACTGTTGATGCAGAACCAAACACAGATTGACGGGCAGTTTCTGGAGTTCACCCACCATCAGTCTCAACAAGTTTCGAATCCACAGGCCCTGATGCAGGCCCCGTCTCAACACTTTTACGGCCAAAGTAAGACCCAGTATCACTGCATCCAGGCTCTGTTTGAGAATCAGCTTTCTCATATCCGTGGCTTGTTGCGGAAGCGACTGAGAGATGATGGTGAATGTGGGGGTGGGCCTGAACTGCATGGTTCTCACAGTGGTATGATGATGATGGGGTCTTGTTGTGCCGTGTGGGTTCTTGCTGCTCTGATGCCCTTCTACCAGTTTTTGGGGTTTGTGTCAACTGCCGTTTTCGCCGGGGCCGGCCACTGTGTCAGGTCTTGGGTGGTTACGCTGTTGCTCCTTTTCAATGTTCGTTGGCTTGGAGAGACATCTTCTCCTGGTCCGGTTAAGTTCAGTTTCACTCCATTCAGGCGGCAGTCCCGGGCTTGCCCGGCTGTCCGTCCCCTTGGCCGCGTTGCCACACTGACCTAAGAGTCACCACAGTTAAAGCACTGTCTTCCCAACCCAAGCCAGTGCGTCACACAAAGTGGTACAAAGTGGTGGTTTAAAACATTTGGATTGTTTTCCATTTAATACCTGGGATGTCATCCTTCCCATTGACTTTCATATTTTTCAGAGGGGTAGGTATACCACCAACCAGATATGGCTGTTTATTTCCCGACTGGATTCATTCTCCAGAGCTTGATGGATGGAATCCGTGCCTTCCGGGAGCTCTGCATCATCCGCCTTTTTCTGAGTACACAGGAAAGGTCCACAGTTATGGCCCTTTACCAGTTATAAATAATAATAAAACCCATTTATAACATGTATAATCCCAGTGAAATAACCAGTTATAACTAATAAATGGCCATAACTGCAGATGATGATTTCAACTTGCGTGTTGCAAGGGAAACGAAACCTTTCATCGTGTACCTAGGGGTCTCGGGTTTCCATAGAAGGATTCAACAAAGTCAACAGAGTCTTCCCACCGGTATTTGCCAATGGGTGCCGGTGATATCGGCACGACGTTAGACCATTCATGTATGAATAATTCTATTTAATGTCATTAAACACATTGTTTATCCCATGAAATCCCATGGTTTATCTCATAAAATCCCATTGTTTATCCCATTGTTTAACTATTACGTAATCCCCACCGTCCCCACCTTAACCCCAGGCATCAAATTAAAAAAACCACTCCCCAGGCTCCGTAGCGCGGACGGCGCAGCGCGCGTGTCGCACTTGGCGCAGCAGCGGCAGAAGGAGAAGCAGCAGCAGCGGGACGCCGCCAAGGCAGCGGCAGTTTTTCAGCAATCACAATTCAGCTATGCTACAACTGGAGAGATAAACTGGTTGGTGGTTTGGAACAAGCTGTGGGCTCTACACCTACCAGCAGGTGCGGCCGTGCCCTGCTGATCGTAGAGCGTTTCGTTCACCGTGTTGTGCCATGGATTGTCATGGATCTTGCTGAAGTTGATGCTGGAGGTAGCTCTCTGATGAGGTCATGGTGGTCGTTGATCCTGTGCATGTGCGCCACTTGGTCCTCTGTCCGTGATGGGACTGGTCTGGTGCGTACTGGCCTCTTGGATGGAGCTCCTGGAGTGCTCACTCGGTTGGATGTTGTCCTGGTGCAGCAAGTCTCTATTCCGTTGCTGAAGGTGGATGATGGTGCTAAGGTGTTGGTTCACTCACTGCATACCTGGGAGGACTTCCTCAAACTGGTCGATGCTTGCTACGGGTTTGATGGTCCTGCACATGGGGCCCATGCCGTTGGTGTGCAAACCATGGTAGCTGTTGACTCTAGTGCCCGTATGGTGACCTTACACAAGGCTCCTGGAGGATGTGAGTATGTGATCGGTGATGCTGGCTGTCCCCAGGTGATCGCTGGAGTGTGGTCCACGTGTAATCATGCTGCGGTGAAGAGTGCGGGATTTTCATGTCAGCCGTTTTCCCAGTTGGGTGATCGGAAAGGAGGGGCAGACCCTTGTGCTATGTCCCTTCCTAACAACCTTAGAGCTGCACCGTCTCAGCGTGTTCATGGTTTGGTGCTTTCATGCGCTGTCCCTGCTTGCAGAGATCCGTTCATCTCGCAACACCTTGATAGGTTTGTTGACTGGTCTGGAGTTGTGAAGGAGAACATCAACCTTGAGCTCTCTGCTATTGGTCAAGTGCAACCGTTGATGCAGAACCAAACACAGATTGACGGGCAGTTTCTGGAGTTCACCCACCGTCAGTCTCAACAAGTTTCGAATCCACAGGCCCTGATGCAGGCCCCGTCTCAACACTTTTACGGCCAAAGTAAGACCCAGTATCAGTGCATCCAGGCTCTGTTTGAGAATCAGCTTTCTCATATACGTGGCTTGTTGCGGAAGCGACTGAGAGATGATGGTGAATGTGGGGGTGGGCCTGAACTGCATGGTTCTCACAGTGGTATGATGATGATGGGGTCTTGTTGTGCCGTGTGGGTTCTTGCTGCTCTGATGCCCTTCTACCAGTTTTTGGGGTTTGTGTCAACTGCCGTTTTCGCCGGGGCCGGCCACTGTGTCAGGTCTTGGGTGGTTACGCTGTTGCTCCTTTTCAATGTTCGTTGGCCGGGAGAGACATCTTCTCCTGGTCCGGTTAAGTTCAGTTTCACTCCATTCAGGCGGCAGTCCCGGGCTTGCCCGGCTGTCCGTCCCCTTGGCCGCGTTGCCACACTGACCTAAGAGTCACCACAGTTAAAGCACTGTCTTCCCAACCCAAGCCAGTGCGTCACACAAAGTGGTACAAAGTGGTGGTTTAAAACATTTGGATTGTTTTCCATTTAATACCTGGGATGTCATCCTTCCCATTGACTTTCATATTTTTCAGAGGGGTAGGTATACCACCAACCAGATATGGCTGTTTATTTCCCGACTGGATTCATTCTCCAGAGCTTGATGGATGGAATCCGTGCCTTCCGGGAGCTCTGCATCATCCGCCTTTTTCTGAGTACACAGGAAAGGTCCACAGTTATGGCCCTTTACCAGTTATAAATAATAATAAAACCCATTTATAACATGTATAATCCCAGTGAAATAACCAGTTATAACTAATAAATGGCCATAACTGCAGATGATGATTTCAACTTGCGTGTTGCAAGGGAAACGAAACCTTTCATCGTGTACCTAGGGGTCTCGGGTTTCCATAGAAGGATTCAACAAAGTCAACAGAGTCTTCCCACCGGTATTTGCCAATGGGTGCCGGTGATATCGGCACGACGTTAGACCATTCATGTATGAATAATTCTATTTAATGTCATTAAACACATTGTTTATCCCATGAAATCCCATGGTTTATCTCATAAAATCCCATTGTTTATCCCATTGTTTAACTATTACGTAATCCCCACCGTCCCCACCTTAACCCCAGGCATCAAATTAAAAAAACCACTCCCCAGGCTCCGTAGCGCGGACGGCGCAGCGCGCGTGTCGCACTTGGCGCAGCAGCGGCAGAAGGAGAAGCAGCAGCAGCGGGACGCCGCCAAGGCAGCGGCAGTTTTTCAGCAATCACAATTCAGCTATGCTACAACTGGAGAGATAAACTGGTTGGTGGTTTGGAACAAGCTGTGGGCTCTACACCTACCAGCAGGTGCGGCCGTGCCCTGCTGATCGTAGAGCGTTTCGTTCACCGTGTTGTGCCATGGATTGTCATGGATCTTGCTGAAGTTGATGCTGGAGGTAGCTCTCTGATGAGGTCATGGTGGTCGTTGATCCTGTGCATGTGCGCCACTTGGTCCTCTGTCCGTGATGGGACTGGTCTGGTGCGTACTGGCCTCTTGGATGGAGCTCCTGGAGTGCTCACTCGGTTGGATGTTGTCCTGGTGCAGCAAGTCTCTATTCCGTTGCTGAAGGTGGATGATGGTGCTAAGGTGTTGGTTCACTCACTGCATACCTGGGAGGACTTCCTCAAACTGGTCGATGCTTGCTACAGGTTTGATGGTCCCGCACATGGGGCCCATGCCGTTGGTGTGCAAACTATGGTAGCTGTTGACTCTAGTGCCCGTATGGTGACCTTACACAAGGCTCATGGAGGATGTGAGTATGTGATCGGTGATGCTGGCTGTCCCCAGGTGATCGCTGGAGTGTGGTCCACGTGTAATCATGCTGCGGTGAAGAGTGCGGGAATTTCATGTCAGCCGTTTTCCCAGTTGGGTGATTGGAAAGGAGGGGCAGACCCTTGTGCTATGTCCCTTCCTAACAACCTTAGAGCTGCACCGTCTCAGCGTGTTCATGGTTTGGTGCTTTCATGCGCTGTCCCTGCTTGCAGAGATCCGTTCATCTCGCAACACCTTGATAGGTTTGTTGACTGGTCTGGAGTTGTGAAGGAGCACATCAACCTTGAGCTCTCTGCTATTGGTCAAGTGCAACCGTTGATGCAGAACCAAACACAGATTGACGGGCAGTTTCTGGAGTTCACCCACCGTCAGTCTCAACAAGTTTCGAATCCACAGGCCCTGATGCAGGCCCCGCCTCAACACTTTTACGGCCAAAGTAAGACCCAGTATCAGTGCATCCAGGCTCTGTTTGAGAATCAGCTTTCTCATATACGTGGCTTGTTGCGGAAGCGACTGAGAGATGATGGTGAATGTGGGGGTGGGCCTGAACTGCATGGTTCACACAGTGGTATGATGATGATGGGGTCTTGTTGTGCCGTGTGGGTTCTTGCTGCTCTGATGCCCTTCTACCAGTTTTTGGGGTTTGTGTCAACTGCCGTTTTCGCCGGGGCCGGCCACTGTGTCAGGTCTTGGGTGGTTACGCTGTTGCTCCTTTTCAATGTTCGTTGGCCGGGAGAGACATCTTCTCCTGGTCTGGTTAAGTTCAGTTTCACTCCATTCAGACGGCAGTCCCGGGCTTGCCCGGCTGTCCGTCCCCCTGGCCGCGTTGCCACACTGACCTAAGAGTCACCACAGTTAAAGCACTGTCTTCCCAACCCAAGCCAGTGCGTCACACAAAGCGGTACAAAGTGGTGGTTTGGAACATTTTTTATTTTCCCCAATAGTTGGGATGATGATCCAATCTGACTAATATTTTTCAGGGGGTTAAAACCACCAATTAGTAAATGTCCAGCCAAAAAACATGGGGGTGTTTTAAAGGTTTCAAAATTGATGTCGAATCCTAAGTTTTGAAGGTCGAGTGACCGCAACTCAAGATGAAACTGGATCGGCACCAGCAACTGAGTCGGCACCTGAGAATGAGCAGCGCTTTGCAGCCCAGACGGTACATAGCTTCAACTTCCAAATAATGATAGACCGCTTTGGGCAACATCCTCCAACGCTTCTTGTGGAGGAATGGGAGAACAGGACTCGGTACCACGGCCTGGAACCGCACTTTTTCCGAATGACACAAAGCTGGGAGATCGCGAACGCGCAGGCAGCTTACTGGCGCGAGTACTTTGAGCTTCGCCATCAGCAGCATGTCCTTGATCGTGCGCCGACCTCAATCCCGAAGCGGAGCAAGGCTGTGGACTTGCGATCTATCTAGACATGCAGTGTGGGGAATTAGACACCATGCAGCTCAGAGATTTGTCTTCTCTGCACATTGATATATTTCCCATCATAAACCAGTTTAAACTACTGACATTCAACAACTTGGCTATGGCTATGGGGTATTTCTTTTGCGAACCATTTGTTATTTCCAGGGAACATCCACGTCTAATGGGAATAAAACACATGATTCGACTCGACTCTGTGCAAATTGAAACGATACCACAAAGTGCTCATCCACAGGGAAAAGAGCAAATTGTTTCAGGATTGTGAACTGTTATAGTCCAGACTTACCCTCAAGTAAACTGGCATAGATGTGGAAAGCTCAGGCTTCGCGATTCTGTTTTCGACATGTCTGGGTGGTTTTTCCATTTTGTAAACGTTTGCAGCAGGGGTGCTTTACCACTTGGATTTGACCAACGATAGGTATATCTAGCACCACCTTTCGGGCTAAAATTTAAGCCTTTTCCTAAAAGGATCCTTTTAGATCCTCGGGCTGAAAATTAGACCTCGGGCGGATTTTGCCTTCCATACAGTGATTTCTGGCCATGGTTATTAGTTATTTCAATGGGGTTATAGGTAAACCATTTATATATATATATATAAAAGGGGTTTAATGGTGATTAATAGTGGCTTAGTGGTGGTTAATATTGGTTGAATGGTGATGAAATAGTGGTTGATAATGGTTAATTGGCTAAACATAATGATGGTTGTGGTGTTTAACCTATGGGATTAGACATGAACAATTTCTATGGGGTGACTTGTTAGTACTTATAACTGGTAAAACTAGGGCCATAACTATAGCTATCTTAAATTAGTACGGTGATACTTGTTCTTATCCAGACATCAACAGACAAGATCGCCTCGAGGGCTTCGAGTGACATTATCACACCACAGGATGGCGCCCCTCAGTTCTAAATTGCTTTATAAACCATAAACCATAGAATCCATAGAATTCTGCCATTTATATATGGCTGTGTCTTTTTTTCAGGTGTGCAGATTTTAGTAAGGGTGGGAAGTTCGAGTTCTGCGAACCATACCCACGAATCATACCCCGAACCATACCCCGAATCATACCTGCGAATCATACCCCCAAAAATCACGATTATGAATGTTTCTTTTGGGATCGTTTGGGATTGCATGGCCTCACTAGTTTTAATGGACGTGACAAGCCAATTGACAAGTGTTGGCCAGATCCGATGATCCCTGGCTGCCTTCACATACCTTCACGACATGAGTGGTGGGGCTGGCTGGCTGGCTAGGTGGCTGGCTGCGTGGCTGGCTAGGCTAGGTGGCTATGGCAATTGCTGCTGCTGGTTGGGTGGCTGGCTATAGGGCTGGCTAGTTGCGGCTGGCTGGCTGCGTGGCTGGCTGCTTGCTGTGTTGTCTGCTATTAAGTAGCAGTTGTGGTAGGTTGACGGTGGGAAAAAGAGGCTCAAGCAACAAAGCTTCCTGAATTCCAAAAAAACATGGGTTCCCGAACCATACCCCGAATCATACCCGAATCATACCCGAATCATACCTCAAACTTCCCAATTCTGAACCTTGGTACATTTGCAAGATCAGAACTTGTGTTTTGTGAGCATAAATCTTTTTCTTTGCAACCATTCGCCACGGGCTACACTACGCCTCCTGCTGCTTCTGAGAAAAATCCGGGAACGGCACCCTGCAGTGGCATCCTGCGATGGCACCAACATGCCAACTCCAAAGCGCACACACCACTTTGACTGCAGCACCTTGAAGCAGCACCCTGCAGCAGCACCACCAGCCAGCTCCAGAGCGGACACGCCACTCTAACAGCTGCACCCTGCAGCGTGCAGCACACCCTTCACTAGCACCATTGCACGCAAAATCGATCCCAGGGCCATTGAGACCCATATACTCCATGCATGATATAGATAGCATTAATTAGCAACATTCTGATGTTTTTGGGATTTTGGGACTAAGTATAGGTACATAAAGGGCCGCGAACCATACCCCCGAACCATACCCCGAACCATACCCCGAATCATACCCACGAATCATACCCCCTAGTCAAACTTCCCGGGCCGCACTCCTCATTTTGAGACATACCCATATAGTGGTATTTCGGACCATAACTCCAATAACTAAGGTTTATGGTAGAGCATAACTCCAATCAGTAAGGTTTATGGTATATATCTATAGTTACTGTGGTTGTTTAACCAACCTAAAACTGGGGTGGCACCACCTTGCCATAACTGCAACATTTTATGGATTGTATAATCCCATTGAAATAACCAGTTATAACTAATAGCCATGGTCATGTCACTCTATAATATCCCATTACTATCCCATTGTTATCCCATTAACTAGTTCGTTATATATCTACCATAAACCATAGGTAAGCCACTAATATTTATCCATTATCCCATTATCCCAATATTATCCCATTATTATCCCATTATAAACCATCATACACCGTAGTTAAACCACTAATAAATGACTATACCCTCCGGTAAACATACAAAAAACTATGGAAAGATCCACCATTTTCAATGGGTAAATCTACTATAAATCACCATTTTCAATTAGATATCTTGGTTTATCAGAAGATAAATCCCTTAAAAATCCCATTAAATTCCATTTTCAATGGCTAAATCCACTATTAATCACCATGTTCAATAGCAAACTGTTAGTTTACCAGAAGGTAAATCATGCTAAATCCCATAAAATTCCATTAAAAAAAATCCCATTAAATCCTATTTTCAATGGGTAAATCCCATTTTCAATGGGTAAATCCCATTTTCAATGGGTAAATTCCATAAAAAATCCCATTAAATCCCATCAAATCCCATTAAACTACTCTACTGCTGAAGGGCACACTCAAACCGGAACACTGCAGCCGTTTTCTGGCCACTGCGCTGTAGCTACGCGTTTCGTCCTCTGTGGGACTCGTTCAGGCCGCGCTTGTAGCCAAAAAGGGCTTTGAAACGTATGCCAAATGTCTAGCAAGCTCCAAAAAGCATGCGCAACACTTGGCAAAAACAGCATGGTTTGTGCGCTTAAAAAACCAGAACCCACCTCCCACCACATCTGGTTGCGCAAAGTGCAAAGAAACGGAAGTCAAAGTGGTTAGTGCCAATTCAAACTGAAATTTCTCCTGAAATTGTTGCATTGGATGCTATAGGAAAGAAAAACTTCTACACGAGAAGCGAACCTAGACTGCACAAGAGACGCGTGTTTTTTCAAAACACGTTTTATGACTGAGACGTTCAAAGAAGAACTGTACTGCTGGCGGAAAAAGAACTTTCGTGGTTGCTGCTGACTGGCTGTCGGGCATTCTAGTTTCTTGACAGTTTGCATGGCAAGGCGTCGTGCCTCCTCTTTGCAGTAGCCTCTGTGTTGCAGTTTGTCAAAAAACAGGTCTAGGTGCTTGGCAAAAGCTTTGGCATTCTTCTGGTTTGTTCGGTGTAGCCTCTGCGTCTCACCAATCACCAAAGCTTTGAACACACTGGGTGGGTGACATGAAGTCCGTGGCAAGTACAAGTATGCGTTCTGCGGCTTTCGGAAAGTCTCAAAAGAAATGGAATGATCTCCCATGTGCAGTGTCAAACTAAGATCCAGGAAATTCACTGCCATACCGGAACCGGACATCTCCCAAACGATGTTCGGATGCCAGATGTTGAGTTCTTGAAGACACTCGTCTTTTGAGTCCAGGGTTTATATTGCAAAAGCATCATCTATGTAACGCTTCCACATGAAAATCCAGGAACATCTCTGAACAAGAAAATCGTCAAAAGCAGCAAGGTACAAGTTGGCAAACACGACGGAGGCTTGCAATCCAGTAGGTAGACCACTTTGTACATGCCATATGCCTGCTTCAAATTCGACATATTGTACGGCAAGCAGAAACTCAATGAGCTTGACTATCATGGCCCCAAAACTGGGCTTCGAACTCCAGAAAAACCTCACTTTGCTGGCTATGACACTGAGGAAATGCCGTTGGTCAATGCTGGGGTATAGATTCCGCACATCAAACGTGAACAAAGCAAAACCAGGAGGGACAACGCAATCCACAAGCTGTTTCACAAGATCTTGCGAAGACTGAATGACATGCAGCTGTCTGTGTAGCATAGGCGCCAGCGCTTCAGTGAGAAAAACTGACAAGGGGCTAAACCAAGCCTTGCTCAGGTTCATGATTGGCCTGCCTACCACCGGGGACTTGTGCAACTTCACTCTGAGTCGAAAACTGCCAACATTGTTGGAACCGAAATCCTTGCGGATGAACGCTGCTAGTCTGGTGGATATGGAACCCGCAAGCACTGATTGCTGCAAAAAACTATCCAGCAGGAATTTCAAATTGGCAGAGGAATCCAGGAAGTCTGCGCGGGAGACTTTGTACGAGGCTTCCTCCAGCAATCTCAAGCACTCTTGCCTAACCCAGTGCTTGGGCACAATTGCATCACCAAGGTTCTTGTCGCAATCCACTACGCTGATTTCACGTCGGTGTTGCCATAGCCATTTCCGAGCAGCTTTGTCAATGAAATCTTCATTTTTGACAAGTTCTCGAGGAGAATAGCTACTGAGTTCTTCTCGCAGCAGCCTGCCATATGCAGAAATGATTGGATCCTCTTTGGGCTTCCAAGCAGTTCGGAGACGGCAACGTCTGAAAAAAGTAGGTTCAAGTGCATGTCTGTCAAAAAACACTGCCGTATTCAAAGACCTTTCCAAAGCAGAAACGCTTGTCAAGACTTTAGCAGCTGAACTGGCACATCTGTCCGCCACAAACTTACCGCCTTTCGACAAATACGCGAGGACATACGTGGGGATCTCAAAATCTGGCGAAGTCAAAATATGAACTGGCATGCAAAAACGACATTCAAGCTGTACAAGGGACATGTTTCTCAGTCTAAACTTTGCACTCCAATCATCCTTCCAAAGTCGATGCTCCAATCATCCTTCCAAAAACTTCGCCTCCTAGGTCTGTGTGATAGTCAAGACCTGTTGTGTGGGGCTGGGGTCTTCATACGCACTTGCTTGTGACCGGTGCCCTTGGACTGCCCTTTGCCTCGGGTCTGCTTTCCTTTGCCCTTGCTCTTACCCTTGCCCTTGCTTTTGTTTCTGCTGGATGCCCTAGAAGCCCTCGAAGACTTGGCACTCTTCGCAGACTGGCGGGATCTGTGCGAAACAAGGCTGGACTGCCTACTCTTGATAGACGTTCTGGAGCCCGATCTGCCACGATCTTTGTCATTGGATCCCATGGGCTTGGACTTAGGCTTGGACACAGTTGAGCCGACCGAGATGTTGTACTTCTTTGCCAAATCTGGATGCTGCTTGACAAAATAGGCCAGGGCACCAGTGGTTGGTACGACATGCTGTGACTTTTGTGTTCCGCTTTTCCTGACAGAGTTGCAAATTCCAACACTGCCATGGCTAAAAGCTTATTGACGTCCATAATCCTGAACTCGGCTTCAGCTTTTGTAAGTTCATCCTTTCTCTTCTGTTTGGATTCCTTGTCTTTCTCCTGCTTGGACATGGCCTTCGGATGCTCTGTTCGGAAGACCAGCTCAGCAAACACCTAAAGTTGTTCTTGCAACCGAGTCTTGGCCTGCGCGCTCACCAAATTGCCATGCTTCTGCTGCCAAGAAAGAAAACGATCTTCAAGAAGAATGAGTTGCTTTGTTGGGTGGACTTTGTCCTCAAAGAAAGCTGCGCACTGTCGCTGGTAAGCAAACACAAAGCTCTGGCATTCCTGAGCATGCCGGCGTCTCATCGCTCTGAATGCTGCCTCAATGTCGAACGGACCTGCAACGTCAGCTCTGTACATGTCCCTCTGACCTTCTTCAAGCAAAGCCGAAGTTGTGGTCAACTCCTGGGCGTTGGCTTTGAAAGCCTGAGGCCACTGCCAACTTCTGGTGCTTTCATCTTGGAACTGCTTGTGAAGTTCACCAGACACTGCAATGTCTTGATACTTCTGCTGCAAATTGGCTTGTGTGACATGCTGTTGCAGAGCATTGCGATAGTCACAGGCCCACTCCTTCAAAACAGGTTGGAGCGAAGGATCGAAAGTGCCGAGCATGTCTTCTGGATTGTTGTATGCCGTGGGTGTCTGTGTTTGCTGCCTGAGCACATCCATCTGTTGCTGTAGCAACTGGTTCTGCACCTGCTGTGACTGAACCAACTGCAACAAAAGTTGCTGGCTACTTGGCATGTTCTGTGCTTCTGCTGGAGCTGGCAATCCTGGAGGCGCTGTGAAGGCTGCATGAGCTGGGTGTGGATGACCTTCATTAGGCCGACTACGACTTCGAAGAGCCGCGGCTGAGATCATGGAATTAGCATGAGGTGCAGGACGCTCCATGGCGAATGTGCTGGTAGTTGCGAACACTCTACTGCTGAAGGGCACACTCAAACCGGAACACTGCAGCCGTTTTCTGGCCACTGCGCTGTAGCTACGCGTTTCGTCCTCTGTGGGACTCGTTCAGGCCGCGCTTGTAGCCAAAAAGGGCTTTGAAACGTATGCCAAATGTCTAGCAAGCTCCAAAAAGCATGCGCAACACTTGGCAAAAACAGCATGGTTTGTGCGCTTAATAACTGTTGAGGTCCCCAGCCGCTTCCCGGTTGGGACCTGCCGGCGACCGGCCGACCGCCTCCAGGCGCAGGCAGATGCCACGTGGTTCGGCCGCGCGCCGCGCTTGCCGTTGGGCGTGGCCAAAGCGCAGTGCCTCGGTGGAGAGATGAGATCACTAAGATTCACTATGTGATATATGATATATAATACATATATAATATAATTTTAAGATAATATAAATTAAGATAATATAATATTGTTTAATTTAATTTAATATGATATATATATATGATATATATATATATGTGATATATATATGAGTTATTATACATGATTTATACATGTATTATATTTATATATATATATGATATTTATATATATATATATATCATGGCTTAATAAATAAGCATTTATATCGTTTGTATAAGGATAGTAATGGGATTATCACGGCATATTATACAGTTAAGCCCCGCAAACAAACAGTTTTTTCTATTACCATTTGGCTATTTAACATAGCCATGGAAAATCCTTATAAATGGAGGTTTCTAGTTGAGAAAATCATCTATTTCTATGGGCCATGGCTTCCACGGCTACGTTAAACAACCAGAGGGTAATATTCTTATGGGGATATCATGGCTTAATAAATATGCATTTATTTGGTTTGTATAAGGATAGTAATGGGATTATCATGGGATATGTTTTCAGTTAAGGCCCCGAAACAGTTCTTTATATTGCTACTCTTATGGGATATCATTGCTTACCCATATGGGGCGGCGGTGAAAAGACATGGCATCATGGGAACCTGTTGAAAACCAGGCGATGAGTTGACGAGCGGCGATTTTTGTTGAATGAAAACACATCTACAAAGTGGTGCCCTCGTTGACGATAGTATAGTACTTATAACGAACTAGTATTCATGGGGTTTTAAAAACCAATTTATAACGTTTGGGGGCACCACATTGTAGATATGTATACATACCCAGCCCCAAAACAAGCTCAATTATTGACATCATACTTATGTTTACCTGTGTCAATCTTGTCATGTTCCATGAGATGTAGAAGGCCACCAACTTGGAATAGCCATCTCTTCACTACTCCAGATGTTTCCCTGGGAAAATCAGAGGCTGTTTGAAGATGTGGATCGCCATCAGAGTGGGAGGAATACTGTTTGAATATCAGACTAGTTTCCATGTTCTGTTAAAGGGCTAGCTTCTATATCTGCATATGTATATCTACACACGTACATGTGTACATATACACATAAATATATAATATATACAGATAGATATAACAATTTCAGTTTCTTAATGTCCAATAACAGGCCCAAATTTCCAGCTTCGCCATGCTGGGGCCATTTGCGACCAAGGTGGCCCGAGTTCCACGATCTCAATGACCAAGAGTTGTCTGGCGACCAAGGTGATGCTATCTCCATCGGGAACATCTCCATCTAAAATGTTGCAGTTATGGCCATGGCTATTAGAGGCTGAATTCTATGTGATAATAATTGGTTAATGGGATAATGGATAAATATTAGAGGCTGAATTCTCTGGTTTATGGTAGATATAAAACGAACTAGTTAATGGGATAACAATGGGATAATCATGAGATACTAAGATTTATACAGTGAAATGACCATGGTTATTAATTATAACTGGCTATTTCAATGGGATTATACATATCACAGTTATTGTCCGAAATACCAATTATCAGTACTAAGCCACCCAAAAATTGGAATGTTTATTGTCCCATTGAAATACCCGGTTATAACTAATAACCATGGCCATAAGTAAAATTCTTGGAAAATGGATACATTTTTCACATGATTTTTGTTACCCATATTTAACATGGGGTGGCATTCCGGATTATGCTAAGGTGGATTATCACCAATAAAACTAGGGTTTATGGTAGATATATCTACCCTCTGGTAAATTAACATAGCTATGGAACATCATCCCATTTTCAATGGGAAAATCCACTATAAATCACCATTTTCAATAACAAACTGTTTGTTTACCAGATGGTCAATTAACATAGACCCTGAAAGTCACCAATGTTTAATGGAAATGAATCGTCCAATCCCTATCTGCCAGGGTCTATGTTAATATACCAGAGGGTAAGTTATAAGTTCATGGGGTGTGTAAACCGACCAACATTTTGGGGTCTGGGAAACGGCACCCACCTTGCAACAATTTTTATGCCTGACTGGGTGTTAAAACACCTTACCCGCCCTCATATGTTGGGGAAATGCCCATAAATGCCCATTGAATGGAACAGTTCGTCATGTTACCCTCTGGTAAACAGACAAAAAACTATGGAAAACCACTATTTTGAATGGCTAAATCAACTATTTCAATGGCAATTTTCAATAGTTATGTAACAAATTACCAGAGGGTACACGAAAAACTCTCATGACCATCTTTGTAGTTGACCATGTGTTCCTTGCAGAATTCTCGACAAAAAGGAAGACCAGGTGACAATAACAAACGAAACTGCTTGATGCTTGTATCTTAGATGTTCTTTTGCAGCTGGTTGGTTGCTCAATAGAAGATCTGCCCCATTCAACCAATATGTAGACGACAATAATTTGTAGTATACCAGTAATCCAGTATACCAAACCGGCCGGCCGCTTTTATTCCTAAAAGGACGATTTACATGAATGATATTCCCGCAGTGACTGCTTGAATCCCATTAGCATCCCATGAATTTTCTATTCATATCCGTTGATCCCATTATTCTATAATTTTGTTGAATCCCATTTTACATCAGGGCCGGAAACAGAGGTGGCTTTATTTCGTCGATGTTTGGAGCCAGTGTTTCGGTTTGATGTTCGGTGAATATGTTCAGCTATGTTCAGCCATCAAATAGTGGCCTTTGGATATGTTGATTTGTTTGTAGGGTACTGTATCAGAAATATGGCACATCAAAAGTATAGTTTAATTTAAGTTGTTGTTTTCAAACATGTCTTGCACATTTGACGCAAGATACATGTACTATGCATTACCTAACTGAGGGCCAAGGTCTCACAGCATACTGATGGATATCATGTTCTACCCCTGTCTGCATGAGGTTGGTCAGAACACAGTCAGTTGGGGCATGTGCCTTTGGTCTCCTCCTAGCAGCAAAAGTACCGACGATGAATCAAAATAGAAACACATGAGCATCTCCAAAATCTACCAGTATCCCATCAAATCCCCTTAAATCAGACTAAATCCCATCGAATCCAATTACCCTCTGGTAAATTAACATCACGACCCTGCCATTCAGTGGGGTTAGAAGATTAGTTTCCACTAAGAATGGCTTATTTTCAGGGTCAACAAGGTCATTTGCCAGAGAATAACTATACCCTCCGGTAAACTAACATAACTATGGAACATCACCCATTTATTTCTTTCATGGCCAAATAGATTATATATAACTAAATGACCATGTTCAATAGCAAACTGTTAGTTTACCAGAAGGTAAATCATGTTAAATCCCATAAAATTCCGTACAATTTCAGAAATTTAGGGTTTATGTCAGTCTGCTGGAGGGTAACTGTATCACTTCTGTTGTGGCTTTCTGGTTGGTTCTTCACCTCGCCAAGGAAGCTCAAAGTGGCTCAACGCATGGTCTTTCCGGACACCCAGACGCAGGCCCGCCATTGACCTCGAGAGCTTTGGACAGTTACAAGCACTAATCTTACATGGCTAATGGTTACCATCAAAAATGGTGATTAACTATTAACTATTGAAAATGGCCATAGAAATAGTTGGTGGCGACTGGAAAATCACCATTTTATAGTTGGATAAATCAACTATTTCGACTGGGCAATTTTCAATAGTGATTAACGGTGGTTAATGGTATTGATGAGAATCTAATAATAGTCTGGTTGGTGGTTTGGAAGCATGGAACTTTATGTTTTCCATTCAGTTGGGAAGAGTCATCCCAACTGACGAGCATATTTTTCAGAGGGGTAGGTCAACCACCAACCAGTACAGGATGCGGCCCCTGTTCGATAGCGTTTAGTTGAGATATACTGAATTCTATGGTTTACGGTAGATATTAAACGAACTAGTTTTCATGGGGTTTATAAACTCCAACATTCACATCACGTTTGGGGGCACCATCCATCACCATCCTGTAGGGTTATCCCCAGTTATAATTTACTTTGTTATAAGCACTGATCTTAAAATAAACCCCATTATTTTAAGTTACTAGTAGTTACAACCCTACTGTGTGGAATGTTAACGCCATGAATTTAGCCATGTATAAGCATTTTTAATTGGGTTACCAGGGCATTGTTTGGGTCACCCTTTGCTAGATACTGACTAGTACAACTTAATAGTTTACCTGGTTGGTGGTTTGGAACATTTTTTTATTTTTCCATATATTGGGAATAATCATCCCAACTGATTTTCATATTTTTCAGAGGGGTAGGTCAACCACCAACCAGTTGCTATCAATGGTATTTTTGTTGGCAGGTGCCTAAGATTCACCATGTTGATCATTGTGATTATCCAATTGTGCAATGTTCAAAAGCATTGGTGGTTGATGAAAAATAGTCATCTCTAACAGGGATTTCAATCTTGAAAGTATGGGGATATAGTTGGGATAAACCTATACCCAACAATATGATATTAGTCCAATTAATGGGGTTATTTTGCAAGGATATTAATCGGATTATTCATGGGATTGATTAATATAGTATAGTCATTTAATAGGGATTTTGAACATGAAGTATGGGGTGTGCTTAGTGAAAAAATGGATCGTAAGGACGGGATGTGATGTAATTGATAACTGATGGTTTGTTGGTGACTAGTTAAGGATTCCCAACTATCCAATATACTGAAGATTGCAATGTGGGGCCTCCTAGTGTTGAATCGGTTTTTAAACCCCATGAATACTAGTTATAGGTACCATAAACCATAGTTAAGCCACTTATAAGGCAACTGAACGCTATAGAACGGGGGCCCCGCTTTGTATCATACTCCGACTAACGTAATGAAATGACAGACCTTAAAGCAGAACATGACATGACCCATTGAACAAACATCAGAGGAGATAGAGATAGCGGCGTTTATCCCAAAGAAATAGCTGCAGAGGTTGTGCATTTGATTCGTGCCAATATGTCACCCTGTGTGGTTCAAACAACACGCTGCATTTGTGAGTATATAAATTCTTAACCAGCGGAGATGTCCAATTTTTTTTTCTCTTGGTTGTTGTAGTAATGCAGTGGATGGAAGAATTCCTGCTCCACCAAAAGGATGGTTGAAAGTTGAAACCCTCTATATAAATACTCAATAATGGGATGTTTACCACCTATCAACTGCAGGATTTCTTCCACAGTATTGACACTAGTCAGACAGGGCAAATCTTCGAGCCTCACTCGGTCAAGCTTTGGGAGTGTAAGCATCAACCCCTCAAGGGAGAGCAGGTGTGTGCGAAAAGTGTCGGATTTCTGCGGAGATCTGCCAGCGTTGGAAAGGCACCAGTTGATGGAACAAAATCCAAGTCTTGAAAGAGCTGAAACGCTTGGCATTTTGAACATGTGATCAGAAGTGGAAAACTTACTGCACATCTCCCAAAAAGATAGAACTGATAGAACAGTTGGAAACCTGTATAATATGAGGAAACATCAGCGAAAGCATCCTGGATACACTTTTCGGCATCGTTTTCGGAACCTGGTACCACAGTTTTTTTCCGAGTTCAATCCTTATTGGTTATATTCCCAACTTCTACATCCTCAACCTCTATATTTACTGGTTGGTGGTTTCAAACATTTTTTGTTTTTCCATAATATATGGGATAATCCTTCCCATTGACTGATATATTTGTCAAGATGGTTATATAAATTATCAACCAGTTTAGACGCTGTCAGAATTGGTTCAGTGATTAGCCAACAAAAAACACATGTTTCTTCAGTACATAGAACCAGCAAACCACCAACCATGAATTGCTACTTCTGGCCGTGGATGGATTGCTGAATGATAATCCAAAATGGCCTTCCTTTTTCCAATGGCTGATAAACTGATTTTGTCGTGTCTGAACTTCGCACTCGGCTGGGCAGGATGTGTGGTGTCCCCGCTGTGATGCGGTGTTGGATCGACACTCGGTCCATGCCAGTGTGTGTGTTGCCGGCGGGGAACGGACCCAAAGGCCTGCCTGCTTTCCATGGGCGGGCCGACCGCATTTGACTTCGCCGTTACGGCGCCCCAGCGGCGGGACGTCTTGTTGGACGCTGGGCGTGGTGGAGGCTCGGCTGCCGCTGCCTACGCTGATGTGAAGCGCCGCCACTTGGACACTGCCGCCGTCTGCGAACAGCATGGGGTGGCGTTTGTCCCCTTCCCAGTTCTTGTGCCAAGCACAAAGTTTTTGCATTGTAGCTATCCCTTTATGCTCCGGGCAGACATTTGGTCTGCTTGCACTGGCTAAGCGTCAGTTGTTTTTCTTTTTTGGCATGTGGGCCTTGCCTTGTCCTCGCATTGCCTGTGGCAGTGTTAGGGGTGTGCAGGGCGTCGCTTGCTTTTGTACATCCATCTCTCACCTTCGATCTTCAACTGATTTTGTCAGTTCATCACGAATCATAATCCGCAATTCCCAGTTAATATCAAAGGCAGGTTAAGATAGTGGAATCAGCAACATTTGCAGTTGAGGCCCTTTACCAGTTGTAAGTCAGTGAAAAAAACTCATTTGTGGTTCATGATACTCCCATAGTCAATAACCATTTATAAGTGGTGAAAGGCTTTAACTGTAAGTCGTTAAGCAGCCGAAGAATTTTTGGCGTTTCTCCAGGAGCAATGCGCTGGTACCCTGTTGGTGGGCGGTGCCGCTGGCGCCACGTGGAGTTTCTACCCCTCGGGCAGGTGCAGATGTCGCGATGGGACGCTGGGGCCATGTGGACGGTCCGTTCAGGTCGTGCCCCAGTTCGGAATCTTCGCAAACGTTAAGCAACAAATGGTGATCTAGTGGGATTACCCTCTGGTAAACTAACAAAAAACTATGGAACATGGTCATAGAAATAGTGACTTGTCCCATTAAAAATCGTGATTTTCCATAGTTTTTTGTATGTTTGCCAGAGGGTAATTCAGAAGAATGGGGATTTCATGATTTCATGGAATTTTGATGATAGCCAAGTTGGGATCTAACTCCAATAATTGATGGGTTGCAGATATATCGAACTATTTTCTCTGGTTTTTCTGCGCCAGAACTGAGGCGCACCACCTCACGTATGAGTGAAAATTGGGTTATCCAGTACTTTGGGTTACCCTCTGGTAGTTTGTTACATAGCTATGGAAAATGGCCATTGAAATAGTTGATTTACCCATTAAAGATGATCGTTTTCCATAGTTATGTTAGTTTACCAGAGGGTAATACGAAACATAGACATTCCAATCTGTGGTCCCCTGGGGTCTTAATGTTTGATCCATTCTCAGATATATAATGCCAACCCCGGGTTAATAAACCATGGTTTAGTAATGGGAGTACCCTCCAAGTAGTGATAGTATGATACTTTTTTATGGTACCCTCCCAATTAAACAGCCGTTTGGGGTTTATTAATGCAGGGTTGACATTATATATATATATATATAATTTTTACGTGTCATAAACACCTCGTATAGAGATGCACCCAGAAGATGCAGAAAAACATGTACCAACCTGGACCAAGAATGGGACATTTACCAACCACATTGAAATATGACGTTTTTTGGTCAAGTATAATGCAGAAACATAAATTATCTTAATTTTGGTCAGATTTTAAGTTTCTATCTCTTTACGGGGTTGCTACATACATACATATATATATAATTATATATACGTATATATATAGATTACGGTTCTTATCCCACACTTCTCGACCCGTAGCGCACTTCCACTGCTTCACCCGCAAATTCGCTTGCTCGCAACTTGTTACTGTGTTCTACATTGTTCTATTGTTTCTACTTGTTAACTTTTGTTGCTACTCTGCGGTTCACACAATGATGTTTTGGACTGGCCAAGAGCATGTGACCGGGAAGTTTGAGAACTCAATTTCGTTGAACAGTTGGAATTTTACAACCCCAACCGGGACATAGTGCAAAGTGCCGATTTTTTGCGCTAAGTATGGAATGGATGAATATAAGGTATATAAGTTTGTTAATTGTTAAGCTAGTTTGTTTGTAAAATTATTGATCGAGTTGGCTGGGTCAATGTAAAACACAAACACACTTGGGGGGGGCACTACTTTGTAGTAAACTAATGGTGGATTTGTTTTTTTCAAGTGGAGGTACCGAGTTCGAAAAAACAGTATACAAAGTGGGGCCCCCGAACGATAGTGTTCAGTTGGTGCAAATAACTCCAATTTCACTATGGTTTATGGTACCTATAACTATAGTTAATGGGGTTTATAAACCATCTAACATCACTGGGGGACCCCACATTGTACCTCCTATTAATTCAGTGGCAAAGATAGAAGTGGTCAAGTTTCTGTGCAATTGTCTGGATTTTGGTGGACTAAGTTTACCTGGTTTCAATTTGTGTCTGCCCGAAGTAAGAGAAAAACAATCAACTACAAAGGTGCAAGAAAACATTATTTTTAATCAGTAGCAATAACAATTTGGGATTTGTTTGCCAAACGATGTTGATTTCAGCCAACGTAATTTGGATTCTTTAACCATGAACTGACAACAAAAATACAATTGGTGATGCGCAACACGAATTAAAATTCAACCACCACATCCTCTCATTTTAGTCATCCAAAACGGATGACAACCTGGTGTATGTATGTGTTATTGGTGTTATTGAGAAACATGTTCGACAAAACCTTTACAAACCACAACTTGGAGAAGTCAACCAGTGGTGATGGTTGCCAGCAAATTTCCTCAAAAACATGATATTGTTCTCCCAAAACAGGGTGAACCGGTTGTTTTGTCGAAGAAACACGTGGAATATGAAACTCATGTTGGGGAAAGCACGTCACCATGCACGGTTGTGCTAACTCTTGCCATGTTTCGTGGTGCTATTCAGGCTGAGTCTACGTGGTAAGCCTCGACGTGATGTCAGTCCGGAAGCTTGAAGGGGTTCATACTCCAGAGGCTATGGGAATTGATTCATCCAAAAATGAGGGTTTACCTAACAAATTTGGGTTTAACCATCAAATCAAAAATAGGTGGATGACCCGCAATTTCTGTCCTTCAGTGGTTAGTTTGAAATGTGTTTGTCATGAATGGATTTGTTATGTTTTGTTTTCCAGCATGGAACTATTTTTAATCTGGCAGGGTATCTGAGATTAGCAATTATTTTGAATTTTGGCAATCTAGAAATTTGATTTGAACCAAAACATGGTGACTTGCCAAAAATGGTGAAATATCATCACTCATATTGTGAATTTGGGAATATCACTTCATTGAAAAATAATTTCCTGCATTCATTTTGGGTCGATAGACATGGGTAAAAATGATTGCAAGATATTGTGAATTGCCAAGAGAGAGCTGAATGATGGGCCTCATCCCTTAAATGTGTGCATTGTGAGGGACCAAAAACACATTGGGACCAAAACATATGGGATCAAAGGGTTAGTTTACTATCTGCGTATAGTACACCCAATTCTGGTTGGTGGTTTGGAACATGTTTTATGGTGATTTAGTGAAAATACCTGGTTGGTGGTGACTGGAATGTTGGAACCATGGAATTTTGAATGACTTTCCATGAAAAGTTGGGAATTTCATAATCCCAACTGACGAACTCATATATTTTTCAGAGGGGTGGGTCAACCACCAACCTGAAATATTATCAAATATGATCCAATCTGCATCCCAGGGGTTGGCAAGTGAGTTTGTATCAAAATAGTTACAGTACCCCAAATATCATCTAGGCTTTATCTTGGGCCATTACGGGCTATTACGGGATGTGTTTTTTCGACAACGGCCACGGAATTTCACACGGCATCATCCACGAAGAAAAACTCGCCGCTGACCCGACTGCTACCCAGGTGGCTTTGCGGATGTCTTTCGCCACGGTGTGGGAACACATCCCTATCAAATCTATGGGACCCTCCCCTTCAGCGCGGGGGAGTGGAAATATTGAAGGCAGCAAAGGCGCTGGGCTGATGCTGATGATGTTCATTGAATTCTTCTAGAAGGATGATGGGACTTTCCCCTAATTTCCGCTACACTTAGAGTCCTCTAGCCAGTTCTAACTGGCTCAAAAAAGCATCAGTCAAGATACTTAATTAAGCTTATTATAAGTATATTTAAGTGATATGTTTCGCCAGTTACAGGAGTTATTTCATCCCATGACCACAACTGTTAAGGCCATAACTGGCCATAGCTGCCAAGATGCGAGCCCTCGCTGGGTGATCCCAGTGGTTGGTGCCTGGAGATTTTTACGCAGTTTCGATTTCGGACAGTTAATCTTACAATGTGGTGCCCCCTAGATAGTTAAGTTGGTTTATAACTCCAATAACTGTGGTTTATGGTACTTATAACTATAGTTAATGGGGTTTATAAACCAATTTATAACTAGGGGGTAGATATATGTCACTATCCTGGTGATTAATGGTGATTAATGATGGTTAATGATGCTGATTAATGGTGATTAATGGGATAAATGATAATAATGAATATTACCATAAGTAAACCATTTGTAATAGGTAAATGGAGGTTATGGCACCATAGGTAATCAACTATAGATGGATATAGTTACCATCTGGTTATGACTAACAGCTTGCCATGGAAAGATCCACCATTTCTAATAGGTAAACCATGTATAAATGGGCCATTTCCCATGGCTATGTTAAATAACCAGAGGGTATACAGTTTTATACAGACTTAGAGGTATACTGTTGTACAGACAGATACAGACTTAGAGGAAAGTCATATGCAAAATGTTGCGGGATTGCCAGACTGGTTGATGATATAGGATTTAGAATGTCCCTAAGAAACCTCACCAAGTTCAGCTTTCCAATTTTGTCCCTATCTTTTGAAGTTTCTCATAGCGTGTCATCCATGGAATGGTCACAGTTATGGCCCCAGTTATACCAGTTATAAGGACAAGCAACTCACCCCATTTATGGGATGTATAATCCTATTGAAATAATCAGTTATAACTAATAAATGGCCATAACTGTACTTATATCAAAAGATGTATGAGTGCATGGAATAGTAATAGAAATAACATATTATAACCAGTTATACCTAATAGCCATGGCCATCTCACTGCATCGATTTTGTGATCAGCATCGTCCGGAAACTCCGTTTCACTTGAGAGAAACAACAAAAATCGTGTGTTTTGAACGTTGCACTCGCAGAAGTCGCAGAAGTCGTGGTCCTGTTCGCTCTAACCAGGAAAAGTGGCATGCAGTTATGGCAATGGCTATTAGTTATAACTGGTGATTGCAATGGTGATGAATAGTGGCTGATAATGGTTCATAGTGGCTAAACATGTGAGTAATGATGGTTATAACTGGTGATTAACCTATGGGATTATACATGAATCATAAGTGGGGTGACTTGTTGTACTTATAACTGGTATTTCGGGCCATAACTGTGTGAAGAGGCAAAATTACTCTACCAGGAGCTTTAGGGGTACCCCATGTCTGGACCAACCTGCTTGAACCAAGCAACAATCACCTACAAAACCCTAGAAAACGGGTATATAACCAAGAACAGAGAGACTACCTGTGGGAATGGTAAGGTATGAAGCCGCCAACGCCGCCAACCTCGCCAACTTAGGGGTACCATAAGAAAACTGGATGGCTGTCATGATAGTAGTAATGATATATTGATAATAATCTAAAGTATTGTCATGATAGTGTTAACAATGATGACGATAGCAACAATGATAATAGATATTAATAGATGGATGGTGGTACTACTATTGATGTTCAATTTTCTGGTAGACCTCTTGCTTTCCCGTCAAATAAACATCAGGGAATCTCTGCGAGCCAAACTGAGAAGTTAAGGTTGAACATGGACCCAGGGAATTTGACAAATGCGAAGTTTTAAAATCATGCTGCATCACTCCTTCAGGGAACCTTGAAGCGGCCAGGAAAAGAAGCTGGGTTTGGGAGGAGACATCATATGAGAGGTGTACTGTGGAAGGACTTGTGAATTTTTGAATGAACTTCTTTTTGTGTCGGAGTTGTTGGCAAAAAATCCTTGAAGAATGTGCCACAATCTTGCCTGTTTTGATCTAGGGATATATCTAAGGTAAGGTTGGCCATGATCTGAAACTGGTTGGTGGTTTGGAACATGTTTTATTTTCCATTTCATATATGGGATGTCATCCTTCCCATTGACGCAGTCCATGATTTTTCATAGGTCAACCACCAGGAAATTTGGCTTCTAAGAATCAAACATGACTTGCTGCAGCTTTCTACAGGATGGGGCCCCCAAGATTGCTAAGTTGGATTATAAGTGGCTTAACAATGGTTTATGGTAGATATAACTATAGTTAATGGGGATTATTTCATGGTTTATAAACCAACTTATAACGTACCATTGATGGTTGATCTTCCCATGAAAAACGCGTTGTGTTTTTTTTGGCATGTTCAATTGCCATGATTACCGGAGGGTCACGGCAATTTAGAATGGGGTAAGTTCGAAAACTACGAAGAGCCGAGAGTTTTTGCAGTATACCTTTTTTTTAGACAAATCATCTCCGGTGTTTTCTTTTCCGACACCCTCTACATTGAGCCAAGGAGTGCCCAACTGGCCTGGGGTGATAGTTGCTGTACCAAGTTGCTCCAATGTTTTGACATTCTCTCCTGCTGCCAAAGAAATGAATGGAATAGAAGGAAATAACACGATCCTTATTTTTACTTCATGATCAAATTAAGATGCTGTGCATAAATTCATTCCAGCATTGTGCTTGCTTCTGATTAACAATGGTTCATTGTTTTTGCCTATCAAGTAAGAACAGACTTTGAAATGACTAATGATCTAGTTATAAGCGGGACCCGTAGCCTCAATCAACTTGAATGTTCAAAACCCAACTATGAACAGATAGCCTCGGAGTCTTTTTGCTGGTTATATATATATATGTTACAGGCTGTCATTATGCTTCACATCAGTTTCAGCCAATGTTTCAAGATCTCAGGTTCCCTCCCAAAGAACAAAACAACTGAACAAAGATATTTCATAGGACTTAAAAAATCTAACATGAGCTATATTTCATTGCCTGGGGTATAGTCCAGCTACCTTCAAGTAAACTCACATAGTTGAAGTTTTGAAAATGCAGCATAAAACCATGGATTTCCCTAGTTGTTTTTTATGTCTTCTGGAGGCTACCAACCAGTTAGGTCAGACTTTTCCCACTTGACCCGCCTGCCGCTCCCCTCGATGCCATGGGGCAACTGTGCAGCCCATGCGAAGGTGGCTTACAGGGTCAAACACCTCATGATGACAAGGTTTACCATTGCTAATTTTTGCTTCATGGTGGTGTTTACCACTTTTTTGTTTTTGTTTTTGTTTCATGTTGAATGGGGGATACAATTTCTGATGAATATCATAGGGTATAAGAAGGGATTTACAACCTGTCTCTGTGAGTTCTATGACGACCTCACGTCCTGATTTCACTGGAATGATGGGAAGTGGGGGGAATTATCCCAAAATGGCCTTACTCTTCAGGGTGGTTATTTATTCTGTTTTTTCCAGATAGATGTGCCAAGTGTCGAGTAATTTTCCCAGAAAAAACTGTGTTGGTTGATGCTTGTAACTTTGGTTCTTACATCCTGAGCTGGGTGAGACCCCCTGTGAATATCCCATGCTTTTGCAGCTTAGATGCCAATAAATTTGCAGAGATTTCCCTATTTAGTCCTCGTTTCTGTTGGTGTTTCCCACAGTTTTCAATTTTGTTGTTTTACACTTTGTTTTGTTTGTTAAAAACCTAACCATTTGGTGAGTGAACCCCTCATTTTTTTCGGTTTGTACCTGTCTTGAACTCATTCATTTCTGCTGGTTCAAGGGCTGAATTTCTCCAGTCCTCGGATTGTAGACCATTAAAAGCCAAGAAAATCATTAGAATCTGAATCAGCTTGACTTGGTGGTAGTTTACATTGGGATTGGGGAAAGAGTTTGCTTTATTGATGAATACTTTATCAATCATAGGTTCGCGCTTGTTTCAATGATTCGTCAACATGTCAAGGGTCACAACTATGAAAATAATGTGGATGAAACTTGTATTGTTCGAACAGTACTAGTTCCCTTTAACAGGAATGCTCAGGATTATGTAACATACATAAGTTTAACTATATAGTCTATCAATAGTTCAAGTTGTTGATGATTTAATGAGGCATGCATCCAACATTAATTATACAATGAATCCATATTAATCCCAAGAATGTAATAGTTTTACCTGCATTTTTGCCAGTTCAACGGACCGCCACAGGCTCTCCGGCAAGTTCCTTCACTTCTTTCTCCCCGAGAATGACGCGGAGGGGCGACCGGAGTGGCTGGTGGGCAGCCGCTACGAGGCCGGGATATCGCGCATGAATATTCCCAATTGATATTAATATTCCCATGATCCTATTAATGAATATTCCCAATTAATATTAATATTCCATGATCCTATTAATGAATATTCCCAGTTGAAATACCATTGAATATTAATATTAATGAATATTAGTGACCCTATTAATGATCCATTCCTATTGCTATTTGTAGGAATAATAGTATTAATTAATATTCATTCATTGGTATCAATATAATAGCCATTTATTCTGAATATTATGGCTATGAATGAATATTTTCATGAATACAAGTAGTACCCAAGCAAGCCGGGGGCGGAAGTTTCAAATTTGAAACGCATATATATAGCCTATAGAGCGGAACAAAGACTGTGCCTATAGGTGACCGGCAAGCCTCCTGTGCATCGCAGCAACAAGCTCTTGACTTGTCAATCTGATGCCATGGCTTTCGAATGTTGAATCTTTTCTCATTTCATCTGATCTCATCGCATCGCAGCTTCTCTCGGAAATTGCTCATTGCATCCCTCTGTCACCACAGTCTGTGTCATCCCATTTCATCTCAACTCATCTCATGTCTTCTGAGTTTTTTCACCTCATCTCATCTCATCCCATTTGATGTCTTCTCTCCCTTTATCAGCTCTTCTCAGCTGATCACAACTGTTCTCATCTCTTCTCATGTCACCTGAGCTTTTCTCATCTCTTCTCATCTCATCTCAGCTTATGTCAGCTTTTCAGATTTTCACAGCTCTCCTTAACTCTTCTCAGCTCTCGGCACTCATGTAAGCTCATCTTATGTGTTCTCATCTCTTCTCTCCTCTTCTCACATCTTCTGAGCTCTTCTCACATCTACTCAGCTGATCTCAGCTCTTGTCAGCTCGTCTCACATCATCTCAGCTCTTCTCAGCGCACTCTCACATCATCTCACCTTTTCTCTGGCCCAAAACCTGCTCCAAAAACGGATCTCGGCGCCAAAGCAAGCAACCCCTACGCTTTCCACAGAGAAGATTTGACACAGAGAAGCTTTTACACACAGCAAGTTTTTGCACAGAGAAGCTTGTACACTTAGAAGCTTTTACACAGAGTTAGGGAAGCTTTTATTCGCAGCAAGCTTTTACATAAAGCAAGCGTTTGTACACAGCAAGCTTTTACCCAGAAAATCTTTTACGCAAGGAAGCTTTTACACAGAAGCCTTTACACAGAGAAGCTTCTACACACAGCAAGCTTTGACACAGAGAAGCTCCTACACAGAAAAGCTTTTACACACAGATAGCTTTTAGACAGAATCTTTTACACAGAAGCTTTCACACAAAGAAGCATTTACACAGCTTTTACACACAGAAGACTTTACACAGCTTTTACACACAGCAAGCCTTCACGCAGAGAAGCTCCTACACAGAAAGCTTTTACTCACAGCAAACTTTTACACGCAGCAAACTTTTACAGACAGCAAACTTTTACAAACAGAAGCTTTTACACAGCAAACTTTTACGGAGAGAAGCTTTTACACAGAGAAGCTTTGCACACAGAAGCTTTTACACACAGCAAACTTTTACAGAGAAGCTTTTAAACAGTCAAGCTTATGCACACAGAAGCTTTTACACACAGCAAACTTTTACAGAGAATCTTTTAAACAGACAAGCTTTTGCACACAGAAGCTTTTACACAGAGCAAACTTTCACACAGAGAAGGCCAGACACAGAGAAGCTTTTACACACAGAAGCTCTTACACAGAGAGGCTTTTACACAAAGAAGCTCTCACACACAGCAAACTTTCACACACAGCCAGCTTTTACACAGAAAAGCTTTTGCACACAGAAAGCTTTCACACAAAGAAGCCCTAACACACAGAAGCATTTACACAGAGGAGCTTTTACACACAGCAAACTTTTACACACAGAAGCTATTACACACAGCCAGCTTTTACACAGATAGCTTTTACACAGAACAAGCTTTTACACAGAACAAGCTTTTACACAGAGAAGCCCTTACACAGAGAAGCTTTTACACAGAGAAGCTTTTACACACAGCAAACTTTTACACACAGAAGCTTTTACACACAGCCAGCTTTTACACAGAGAAGCTTTTTCACAAAAAAGCATTTACACTGAGAAGCTTTTACACTGAGTTTTTTTTTCACCCGCAGGCTTTTAAACTGAGAAAACTTGCTGACAAATCACTATCGCAGCCTTGATGCAGACACTCCAATACGATTTACGATGTCCAGCTGCAAAGGACAATAGTATTACGCACGCAGCCGCGGCTCCAAGCTTTCGTGCGAGACTTCCCTCAAAAAGTGAAAGTGGAAGATGTGAAAACGAAGCTTTCAATTCAATTGAATTGAATTATTAAACCCAATTCATTTCATTCAGTTCAATTCATTCAATTCAATTCAACTCAACTCAAGTCAATTCAATTCAATTCAATTGAGTTCAGTTCAAGTCAACTCAATTCAACTCAGTTTAACTCAAGTCAACTCAATTCAATTCACTTCATTCAATTCAACTCAACTCAGTTCAACTCAAGTCAATTCATTCAAGTCAAGTCAACCCGTTCAATGCAATTCATTCAATTCAACTCAACTCAGTTCAATTCAATCCAATTCGTTCACTTCAATTCAATGCAGTCTAGTTCAATTCAATTCAACTTAGTTCAATTCAATTCAACTCAATACATTCAATTCAATTCAAATCACTTCATTCAATTCAATTCAATTCATTCAATGAAATTCAATTCAATTCAATTCCATCCATTTCAGTTCAATTCAATTCAATTTAATTCAATTCAATTCAATTCATTCACTTCATTTCAATTCAATTCAAATCATTCAATTCAAGCCAACTTATTGTCAATCAGGCTCGTGATTTGAATCCGTCAGTGTTGTGGGCATTAGGTGCTCCACCGATGGAGACATGGCTGAGCCAAACACAGACTCAGTCGGTTTTCTCAGCAGCCTTCGGAAAAAGCCGTGAGGCCTACCCTCTTCGCCAAAACGTTTCAGGCTGCGTTGGTTCTTGCGCAGGGCGAAGGTGGTTCGGGGCGGAATTACACCACGAAGGTGGCGATTTCAGGCAATATGAGGGGACAGATTACAGCCCTCATTGCTTCGGCCGCCCCAAAATTGGAGAGCACCGTAGTCATTCGCGAAGTGAGGGAGGACGGTGAAGATAGACAAGCCTGGGCCCGGCTAGTCGATGACTCGTAGCCTTTTGTCACCTTGCGGTTGAAAGACACGGAAGTTCCTTCAAACTTCCTTTGATGAATACCAGTTAGTATGTATTCAATTAATTGGTATCAATATCAATCCAACTTTGTAGATAACACAAACTAATTTAATTAATACTTTTTTTATTAAATCGATAAACAAAATAGTATTTAATAAACATGATGGCTATGAATCGCCACGCCACTGGCGCCATCTGGCAGGTCATTCGTCCCATCGAGTTGATCAAGAAATCCCCAGCTGCTTGGACCGCTTGGCATTAACGTTTAAAGTGGACCCAAGCAGTGCTGTTTTGGCCATGGTATTAGTGGCTGAATTCTATGTGGTAATCATGGGATAATAATGGGATAATAATGGATAAATATTAGTGGTTTAACTATGGTTTTTGGTAGATATACAACTATAGGTAATGAGTTATTGGGATGATAATGGGATATTATACAGTGAAATGGCAAAAAGCATGAACCATTTTTATGGGGTGACTTGTTTGTACTTACAAGTAGTATTTCGGGCCATAACTGAAGGGGTCAAGTGAAATGTTGAGGTTGGTCTAGTTTTACCCCAAATTAACCCTAGATATACCATGTAGGACATAACCTTGTTATAAACCAGTTTAGATATCTATGGGGCCCCCCACTGTAGGAATTGATTGTGCCAGCTTTATATCTTTCTTCGGGGCTGAGGAAACATGCCATCTCAATGACCAACCCAAAGAGGTTGCAAAAAAACAATCATCAGTAGGTCAGTAGGGGCACTTGGAGGAACTCCACATTTAGTAGCTGGTTAGTAAGTGGGGTTATAACGTGCTTCAACCCTATAAATGGGTTAGTAAATGGTAACTCGCAGTAAGTTGGAGGTTATAACCTAGCTATAAATGGGATATCCCTGCGAATTGTGGACGAACCCGAGACCAGGCTTTAATAACGTGCTAAGTGGGATGATCCTCCTACCGTATACCCAATAATAATCCCCAGTTGAGGATACTCTGTGGCATTGGGCTCACGAATACTTAACATACCACCAAACTGTCAAGTCACCCAAGTGTTGGGCTTTCTTAGCCTTCTCTGGATGGGTACTGAACCACTGCTATTTTACAATGTTCTACCATTCGTGGGGCATTTCGATACCATTGACTCGGCTACAATGGGGTTGCTATAATTCGATTTTTAACCAACCATGAACCTGGTGGTTATTTCATGGTCGTTTCACTACCAAAGCTTGATGGTTAAGCAGCAAGAACAGAGATACCACCCACAAAAAGTATGGCAATATCACGGGATATGCTGTGGAAACGGATGGATCATGGATACTTTACTACAACGCACCCAACCGAGACCCATCTGGCATAATGGGGGTATCGGATCACAACTTAATCTTTGCCACGCACGGATATTTATCCATTGAATGAGCTGAAGATTGTCAGGCTATCCAGACTTGCCATGTTTTTTTCCCCAGACATTCGGAATTCCACCGGCATGATGTTGGTTTGCATCCGACTTGAAAAATTTGAAGTTCCAACTTCCAAGACATAAGGTTTGCAGAAGATGGTGATTTAGGCAAAACAATATGGAACACCTGCCAGTACATACGCTTAAGTGGACCCCTGGGCCACTGGTGAAACATACTGGGAATCGAAGTCAACGATTTGGGATATGGTTGAAGCTACCTAGACCTTCCATTGATCCAAAAAATCGGCACAAAAAACAATTGAACGTAGGTTTCCCAGATGCCGCCAAAATTACTCCCAAAAAAAACACACACACACACACGACACCGCCGTAATGCAACATGAAGAGGCCGTTGTTGTGCTGGCTCGGCGAAGAGCGCGCTGCTCGTTGGCCTAAATTATACCTTTGAGGCTGTGGAGAAAAGAGAAGGAGCATATCCAAATGAGAACTTTGAAAGCTGATCGATGGGGGATGATGGATGGTGCACTTTGGGTTTGATTTTCATGGTAAGCCAAGGCGAGTTTCTTGTGCCATTTGGCCATTTGGGCGAATGATTTTGGTAAGCCAAGGCGAGTTTCTTGTGCCATTTCGCCATTTGGGCGAAGGAGAATGCCTTTCCAGGCAGCACCGCAGACGCCGCGAAAAACAAGAATAGAGATGTCGCCGATGCAATGGCAAACCATGCTGCCGAGATGCCTCAGGCTCAATGGCCACGGCGCCGCTCCTGCCACAAGGCACCCCCCAAAACAAAGAGGAGATGACCGAGGACATGCTCACGACACTGTCGAAAATGGGGATACCTCAATAGCTGAATAGCTGGATTGTTTATTTCATGGAAAATCGTTCAAAAAAGTTGATGATTTGGGGGAATCCCCATTTCAGGAAACCCTTGCTCCTTTGGGGGAACGCACCAATTTCAATTGGGCACGTTGAGGATCACAGGACCAAGGTACCCTATTGAAAACGACCATAAGTTGTTTTGGGAGAAGGAACCCCCATTAGAATCCAATCCCCCGGAATTTCAAGGAAAATCTGCATGAAAACCCAGGCTGGAGGGGTTAAACTATTGTTTTCCGGTTCATTTTTCTCTTCAACCAATCCATTGACAATCAGCATATTATCGTTGGTTCTGTATCCCATATATATATATATCAAATATGTATATATATCCCACAATATCCATAAATCCGCGTATTTTGTTGTTTAAATCCCTCATTAAATAATATACTCTGTAGGTGTGTGATTTCATTCCATCGAAAAACATATCCGCTGATGATACCCCATGTTTTCCCATTGTATGCCGATTGTTTGTTGGTTATATACCATGTTATGCCTTTGAACAGCTTCATCGTATTCTCATTATATCCCATTGCAGCCCCAACTAAATAAAGCCATTGTGGCAAGTTAAATCGTTGTTTTTGATTGGTACCCTTTGGTAAACACAGATTTGGGAAACCCATGGTTTCCCTTGGAAATGATCGACGTTTCTGGTTGGTTTTCCACATTTTTTTGGATGTTTGCAGGAAGGCAAGTTCCAATTGTTTCCAATGTGGTAAAGCCAGTAATCAACAATCCATTAGTTACTTTTGATTGTCAATCATCATTAATCACCATTAATCGCTATTAATCACTATTATGTAATCACATTGTTGCTAACCATAGGAGAACCATCGACCCCTTCCCAAGCCGCTGGCGCGCTTGCGCAGCTTGCACACGGCGCCAGGGCTCGCGTGGAGAAGTGGTCAAGTTGAGCCCACAAAGTACCGCCCTGGTGTCTGGGCAAGAAAAATGATGAGTTTTTGCAGCTTTGGCTCTTTACCAGTTAGGAGCGGTTGGTTGTTGTGAATCACGGATGGCAGAGCGAATCCACTGATGGACCGAAAGCTAGTTGGAATGTCGAATTATCTATCTGTCTATCTATCCATCCATCCATCTATCCTTCTTTTCTGTCTGCTGGTCTATCTGTCTGCCAACCTATCCATCTCTCTGTCTTTTCCATCCATCTGCTTGGCTCCCTATCTGTCTTTGCAGCCGTCCATCCATCATCCTATTTTTGTCCATGTGTCCATCTGTCTATCTTTCGCTCTACTTCTCAGAGATCTGTCCATTTCCTTGTCTCTCTACCTGCTAAATTGCTAAACTTTCTATGAGGTTCCTCAAGTTTTAACTTGACAACGTCAAAACGCAGCAATTCTGCGAGCAATTCTGCGAGACTCCTCAAGTGTTGAACGTGGCAACGTCAAAAACGAAGGAATTCCGCGAGACGTCCTTAATTTTCGAAGTTGACAACATCAATCAAAAACCAAGCAATTCCGCGAGATTTCCTTCAAACATGGAAAATTGAGTGCAGAGCTGACGGCCTTGTGCCATTGCGTTTTGCGATTTTTCCGGTCTATGTCTCTAAAGTAATCCTTTCCCCCTATTGCTAACCCCCCCGCCCAGATACTTAAAAATTAGGGTCCATCTCTAATTTAAAGAAAAATAGGATTGGCCAATTTGACTTTTATTTGATCCCCTGTAGAAAACAATGAAAAACCATTTGTGGGTTTCGCCGCCTAATAATACAAACTAGTCAACCCTGAGGTGTTTATTATTAGGGTCTCTCCGATTTTTTTTTATATTTTGAAGTTCAACTTAGTATTAAGGCCTGCTTCGAAAACCAAATATTGGCAATATTTGAATTGCGTTTGAAAAGGACATTTGATTGATTTTGAAATCGGAAAAAATAGTTTTTATTATTAAGGTTTTTTTTTGAACTTATTACTAGAGTCTGCTTCGAAAAAAACAAATATTGGCAATATTTTCATTGCGTTAGAAGAGGAAATTTAATTGATTTTGAAATCGGACAAAATAGTTTTTATTATTAAGTTTTTTTTTTGAACTTATTACTAGAGTCTGCTTCGAAAACCAAATATTGGCAATATTTTCATTGCGTTAGAAGAGGAAATTTAATTGATTTTGAAATCGAAAAAATAGTTTTTATTATGAAGGTTTTTTTTGAACTTATTACTAGAGTCTGCTTCGAAAACCAAATATTGGCAATATTTTCATCGCGTTAGAAGAGGAAATTTAACTGATTTTGAAATCGGACAAAATAGTTTTTACTATTGAAGTTTTTTAAATTTATTAATAGGGTCCGCTTCGAAATCCAATTTTGGCAATATTGTAATTGCGTTTTAAAAGGAAATTTCATTGATTTTGAAATCGGAAAAATAGTTTTTATTAGTAACGTTTTTTAATTTATTAATACTGTCCGCTTAGAAATCCAATTTTTGGTAACATTTTAACTGCGTTCTAAAAGGAAATTTCATTGATTTTGAAATCGGAAAAAATAGTTTTTATTGTAAAGGTTTTTAATTTATTAATAGGGTTCCCTAATAATAAATACCACCCTAGTAATAAAAGTTACCTGAGGTGTTTATTCTATAGGGGGGTGGGTTTAGTATTAGGGGGAAGGGATTATTGCCCCTGCCACGAAAAATTGTTGCCAGGTCACACGAAGTGCTGCACCTGTCACGCAACATCATCTTAGCAAACCTACAGATCTGATGCTCCAAAATGCAATCTCTCGCAGGAAATCAGCGCCCGGACTAGCAGCTCTGATGAACATGTCTCTTGTATTGCGCCTGCCACGGAAAATGCATCTTGGCAGATCCTCTTGAAATGTCCCACGCACGCCATCTTTTTTGGAAATGTTACAAGACCTCACATTTTACTCACTTTTGGCAAGGTGCAGAATCCCTTGCCCCTGCCAGGCAAAACCACATCTGAACCTGGTCCGAGCATGTGGTGTTTTTAACATGTTGACTTTGAAATGTGTCAAAAGTGGTCTGAACCCGTCAGTTTTTTTCCACTTTTGACTTCGAAACGCGCTTCGCGCCACAAGGGCGTGGGATATGTGGTTGGTTCAGACCATGGAAAGTGTGGATACTCTGGCAATCTTCAGGTCATTGACTTGATGCACATATATGATGCACATATACATATATATATATATATATTTATACATATAATATAATATTGTATATAAATATATTGAGATTATAACCACTTATAAACCCCAAAAGATGAAGCAGCAATTATTCACTGTTTGAGCATGATTTACTTTCCTATTTGTTGGGGTTTCTTTTTTGGGGTTCCTATACATTTTTAAGGTACGCAATATTTGGGTATATGGTATATGGGTACCAGTAGTACCCGCACGAGGCGGGGGAGCACTCGAAGAAAGTAATTGCTGGTTAAAGCACCATTTTCCTGTGGTTTTCCTTTGTTTTTTCCCCTAAATGATACAGGATGGTGCCCCGTAGTTAAAAGTTGGCTTTCTAAATTCCATTAACTAGTTCGTTATAGGTACCATAAACCAGAGCTATTGGAGTTAAGTTCACCAACTTAGCTATCCTTTGGGGGCCCCCTAAATGACAACCAACGTATGTTCACTAAACGACAGCGATCTATGCCCCCGGCCGTATCCCTCACCAGGTTCTGGCCGTACGACCGGTCGAGGATGAGGGGCAGGAGGTGCCAATGTCATTGTGACGACTTGGGTCATGGGTGAAGGGTCGGTTCCTGGTTGCTTGATAATTGGAGAACAACGTGGTTATGGCAATTTGTGGCTAGTAAATGGTAAAAATTTGTTGATTTGGTCAATAATGATTACTAATGGTTACAGGTGATCATACATGTTAATAATCATCAATACTGTTTACTGGGATGAATCATTAAGGAATTTTTATGGAAATAATAATGGGGATATCATGGTTCAACTACCAACAATGGGTATTTATAGTGATATACGTACATATAGTTAAATAGTGACAATCAATTGGGATAACATGGGGAAAATGTGGGATACAAACTGGGGCCCCCAAACGATAGCTAAGTTGGTTTATAATTCCAATAACTTTGGTTTCCGGGGTATAACTGCAAAACCATAGTTAATAGGGTTTATAGACCAAATTGTAGGTATGTATGTTATGTAATGTAATGTAATGTACTGTAATGTAGCGTAATGTAATGTAATGTAATGTAATCCAATGCAACGCGATGCAACGCGATGCAACGCAATGCAATGCAATACATGCAATGCAATGCAATGCAATGCAATGCAATGCAAGGCAAGGCAAGGCAAGGCAAGGCAAGGCAAGGCAAGGCAAGGCAAGGCAATGCATGTATGTATGTATGTATGCATGTATGTATGTATGTGTATGTATATATATATACATGTGGTGGGCAAATGCAACCTTGAATTCTGGCAACTGTAACCATAAATTTAGGCAATTGTAACCTCAAATTTTGGCAACTGCAACACTAAATTTGGGCAATTGTATCCTTTTTTTTTCTCGCAATTGTAACCTTAAATTTTGGCAATTGTAACCTTAAATTGTGGCCATTGTAAGCTTAATATTTTCTGGGCAAATGTAGTCAAGTCTTCAAGGTTGGCAATTGTAACCTTAAATTTGGGCAATTGTAACCTTAATGTTTGGCAACTGCAACCCTAATTGGTGCAATTGTAACCCTACAATTTGGCCATTGTAACCTTAAATTTGGGCAGATGCAAACTTCAATTTTGGCAACTGTAACCTTAAATTTGGGCAATTGTAACCTTAATCTTTGGCAACTGCAAACCCTGAAATTGGGCAATTTATACCACATATTTATTGCATTTTATGCCATCAAACTTCGACATTTTATACCATCAAATTTGGGCAATTGACAATATCAAACTTGGACAATTGATACTATCAAAACAATTTCCTTAGAAGTGTGACATTTGAAGCCAACACATTCAACAGAAACAAATGTTGGTTCTATTTAGTTGGAGGTTTTCATGGTTTGACTGGCCCTTTGGGGTGCACTTGATGTTGCGAACTGTTAATGGGCAAAATAATCTCCCTAAGTTGTGATATAGCCCACAACTATGGCCTGCGCCCGGAGGAGGTTTCTGGCGGCTTCCAGTCTGGGTTGTTGAACATGTCTGGTTAATGTTTTCTATTACTGGTACTGGCTAGTTACTTACTATTTTTTTGGTTTCTAGATGATCACCAGTTGACAAACAGTTCCCCACTCCGATAATGACAATATAGTAAATACTATTTGATAGTACACTAATACTGATGAACCTCATTTTTTTGATAATATGTATATATATATATATTTATACATTGTTAATTAATGACTTTCGACTGTTTTTTTTGCTCCGTTGGACTTTGATATTTTTTCCCCACCTGCCAGGTGAGGGTTGTTAGATTTTATCTAAGTTGCCTGCTCCTCCTCCTCCTCTCCTCCTCCTCTCGTCGTCCTCCTCCTCTCGTTGTCCTCCTCCTCTCGTTGTCCTCCTCGTCTCGTTGTCCTCCTCGTCCTCCTGCTCAACTGCGACTCGCGATCCACAGTGTTCGCTGCCGGACCTCAACCACGACCATCCACGCCCAGTGTTCCCTGCCGGACCTCAACCACGACCATCCACGCCAAGTGTTCCCTGCCGGACCTCATGTAGGAAGATAAAATGTCAGATAGAGTGCCAGAAGATTTGCCAGGTAGAATGCCAGAAAATATGCCAGAAGATATGCCAGATAGATATGCCAGAAGATATTCCAGAAGATATGCCAGATAGAATGCCAGATAGAATGCCAGAAGATATGTCAGAATAGATATGCCAGAAGAAGATATGCCAGATAGAATGCCAGAAGATATGTCAGATAGAATGCCAGAAGATATGCCAGATAGAATGCCAGAAGATTTGCCAGATAGAATGCCAGAAGATATGCCAGAAGATATGCCAGAAGATATGCCAGATAGAATGCCAAATAGAATGTCAGAAGATATGTCAGATAGAATGCCAGAAGATGTGCCAGTAAGAACATGTATAAATGTCATGGTGGGGATCACACGAAGTAAAGTAATTTGATGAAACATTCTCCAGGGATGATTCCTGGAGAAACCCGGTGTCCTAGATATCACGCTTTTGGGCCCAGGCCCGCTGTTGGATTGATAGTGGAAAATCACCATTTTAAATGGGTAAATCCACTAGAAATACAGTTTAATGGGATATGAATGTGATAAATACTGTATGGGATAATTGAATGGGATTTTCGCTGGATATTCATGGGATAAATGAATGCAGCTACTCATTGAATATGGAAAAATCACTTTTATGGGGTATGAATAGTCATTTCATGGGATTTAATACAGTTATGACTGGAGTTTTACCAGTTAGAAGTACCAACAAGTCACCCCATTTATGGTTCATGCACAACCCCATAGAAATAAGTAGTTATAAGTGTATAAATGACCATAACTGTATATCAAAAGATGTATAATTGCATGGGTGAAACTAAGAAATCTTGTAGCCTTTTGCTGGTTCAATCTGTGTTTTCTTGCTGGCTAAGTCACTATTTTGCTGGTTTAATCACAGTTTTCATTGGTTACCCCGAAGCAGAACAGCGTCAGTATCTATGTGTGGTTTAGTATGGTGTTTGTGAGGGAAATTTGGGGATGTCCTCCGGAAAAGCATGCGTTCAATATGGAAAGTAGTAACAGAAAGGTATGGTGCATCTTCGGATAATAAAAAGGCTAACGCCCTGGTGCCGCCGACCCCCCTGTCATGGGGGGAGGAAGGAATGTGTGATATTTATTTATATATATATTTATTTATATATATATATACCTTGAGCAGCCTTTGCTCACCTTTATATAACATGCCAACTTGCAAACCAAGAATCAGGCATCTTGGAGAGATAGAAACATCGTTTTGAGCAGCTAGGAATAGGTCGGGTAGTCAAACCTGGCAATTGAAAATCCACCAGTTATAGAGTAGGATGTTCCCATTTAAACATCCATGTGTGGAGGATTTCCAATCGCCATCTTCACTTACCGGGTGCTGTGGTCAATCTCTGGCAGGTGATCATGGGTTTTTTGGCCAAGAGCGAGAGCGACGGCAAAGGGGACAGGCGGGCGGGGGACTAAAGGCGCAAAAGGTGAGCTTGCAAGGTGGTGCCTCATAGTCAGCTAATTTGGTTTACAACTCCAAAACTAAGGTTTATGGTAGATACATCATGATCTATCTATAGTTACTATGGTTTTTGTTGTCAAACCTAGACCTGGTAGGGGCAGCACCTTGCGGGGAAGTTCATGGAAAGGGGATTCATGTGGGCAACCCAATGTTTAGCCTACCATTTGGGGATGGTGATTCTTGGGATTGTTGATCGTTGGTTTTGCCGCATTATATCATATCTGCTAATCCCGTTTTATGGTCAGTACAATATACCATTACACGACGGAGGTATTAGTTTTCCGGACATGGTTAATAGGGCGAGATATCAATTTTGCAAATGGTACTAGTGCTTCGACAGTGGACAATTGCACTTTTGATTGATCTGAGGTAACTGAGATCAGTGTTAGCCTAACAGAAAATGACGTTGTACATTGACGGATTATCTTAATGGTTGGGATATCAACTGAACTTAAACAGTTTACGATTTACCTGAAGGTGCCATGGCATGTTCGAAAGGAATTCTACTAAATGGATGATGGAGAGATCCTGAAATTGGGATCCCCTTTCAGCAGCCAGGCCATATGAAATGGTCGCAGTTTTTTGGAATTCACTTTCCACTGATAGAAGTGTGGTGGCGGCCTAAAGCATGTCCTCATCAGCCACACCGTATTCTCTGAACAGATGGAAACCGCTGTATTTGTGGCAAGCCATCAGAGTTTAACCGAGTCACTCTTGGTCATGCGACCCTCATTAACCCCGATTCTTGCTGGTTATGTTCCATTGAATTCCCCATGTCTGCCGGTTAAATCACAATGTTTGCCATGTCGATAAAACCCATTGTTTAGACCACTCAAACACGATCAAATATGTAACTTCTTATTTGAGTCAGTTGAATCCACACGTTGTTCATTTAAATCCAATCTCTTTATGATGTCCACTTAAACCAATGTTTTTTGTTTTTCAATTGGGCAGTTCTCTATTGTTTTTGGTGCAAATCAATTTTTCATTTGCTAAATCACATATTTTTTGTTTTGGCTAATCCTTCATTTTGATAGCTGGAAACGTTAATCCATGTTTTATCAGTTACATCCCAATTTCGGTTAGTTCAATCATGTTAAATCAATTAAATCCGCAGTGTTCAATCCAATCTCTACATTAAAAAACAAGTGGACATGCAATCTGTTTCTTGGAAGTATCGATGAACATCTTCATGCTTGTTGCTTACATCCAAAATCACGTTGTTTATTAAATACGTTGTTTATCAGGACAATCCTCATTTTTGTTGGTAAAATTACATCAAACCACCATGCTGGTTGGTGGTTTGGAACATTTGTTATTTGTTATTTTCCATAATATATGAAATAATCCTTCCCATTGACATTCATATTTTTCAAGATGGTTAGAATCGGTTAGAACCACCAACCAGCATGTTGTCATCATTTTTCACCCATTCTTTGCTGGTAAGATCCCCGTCTTGGCGCCACGGCTATGGCGCCGGCAGGTCGTGGCCATGCGGCTGGGCTCAGCTCTGGCGTCCCAACGAGGGACCCAAGCTGAGTCGACGAGCGAAAGGGGCAGGATGGAGCTTGGGCGGCTGCGGCTCGGCGATTTTCAGGGTGAAGCATGGGGATTCAGTCCATAACTTTGGTGTAGAAATGGTATATAAATGGTTATAAATTATATATATTATACATTTGGTTATATTATAAATGGTATATAATGGTATACCATGGTATATATAATGGTTATAATATATAGCAATGGTTATAATATATAGCAATGGTTATAATATATAATATATAAATGGTATATATAAGGGGAATCACGAAATCACTGGAAATCATGGTTTATTTATGGGGGAATCATCCCCAGATGGTCCAACTATTCAGGTTAGTGAAATATTATAATTTACCCAGATGGTATATAAATGGTTATAAACTATACAGGGGTTGGTAAATGTCCCATTTTGGGTATATTGGACATCACCTGAAAAAGTAGCCATCTAGTAGACCAGAAATACCTAATGGTTGGGTGATGTGAAAAATGGGGACATTTAATGACCCATGTTCTACAGGTACCAGTATCAACACCAGTTATACATGGTAACCTGGGGATTTTTCCGCATTTTACCAGTTATAAATTGTTGGTTATGCCTATGGGGTTATCCAGTCCAATGGAAATGGGGTTATTTCATACAATGTGGGGCCCGCCAGTGATGGAACGATGGTTTATAAACCCCATGAATACTATAGTTATAGGTACCATAAACCATAGTGAAAATGGAGTTATAAGCCGACTTAGCTATCGTTCGGGGGCCCCACTTTGTATGTGATTTTATTGACTCACAACTGGTACCAGCCGGCCGTGGGCCGCTGTGGGGATGAAGTTGTTTGAAGATTATATGAGTTGAATTTCCACTGGCCACAGCTTGGATAACTTGGGGTGAACCAACATTCTTTGTTGGATTAGATACTGTGGATTTATGGATATATCATGGGTTCAAAACTTAATAACAATGTATTAATTGTTTAAGATTGTTTAAGCTAACGGGATCATTTTTTACTTCCTTCTTATTAAAACCGAACAGTTAACCAAATCCTCTAATCAACCCAACAGTTAAACAAATTGTGTTCACCAACTCAGCGAATTTTCATGAGTAATGGATGGATGGAGCTGAAGAAAAAAAACTAGAAAGATCATCGATCATCTATACGAAAAGGTGAGAGATCTGTTCTGCGCTTTGAAGTGTTTTTGTTGCACGGCTATGTGAAAATATGTTTCTTTTTAAGTCATATATCTATAGAATTCTATAGATATGATATCTTATATATATATAATAATAATTAATATAAATATATATATATATCACATCATGGGATGGTGTTTCATGAGATGGGATGGAGATATTTAAGATCCATATTAAGTCTTACAATTTAAAATTTTGAATGGTTTGTAATCCTTGTAGAAGCCATATTTTGGTTTCGATGTTGCAGCTTTCAATGATATGGTTGGTATATGGTTTATAGCTGGGACAATTCCCCATTGGGCGCAAGGCTACCACAGACTCTTAGTGAGGAACGGACTTGACCAATATGTCTATTCGGTTGAGGGGGAAAACAGTTATGTGTTTGGGGGACTTGACCGGTGAACATTCTGTGATTAGCGAATGCATGTTTTCATAGTTGTGCCAGTAAAATATGACAAATCGATATGTCAAATTCAATACAGTTATGGTAATATACCAGTTATACAAGTACTTAGTCACCACATTTAAAAGGAACGTATAATCCCATTGAAATAACCAGTTATAACTAATAGCCATGGCCATAAGTGTCATAACTGTACAGTTCCTAAGTCTGGATGGTAATCAATACTCCATAACTCAATCCATTGAAACTAGCTTCATGGTAAGTTTCCACACAAGGTGAGTGGCTTCCCCGTTTTCTTTCTTTCTTTCTCTCTCTCTCTCTCTCCAATCAACCCGAGTTAACCCAAGTTAGAAGTCAACTTAGCTATCATAAATCAGCTATAAAAATCATGAAATCCCTATTTGTCTCTCGCATGTGTCTTATGAACAAGTTAGCTTAGCAATCATAATAACCCAGTGAAGGCCAGATTCTTCTTAGTTAATCTCCTTAAATCACCATTAAATCACCATTAAATCACCATCGGTTGGTCTAATCCCACTCAATCCCATTAAATCACAAAGAGGAATCCCCCAAGGCGTCCCTTCAAATCGTCATGAAATTAGCATTTACCATCATTTACCCCTATAAATCCCGTTCAATCCTTATAAATCACCATGGATTCTCACAATGTGGGGCCCCCCAGTGATGTTAGATGGTTTATAAACCCCATGAATACTATAGTTATAGGTACCATAAACCATAGTGAAATTGGAGTTATTTGCACCAACTGAACGCTATCATAAACGGGGGCCCCACTTTGTACAGGATGGTGCCCCCAAACGTGATGTGAATTAGTTGGTTTACAAAGCCCATGAATACTAGTTCGTTATATCTACCATAAACCATAGAATTCAGCCACTTATAAGGCAACTTGGCTATCTTTTTTGGGCCCCATCCTGTACCCACCAAAAGAGATCGACTCAAGGATCATCTATCCCAGGTTATCGCGTCAAGGGACGGCCCGTCTTGAGACTCTACGCAGCAGCTCGTCGCGGTGGGGTCTACATGGTTAAGCCATGGCCCATAGACATAGATAGTTTACGGTTCTTAAATGCATGGTGATTTTTCCATGGCGAACTGTTAGTCATAACCAGATGGTATATCTCTAAGTTCATTTTGTGTAATAAATTTAAATAGTAAAGGACCATAACTGTACACATATGCCCCTACATTCATTTGTTCTTAATATATGATATGATATGTTCCCATCTTTTCAATCTATTAACACGAAATAAAATGTATGTTTGTACGTTTTCAGTCATATGTTACGTCATATTTGGCTGAATTATAACGGCCTCACTGCCACCCGACTAGAATGATGGGTCTATATATCATCGTCAAAGTGGCCTTATTTGGGATTAATGAATTGTTCTATTTTTACCAGATATATGATATTTCATAGTTTAAGAACCATAAAAAAATATGGTTCTCATAAGGATAGTAATGTGACAATAGTGGGAAAATATTGGGATAGTACTATTATCCCAATATTAATTTTAAATACCATCAAATTAGGATTGCCTGGTATTTTGCTGTGATGGTATAACCAGGCAATCCGTGGAAGGTTACTGTTCCTGGCCTGGATTCACCTTCTGGCGACGCGCGCCTGGATTCAAGTGGTACAGTAAAACATGGAATTCATAGTGATGAAGAGTGATTACCTTCTGGTAAACTAGCATAACTATGGAAAGATCCACAATTTTCAATAGGTAATATCCTGTAAAAAAACATATTTTCAATAGCTATGTTAAATTACCAGAGGGTAAGAATGGTGAATTACCATTCGTAGTAGTGAAAAGTGTGATTGCTAGTAGTTGGGACTAAGAGAATAGGAAACACTGGTTACATCGGAGGTACTCTCCATGGGATAACAATGGTTAATAGGGCAGGGTCTTATTATAACTGGATACAGTTGATAACAAGTGATAATAGTGATTACTGTAATAGTGATTAGTTGTTAATAACGATTGCTAATAGCCAATGGATAGTGATTCATATTGGGACTATATGGAAATATCATGGGTCTCAGTGAATCTGACCAAAAGATGGTGGAAAAGATGAACGCTCGGTGGCGAAAACATCGAGATGCTACGGAGCAAATTGAGGTTCAAAACATTTCCATGATGGAGCCGCTGCCTTCCCGAGATCCGAGACCAGGTCCTGAAAAACGGCCAGTTGGACATATCCATGTTGAAGGACATCGCAAGAATGGGCCACTGCTGGAGAGCCCACCTCAGGAAAGCGGCGTTGGGCACAGATCCTTAGGAATCCTTGATCAAGCGTTGCGGATTGGGGGAAAAATTGATTGGGGGGCCAGGCATGAAAGGAAAACATAGATAGGATGATAGGATGCAAAATGATATAGATAAGAAATCCACAGGGCTATTGTGAAATTGTGGGAGCATCAAAGACATCCTGGAGGCGCTGGACCGCATGTGGGCGAAGTACGGGGCTCTTGGAATACCTCTTTACACGTTCCACAGCGACAGAGCGAAGGAGTTCATTTCTCGTCCCCATCATACTGCCACCTCCCATCACACTGCCACCTCCCAGCCCTCCCATCACACTGCCACCTCCCACGTCCAGTGAGGACGTGTGTGGCTCGACATCAAATGTGGCAGACAGCCACGGGTGGAGATGATTCTGCCAGCAATGGCAGAGTTGAAGCAGAACTGGCGCAGTGGAAACGCCGCTTGAGGGTTTAACCGCCAACAATAGGGATCTATAGGGATCTACTTGGGGATAATTCATGGAGATAATAATAACGGATACCTCTTGAAAATCACCGAACTAAATGCAGGTTTCTCATTGAGAAGATAATCTATAGGTCGGGGTTTTCCATTTTCATTGCCAAAGAGAAAATGAGAGGTACCTTCTAGCAGACTAAGACAGCTTCGGATTCGAACATCATAATGTTTTTGATAGATAAATAGGTTATTTTGCAGTGCTATGTCAGTTGACCGGAGAGTAACCAACGATAAAAGCAAATTCGCTGGAAGTATGTTCGTGATAGAAGTGGATATTGAAATGCAATGTGCTTTTGTGTGGGCGTGTTTTTTTTTAATGGGGAATGCTTGAAGATATCCTAGTTGTGGCCATTTTTAACAAGAAACATGATGATCATTTGATCAATGGCCATTTCAGGAACCTAAATTGGAGGTATCTTCCATATATAAGGCCTATGTAAGGCCTATGTAAGGGGATATACCCCCAAAATATGGCCTTATATGGTACAGTACCTCCACTTTAGGATCTAGGAATTCCCATTGATATGATGTTGATTTGTCTTTGTTCAAGGCAAGATTGAGGAGACCAAAGTGGGGAACACCTCATGGGGGTTGATGGAGGGGATGGAAACTAAAACCTGCAACGTGGACCACCTGTTACAAGTTGGTCTCTGTTCTTCAATTCTAGATATGCACCTTAGGTCCCACTTGAATCATCTGTAAACTGTATGTTTGTTTCCCATGGAAAATCCATTGCTTGCTGGATTAAATGTCTTTTTTTATGGAGTGAACTCAGTTTGTTCATGGTTTTTCCTAGCAGTTTCCATTTCTTGGAAAGGGGTTTTAACGTTCAAACTTCTTCCATCTTCCCATTAATTTTACATCATTCAAACAGTTGAACAAGCACGTTTAAGGATAATAATTGATATGGCTGTACATTGTCATCATGCATACATGCAAAGCTTGATGTCACTGCGTTTACGATTGTGTGTTTGCTGTAATTTGCTGTAATTGATATGGTTGTTCATTAAGCCACAGCCTCACTCAATGTTCCCATCATGTCGCCCAAATCATCCAAGTCAGATCAGTTTGGTGACACTTTTTGTGACTTGGGATCCATCATTTAAGAACCCCCGAGCCTATGCTGAGCCTTTTGGAATTTAGGATTTGGACACAGAACCTTTGTGTGAGCTCGAGGAAGGAGAGGAGGCCACGGCTGGGGCAGGATCAATGACCGGATGACCGGATGACCTTACCGTTGAGGCTTTTTGGTGGTAAGAAAATGGAAAACCACATTGGAATGGCTTAATCTATGTTAAATTTCTGATTTAAATGGGATTTGTTGTTCCTATGGATCCAGTCGTACCTTCTGAGGAAGTATGACTGTGCCTTGATTTTGGGATCCAAGTACCAATATTTGAGTGCGTTTGTCTTGAAATGTCTTAAATGTCTTGTTCATGTTATCATACTACGATTGGTTGTTTGCAGATGTTTGGTCAAGGATATCACAGCCATGGTAGATGCAGCCAGCAAAACTTGAAAGTTCTTGAAATCAAATCATTGGAAAATCCTGTGGGTTTTCATGATCTGTACATGTCGTGGAAATTGTTGATATCCGAAACACCAAATCCACCCATGAGATAGGGTTTATATGATTTTATTCCGCAAGGTAAGGTATCGACATTCACCCTTTCCCTCGTTGCTCTGTTTACAGACTGGTGAATGATAGGTTGTTGTATAACCACTGCATTGGACGGGTATCTTGTTGATTAGCTTTTTCTGCAGTGGGAGTCTCGGTGATCTGTGCCTTGCCGTATCAGACGGATACTTTCCTGAATGTGCTGAAGTACCACTGGCAGAACTACAAGAACCAGGAGAGTGCAGTTCCGATGAAGCTGTTCTCCCTCATCAATGCTGAAGTTCCAGTGGAAGTAGACGGTGGAGCACCACCACCCGAGCCTGCGGGCCTACCACCCAAAAAGCGACCAGTAGAAGGTGGAGCAGCAGCACCGCCCAACCCACGACAAAGCATCAGCGCCTGCAAAGCCGCAGAGCCAGCAGGAGTGGCAAGGTGCCAACCGTACGTGGCAAAACTGGGGCAGCAGCAGTGGGAGTGATGGGTGGCAGGGCCATGACAAGTGGGCCTGGGGTTGGTCATGGCAGGAATGGGGGAAGGTGGACCCAAAGAAAGAGGCAGAAGAGGCAAAGAAGGCCAGGTTTCTCAGGCCCAGCCTCGTATTTGCTAGGTCTTTGCAGCAGTTCTGACTACCAGCCTCACATTTACTAGGTACATGCTACCTTTTAGACGACCTACGCAGCACACATACTCCCTCTAAGTACGTACGTGCTACCTATAGTCATATATACATGTGATATGTATCTACTTCCTATTTATTACCTGTGTGCTCTCACAACACTACATGTGTTTAACATATACCGTACCTACCATACATTCCAATGATACCAGTAGTACCGCACAAGGCGGTGGCGGAAGTTTCAAAAATAGGAAACCTATAGGAGAGGTTGGTTGTTGTGAATCAGGGATGGCAGAGCGAAGCCACTGCTGGAGCGAAAGGTGATTGATCTCTCGCACTATTTCTCTCTCTTTCTCTGACTATCTACCTACCTACCCACCTACCTACCTATCTATCTACCTATGTACCTATCGATCTATCTATCTACCTACCTATCTGTCTATCTATCTATCTATCTATCTAACTATCTATCTATCTATCTATCTATCTCTCTCTCTCTCTCATCTGTCTATCTGTCTACCTGTCTATCTGTCTATCTATCATTATCTATCTATCTATCTATCTATCTGTCTGTCTGTCTGTCTGTCTATCTGTCTACCTGTCTATCTGTGGTGCAGTGTCATTCAGTGTAATGTAGTGTAGTGTAATGTCGTGTAGTGGAGTGTAGTGGAATGTAGTGTAGTGTAGTGTAATGTAGTGTAGTGTAGTGTAGTGTAATTTAGTGTAGTGGAGTGTAGTGGAGTGTAGTTGTAGTTGTAGTGGAGTGTAGTTTAGTGTCATGTAGTGAAGTGTAGTGGAAAGTAGTGTAGTGTAGTGTAATGTAGTGTAGTGGAGTGTAGTGTAGTGTAATGTAGTGTAGTGTAGTGTAATTTAGTGTAGTGGAGTGTAGTGGAGTGTAGTTGTGTAGTTGTAGTTGTAGTTGTAGTGGAGTGTAGTGTAATGTAATGTAGTGAAGTGTAGTGGAAGGTAGTGTAGTGTAGTGAAGTGTAATTTAGTGTAGTGGAGTGTAGTGGAGTGTAATTTAGTGTAGTGGAGTGTAGTGGAGTGTAGTGGAGTGTAGTTGTGTAGTTGTGTAGTCGTTGTGTAGTTGTGTAGTTGTGGTTGTAGTGTTGTGGAGTGTAGTGTGGTGTAATGTAGTGTAGTGTAGTGAAGCGAAACGACATCTGAGCCTCCAAAAGTGGTGCGAACATGTAGTGTTTTGTACATTTTCACTTCGAAATGTGCTTCGCGCCACAACGGCGTGCACTTTTTCGACATCTGAATCTCCAAAAGTGGCGCGAACATGTAGTGTTTTGTACATTTTCACTTCGAAATGTGCTTCGCGCCACAACGGCGTGCACTTTTTCGACATTGCAACTTCCAAAAGTGCTCCGACGCTGGTGTGTTTTGTACATTTTGACTTGGAAATGTGCTTCGCACCACAACGGCGTGCACTTTTTCGACATCGCAACTTCCAAAAGTGGTCCGACGCTGGTGTGTTTTGTACATTTTGACTTCGAAATGTGCTTCGCGCCACAACGGCGTGCAACTTTTCATCTCTCATCTGGCCAGCTGGCTCCGCACTCGCCGCTTTAGCGAGCCTACTTTTCGACCCTCCGGAGCCACAAAACCACGAAAAAACACAGTGTTTCGCGACTTTCCTACCTTTTCGCGCACCTGCATCTTCTTTCTTCTGATCTTTTCTCTTCTGACTCTTCTCCCTGCTGACTGCTTTTTCATCTCTCCATATTGTCGGAAGTTTGACTTCCAAACTTCCTTCGACCATACGTACCATACATACCATACGAACTTTGACCATACATACCATACTATCATACCTATCATGCATACCACACATACCATACATATGAAACATAAATAAACATAATTACCACGCCTCCCATACATACAATACCAAACATACATGCCATACATACCATACCTACCTTACATAGCAAACATTCCATACCCGTCATAGTAACCATACATACCATACAGACCATACATACTGTCATATCAAACATACCATACCCAACAGACTTACATACCATACCTACCATCCATACAGTACTACACCCCCACCACACCACAGGGGGGGCAAGGGGGACAGTACTGCAGCTGACCCATGACCATGGCCGGGGGGGAGGGGGGTTGGAACGCTGGACCATATATATATAATAGTATATATATAATAGTATATACAAGAATATATATATATATATTTATTTATTTAGTATTATATATAAGAATATATATATATCATAGTATATATATCATAGTATATATATAATAGTATATATATAATAGTATATTTAAGAGTATTTATATATATATTATGTGTATGTACTTTTGACCCGGCGGTGAAGATGTCAACCTTAGTGTTGCTGTTGTTTTGTGTGGCTTCTCATCTCACTTTGGGGAGATGAGCTGTTCTTTGATGGCCAGCCAAATGTTGGGGTAGGAGGTTTTGGTCCGTGGACGCCAAGATTGAGAAGTTAGACTGGGCTCAAAGTTAAGAAAAGCCCGTGGTTTAGTTGGTCCAATGCTTCATCCCGCACTTCCCTGAAATTGGAAGTGTTCTTTTGGAAGAAGTTTGTACATATTGTAACATATTGTCAGACCCCTTAACCATTAGTAACCATTATATCACCATTATATCATATCACAGTTATATCCCAGAATATTCCAATAGATTTCCATCATGTTCCCGTGATGTTCCCAGTAATTCTTAGTTACTTTCCCTAAATTAACCATACATATTGGTTACCATTAGCAATGACTATCACGAGTCACAAATGATATTTGGAAGCATTAACCATATTATATCCCAGAAATGTCCAGTGTATTCCCATCATATTCCCATCCCAGTCTATATATTGCCATTAAAATCATTATTTACATATACAGGATTTTAATGACATAAATTATGTAAATAGATAAATCCTGGTATACATATACATAAATCATCTTTCATATGCATAGATAGATCGTAACCAGGATATCACGACACTGACGAAATAGGTGCTATTGCTGGACCTCGCGCTGGCAATGGCGAAATCTGCCGAGCCGCGACTGAGGGGGAAGGCGCCGGATGCGAGTGTGGTGGTCCATCCGAGATATAGAGTGTAGCGCTGTGGGGCCCTGAGTTTGTTTACAGTGTTTTGTGATGTTTTTTGATATTGTGTGATTATTTATACTGATAACATGTTGTTCTTGATTGTTCTTCTTTTGTCATAATACAGTGTCGCTGTTGCATTGTTGTTTGTTATACATGTCATTTTGTTCTGGACATCTTAAAAAGAATAGCAAGGTAGTGGTGGAGATAGGGCCCACATCTTTGGTTCTACACTGTGTTTCTTCTGCAAAAACAGGTTTTAAATAGACCCATGGCAAGTAGCAAACCCAATTTGTTTCTTGATATGAAAATACATAGATACACACAGTTGTGTGACAATACCCAAGAATGATTATTGAGATAGGCTAAGTAAATCTATGTGTTAAACAAGTGCTCGTTTTGACATCACCATTTGCTTGCTGCTCATGCAATTGTGTTTAAAGTAAAGCCTTGCAACATCATGGGAGATGCAGGTAGTTGCAGTTGCAAAGGTCATATCAGAGGTTAAACCTTCAGAAACTACTCAATTGTTAACCCACGATTCCCTAGTGTTAACGCCTTCTTCCCAATGATGGATTTTGGGCATTGTTTGAAGGAACATTTCTGATCAAGGTACTGTAGCAAGGGTGACCCCAGCAATCCTTGAAACTATCAAATAATAGAAGTAATCATCGCACCATGTCATATGTTGCCATCCTGCGTTTGTAGTTTAAAAAAAGTTGCAACACTATTGTTGGCTCTATTTACAGGACTCTAATTGAAATCGAGCTTAAGTTGACCCGTATGTGGAGTTGGACTGCCCAAAGACCTCAATGAGAGTATAAGAGCATGGTCAATTACTTGCTACTTGGCATGATGAACTGGTGACCAGCGTGGGGTGATGGGTTTGTAAGGTGCCATGAGGCCATGATGATGTTGAAGCCATAGATGTTCAGATATGTTCATATAGGACAACTGGCTATAGCGGTATAGCCTAGCAATGTCTAAGCTATGTACCGTGTAAAAAAAAACAAATCCCCAAGAGTTCCAGCAGTCCGAATTTTATATTTGTGCAACTATGTATTGAATAGAATACAGTATTTATAATATGAAGAATTTTACATTTAATTTTCAGACATTGGTGAATGATAGACTTAGTTCGATCATATAATCTAGAACTCATTTCAAACTTGTGTGATTACCCCATTGGTATGTTTCTGTTTGCAATACATACTTGTTGTAAAAGTCAGAACCTAGTCCAGTGGATCTACTGGAGAGTGTTCTTGAGCGTGAGCGATCAACACAATGATGCTTCAAGACTGAATTTGTGATTGGTTTTGGAACTGGTTCAGTTCAGATCAAAAGAACGCCTCAACTACTGTAAAGATTGCCTCAAAAATCTCACTTGGCCTTTTTACTTTAAATGTTTACATGGCACCGCTTCCTCCTGCGGTCTTTCGTGAACGCGCCGCGATGGCTGGTGCTGGAGCTCGCAGTCCAGCACGGCCAGATAGCCGAGCGATTGACAATTTGAGTCAAAATGGGAAATTCGAAGAGCCGAAGCATCATCGCACTGATACAGGGAGTTCTTGGGGCCCTCGTTGCTGTAAAGGTTGCGAATAGGGGCCCAGTTTTACCACGTTGTAGAAATGCAGTGTTTTCTTCTAAATCGTATTTGGACATGTGTTGTTCGAATCTATGCTCATAGACTTACATCATATTTGGACACATGTTGTTTGAATCTATGCTCATAGACCTTTAACTGCATTACTTTCTTTTTATCACGGAAACAGTCATACGTAGAACTTCAGAACACGTTGCAAACAGCTTAAGTCATAATCTGTTAGGCTTCAGCCGTTTGGCTTCAGCCGTAGTATTCAGGAGCTAATTTTAGGGGATCTGGAGGGGGGGCAAAAAAAACACAAAATATTCATATACATATATATCATATAAATAGAGATTTGTTTTTGACCCTTCCAGTCTCTCCAGATCTCAGGAAAACACTAGTAACCTATAGAGAGAAACTGTCACAGTATCTGATTTCAATTTGATGCGAGAGTTTATGAATAAGCTGAAATATATATATATATAGATATATCTTCTCAAGAAGATAGAAATGCACTAAGCACTAATGTTGAGTTAACAGATTGTATTATACTTTGTTGCAACAAATTCAAAACAAAACAAACATATACTTCCAGATTATACTGTATTTCTACAAACATGGTAAAATCGGGGCCCCGTGGCGTGACTTTCTGCTAAGGTACGGGTAAAGTTGAGGATTTCACCAACAACTCTTGGATTTTTGTCATGAAATTATATTAGCTAAGTTTGTTTATATAGGAAATGATCCAACCAACCAACTAATTACCAGATCGCATGCCCCATTGAATGCATATGATATGTTTTTTGACGTCAGAGGCGGCATCTTTTGTTGGTTAAACCACAATATTTATCATACTTAAATTCCAATGTTTGCTGCTTGAGTAAATCCTTCCGTCTGCTGGTTAGATCCTTATTCTTGATGGTTGATGATTTTAAATCACACAGTCGTTCATTTATTTCCTCATGGTTGTTGTTTCTTTTGGTTCGCCAGCTGAATCCCACTTTTCTGGAGTTACATGTTGGATATAGATTTTTTCTTGTGGTCAAATCCGCATGCTTTCAGTATTTAATCTCCATTTAGTTCGAAATTTTCCATGGTTTTCCATCATTTCTATTGGTTAAACCACCACAATCTGCAAGGTGCTGCCCCCCAGTTGTTTTTTGGTTTATAAACCCATCTAGCTAATTGTTCTTAGTTATGTAATCCAATTAAATCACCATTCAAAGGTTAAATCTTAGCAAGATGTAACCCAACTTAGCGATTCCCAACTGGCGCACACTTGCCATGGAATTTCCATTCAACCACATTAAAAGCATCTCATTTTTTGCTTGCTTAAACCACCATGCCCTCTGGTAAACTAACATAGCTGTGGAAAATCACCACTTATTATAGGTAAATCAACTATAAATGGGCCATTTTCAATAGCTATGTTAGTTTACCACAGGGTATTTTGTTGGTTGTTCCCCGTCAGCTGACGCACAGATCGCGGTCGCGGTTGCAGGTGCGCACAGATCGCGGTGTGGTGGGCTGGTTGACCATCGAGCTTCCGGGCGCCGCAGCGTTGCTTGTCGTATTCATTTTTCGGTGGATTGGATTTCTTTTCGGTGGAATCCCCAACACTGTGATTGCATTGGAATATCATGGATTAACCATCAATAATGGGGATTTATAGGAATATAATTGGGGATAATAATCGAATGATAAAGATATACTGCTTGGTGGTTTCAAACATTTTTTCTTTTCCATAATATATGGGATAATCCTTCCCATTGACTTTCATATGTTTCAAGATGGTTAAAACCACTAACCAGTTTTAGTTGTAGTATCAATTAGAATTTAATGAGTTTTACTAGTTTTACATCATAGTTTTTTGCAGGTATATATATATATACTAGTTTTAATATCACCATAATGTATCCTATTATACTAGTTATACTTATGCTAGTATCAACCAATATAATGATATAGCCATAATGTATCATACAATATGAGTTATATTTATGCTACTATCAAACAATATAATACAACTGATTATAGTGTCATATACTATGATACTATATAGTACTTTTAAATTTATTATTAGGTGGATATCCTTATATTGTGGCAAATATGGTGGTTCTCTGGAAGTTTTGTTGGGATAATAAATATTTATACATACTTGGGTGGCTCATCCCACGAATCGTAAGTAGGTTAGTTCACCCCAATTATAAGTGGAGTAAGCCTACTTATCCCACGGACACAAGGGATACAACCTAATAGGATTCGTGGGATGAGCCACGAAGAATTCAAAATTGTCATTGCTAGGTGGATTGGATTACTTACTTACTGGTGCTAAACGTAGGGAATGGATGGGACTGGGGGAATGGGATGATTATTACTAGTGATTATGGATCATTCCCTCATTCCCTGCTAAGCACGAGTAAGATTACTTAAGACTCCCATTCTTTTCCCAATGAGGCTCCCCATCTATTGCCAACAAATCATCAATATGTTTCAATATTCCCACAGGATGGGGCCCCCAAACGTTATAAGATGGTTTATAAGCCCCATGAATACTAGTTTGTTTTTTGCGTACCATAAACCATAGTGAAATTGGAGTTATAAACGCACCAACTGAACGCAATAAATTGTTAACCGGGGGCCCACTTTGTACGCATGGACTAGTTAACACAGTCACCTGGTGGATCATCCCATGAACCCTAAGTTAAGTCGGTTGTTTTGTCTGGTTTTCTTCGCCAACGGTTGTAATCTCTGGCAAGCAAACAAATTGTGGTTTAATGAAGTTTAATGTGCTTTATATCATGGTGATGAATAGGGAATGAACCAACGAAAATAAGTATGTGAATGGGAAATGGCATCTGATAATTTAACATAGGTATCGAAAGTGTCTCATTTATAGTTTATTTTATTACCTATCAAAATTGGTGACTGTCCATAGTTATGTTCCTTTACCCTAGGGCAACTGTCCCCATGTTTGATCACCTGAGGGTTTAGGACCCTTCCACATGTTGCGGTCAATCTTTGACACCCTGCAAACTAGTAATGTTTCAGCAGCTGGCGATATTTCTACCAAGTGTATAGCCTGTATAACAATCAGCTTACCAATTCAACTATAGGGTGGTGCCCCCAGTTTTGCTTTGTGGTTCATACCTGCTAAATGGTCCGTTGTATCCATCTAATCAACCCACAAGGTTCTCCAAGTTATCCCAGTTAGGTCGACCAAGTGACTAGCTATCATTCCCGGGCCTCACCTTGTTGATTTGACTGGAAATTGTAAAGAGACTGGATTGAACACTGGGGATTTGACTTATGTAACGTCCTACAAAGTGGTGCCCCCTAGATAGCTAAGTTGGTGCGAATAACTCCAATTTCACTATGGTTTATGGTACCTATAACTATAGTATTCATGGGGTTCAAAAACCATCCAACATCACTGGGGGGCCCCACATTGCAAATCTAGTGTAATAAGTGTAATATATCCCATTTAGTGGTACGCACCTTCTGCTGTTTACCCGTTACACTTCGACTGTCCCGTCCCAACATGTCGCTGTATCGTCCCGAGTTGGCCATGGCGTTGAGCCCAAATTTGGGTAGTTATATTCACAAAAGACGCATTCACAAACGGTGAAATCATCATGTTTGGCGGTAAAACCATCATATGTATTTAATGGATTTATACCCCTAGACTTCCAAACACCTGCTGGGACCGTGGGTTTTTTTTGCAGAGTATCAACACTTCCTCACATGGTATTTGGATGTATTTGGAGCACCAGGGTATATGAATACACAATTTAAATCAACTCAATATAAGAGTGTACTGTTGATTAAGCTCCGTTCAACGATTGGTTTGCCGACTCCATCCCAAACTGCCATGTTCCAATGATCAACAGGGACCGCTGGCATTTGACAAAAACTCCGTCTGTGCTGGAGACCCATTGGCGGAAGCTTTTAGCCACCCTCGTGAGTTCGCGCATTGAGAAAATGCTTTGCATGTGCCGGACAACTTATACTAAGTCCATGATTCTCCAGTCTAAGTTCCAACCAATTGGTTTACAGCCACCAGGCACCAACATGGTTACTTTGACTGCTGGTTTTGCTTCGTTGGTGATGGTTCACTGTTCCAGCAGGGAACCAGCCGTGGAACTTGGTTTCAGTTGGTTTCTCCCAACACATGTGAAGATCTCTATGACTTGTCTTCTCCTTCCTCTTCTCGTCTTTTCCTTCTGCCCATGCGCACGGGCTTGACTGAAACTTGGGACAACAGCCCTGTGTCTGGTTTCTCATCGATAAAAAGTTTGAAAAATGTTGGGCAAACAATCCAATCCACTGGTTGTTCAGCCAATTTTATGAGGCTCCGTCCGTGCCTTGCAATGTCCAAAAGTGAATCAGATAAAGGTGTAGATGTGCGACAGTTGACTGTGACACATGGGGGGAGTTCCAAAAATGTGGGATTATCAAGTCACTTTTGCAGTCAGTTCTAGATCGTCTAATTTGGATGATTTGGGTGTACGACCGTTTTAGAAAGGCATCAGTTGATTAAATGTTGTTTTCTCAAGACATATATCAGTTAGTGCCTCAGAGTACAAATCAGGCAATATGTCAGATAACATGTTTCTTCCAGGCAATATGAACACATATGTCAGTGAATACCTCAAAACAAGGAGCTGCGTCAGAGTACTTCTCAGGATACGCGTCAGATCACTTGTCAGACGAAGTGTCAATACATGTCAAAGTTTCAGAATGTGCACTCAAGGTTGTGAGGACTTTTTCTCCCGAAAGCAACTTTGAGTAGGAGCAAATGATTGGTTGATACATGAGTAGCTCACAGTGATGTTATCAACGCAAGAGGCTATGGCTCGAAAACTCGTTACCATTACCCTGAAGGGCGGCAACAGCAAACGACATGCTTCGGATGCCGCAGTGACTCTGAAGATGGCGACTATGAAGATAACGTCCCATCAATAAGAACCTGGCGCAGCGAGTGAAAGGACACATGAAACCTACAAGCGTTGGCCCAGCAATCAGCGGCAGAACCAGGGCAGAATACCTGGGACTTTTTGTTGCACAGATGGCAGAGGAACCAAACCCCACTTTCAAAGGGCAAATCGAAAATCAACCTTTTTCCACCCCCATGATTGTTTAGGTTGGGGCGGCTATGTCTTGGAGTTCATATGCCAAGTTGCACGTAGCATGTTCGCAGGAACACAGTGGATTTCATAGGGGCCATTTAAAGACGCAGCCAGCATTTGCAGTCAGTGTAATTACCCAACTTGCCTCTTCCATTGTGTTCCGAAAACCTTTCAAAATTTCGCGCTGAACTTTGTCGGCGTGGTTGATTTCTTTTTGGATTGGCAATGTCCCCTATGGACCCTGAGGTTGCTTCACAACATCAACATGCACTGCAAGGAAGCCGTCCTTAGCATCTCGTCACATCACGAGCTCGCCTGGGGCGCGGAGGCCGTGGAGGCTGCAAGTCACAAACGCACGCACTTCTGAATAGATATTCTCAAAAATCGATCTAGATAATATTTCTATATATATATACACATAAATCCATAAGTAAAGAAAATATATCTAGTTTGTCTATATATAAATAACAAATTACTTATATATATATGTATATAAAGCTATTGATTAACTTACTTATACTTTTTCATTTCTTTGTAATTATACACACACACGCTTTTTTACACCACATGTACGAAAAAAATGAGCGCGCAGTGAAGCAGAACATGATTTGGCAAAAAATGCAATTTTCAGGTTGAGATTTGGGATTGGACATGAACCCAAATTTGCAAACAAATTGGCATCATTGAGGAGAGTGTGACGCTTAATAAAAACATGTTAAAAACTGGTGTGTGCAACACCCTCCGCCTTCTGAAGCGTCCGAAATGCGCTGTAGCGCGTACTCCTGCGGAATGGTTAGAATCCCCAAACATGTTTGTTTTTTGGGGCACGGTTTCTTCTTGAGTTTGCAGGTGGCGTTTTTCCTGTTTAGTGGAAAGCCAGTTTCCATGCCTGGTCGAGTCGTTTTTCGATCCAGCTTTTTTTGTGCCTCTCGGGGATGGTGATCCCCCAAAGGGCCCATGATTGGTACAATGTGGGGCCCCCCAGTTATAAGATTGTTTATAAACCCCATGAATACTATAGTTATAGGTACCATAAACCATAGTTACTGGAGTTATAAACCAACTTAGCTATCTAGGGGGCCCCACTTTGTATCTAGAAGGCCCGAGGCCGTTTTAAATATAGATGATATTGGTGAGTTGATTTGGACAATTTGTTGCTTCCCTAGGGAATTCTCCTACCGATAGGTTAAATGTGAACTAACCCATCATCTTACGTTATTTGTATTATCGCAATAGTATTCCAATACCAGTCCAAGTATAACCATCTTACATCCAATACTAATCCACTTAGATACCTTATTTTAACCAATACTAACCAATATAGTAGTAGTAATGGTTTTAATCAAAGTAATACTCATGATATACCATTGTTTTTTGCAATACAAATACTATTGGTTGGTCCAGTACCATTCGTTATGATTTTGCTTATTACAACCAACACTGTTAGAATATACAATAAAATTGGTCATTAAAGAAAAACTAATGGTTACCCTCTATTGTTTTAATATCAATGGTTCTGAAGTATTTGTTTTATTATACCAGACCACCCCTGATAACCACCATGATACCCTATTTGAACCAGCACTATAATCTATTATACCAATTATACCGTATATAGGGTAATAAAATAACTACTACAACCAATTATACCAATTATAATCTTGTCTGTTATACAAATTACAATCTATTATACCCCACAACCCATGATACCGTATTATAAATCTATTACCCTCTGGTAAACGTTTACATAGCGAACTGGAGATCACCATTTTTAATAGCTACATCATCTATTTCTATGGGCCATATTTTCCATAGCTATTTTGACATACCCTCTGGTAATTTAACATAGCTATTGAAAATGACCATTTATAGTGGATTTTCCCATGAAAAATGGTGATTTTCCATATAGCTATGTTAGTTTACCAGAGGGTAACCAGAGGGTACAACCACCATCCCCAATGACTCAACGTTGGCGCTGCCCGTCCCAGGCAACGTTTCGCCGCTGCCGCTGCCCGTGGCCCTGGACTTCGCCACAGGCAACGCCCAGCATCGCCGCACCACGCGCCGGGCGCCGGCGATGCCCAGAGACGGCGCGGGCGCGGTGTATCCCTGGGACGTAGGCGGCGCGAATGGCGGCGCCGTTGTCGGGGACCATTTTTTGAACGAAAAATCCGCAGTGAAATGGCCATGGTTACTAGTTATAACATGTTATAACCTCTTATTTCTATGAGATTTTACATTCCATAAATGGTTTTTTCCGATAGGAAAGTCAGTTTCCACAGTTATGGTCCGGCATACCAGTTATAAGTACTAACAAACACTATTGATGTAATGTATAATCCCATGGAAATAACCAGTTAAAACTAATAAATTGCCATAACTGCAGGAATTGTAGACTTGGGGAAAAATATGAAGATGGGTCAAGTTACCTTTGAAAATAGCATATGACTAGGGGAATAACCATCCATTAACCAACTATGACTTAGGGTACTGTTTGGGCATCAGGGTTTTGACCCATAACCATGTGTTGAATGAGAAAAAATATCTTAATTACTGAGGTGAAATTTGATAAAACAAGACACTTGGATTGTTGGTTCCCCACTTTTTGAAATATCTTTGGACATACGGGTGGGTCATAGACTGACTTGTTTGCAGGGTGTCTAAGATCTTCCATGCATTGTGGGGAAGTGAAGGAAATTGTCAGGGAAAGTGACCGACTGATTTGTTGGCTTTTCGAACGGACAGAGTCCTCCCTTTGCCTTTAGCGGCACTGTTGCAGTGCGAACACCCCGAGTTTGACTGAAACGGGACCTTTTCAGGCCTTTTTCAAGATGCTGCCCAGTGCTGTGTGTGGTCCAGCCTCAGATTCAATCATGCCCAACATGTGTTTCCTTGGTCCGACATGATTTCAGAATACATTGGCTCGGAAGTTCCGAACGTAAACAGATCAGGCATGGTTTTTGGTGTTCACCACCATGGTTTTGACACTAAGCAGCACAATTTTATATCCATGTTCCCAATGCCAGCATCCTTGGGACGACGAGCGAAGCAAGCACAGCAGCATAAATGAGGTACCAGATATGAGAAGAAGAGGGGTACAACAGAAATGGGGATGTCAGGGCTAAACCACTACCTTCTGGTAAACGTTTAGATAACTATGGAACATCAACATTTTTAATAGGTAAATCAACTATAAATGGGCCATTTTCAATAGCTATGCAACAAATCACCAGAGGGTAGATGCTGGGGAAATGATCATACAACGGATCAAGATCAAGACCACACAAAGAGTGCAATACTGTTGGCCAATGAGGGAAAGCCACCCTGACCAACCAACAAACGAACAACCGTGTGGCGGGAGGGGGACAGACTTGGATTTAAAACGCCAACATTGAGCAGGTGAAAATTGTTGGTTGTCTGATTCTTGATGCAAAACGTTGTGCAACCCACATGAAATTGCCTGTGTATAGACAATAAATTATACAGTCGCGATGAAGTAAATTGTGATATGTTCAGTTTGGGTTGGTGTACTACACTCTTTGAAGGTGATAATGTATCATATCATATCATTTCTACTTTGTGGCTCTGAATATGGTTGTAGAACGAAACAAAATGTTATGGTCATTGAATGTTACCTAAATCACCCAAATGCAGATTAACATCCCCAGATTTCAATATAATCGTAGCGGACCAGTCATCATCTTTGCTGAATTAGACAACATTCTGGGTAAATTATAACGACCTCACTGCGACCTCACTGGAATCATGGTCAATAAGGGAAATCATCCCCAAATGGCCTTAATTCAGGTTAGTGAAATATTATAATTTACCCAGATCAATGGCCATGCAACAGGAAGCGATTTATTGGAGGTACCGATTCCATATATAAGGCCTATTTTTCTATGTAAGGGAATATCCCCACAAAATATTGCCAAAAATATGGTACAGTACCTCCATTTTAGGATCCAGGAATTCCTATTTGTATCATATCCCGACCAAGACTTGGTGTTGCTTCGATCTCGCTATGAAACCCTCATGAAAAAGTCTGTTTCTTCCTTGATTACCTAGCTACACATTGGTTCCTGGGGAGCTACTGCAAATGAATAGGTGCTCTTGTATACTACCTGGTTTATTCGGGGATTCTTATGCGAACCTATCAACCAGATTAACTGAATAACGGATTGTTTGAACATTGCTATTTTTTGGACTTTTAGATTTATGGGTAACTCCATCCTCCTAACATTTAACCACACATTTGATTTTTCAGGATCCCAGATATGTGATTATAACATATTATAACCCCCCTACATCCACGATGGTTTTTGCACATATCTCCCAGTTTGCGTTCTATTTCTAGGCGGCGTCTACCGAACCCTGGAGAAGCTGCAGTTCGATGAGGGCCCAACGCTGCGCACGCTACGCGCTGGGAAGTTGGTAAAGGTCGAGGCGAGAGATGGTGCACCTGGTTTATAGCTAGCTTCACGAATGTTCACTACAGCTACCCTCTGGTAAACATACAAAAAACTATGGAAAGATCCACCATTTTATAGCTGGGTAAATCCACTGTTTCCACGCCATTTTCAATAGCTATGTTACTCGTAGTTTACCAGAGGGTTTTTTTAGTTTAAAATCTTTAAGTATAACTAGGTGTGAACAGTGTTTTTTCAGTGTTTTTTCTGTTTTGGAACTATAAACCCCAGCCATTAGCTGAATTGGTGAACATAAATGGGTTGACTGTTTGAATTCGGGGAAAATGTTGCTGCAATGAGGAGACGATGGTGATAAAAACGCTGGCGATAGCTGGTTGATGGAGATTCCCGAAGATATGGTGCTTATTGGGGAACAACTTGATGAAACCCAGTGAGTAAGTGGTTGATATATGTAGATATATATATATATGTATGTATGTATGTATGTATGTATATATATTACCAAGGTATAAACGGAATGTATGGACGATTATGGAATAATCATACATTTATATATGCGAACAGATTCGAACATGGTTGAAAACCCCATGAGGTGGTTCCCCACAGGTATAAACGTGTTTATTAACCCATTCAATCAACAGATGGGGATTTCACCCGTGAACAATGGATGATTTAACATGTGCTTGGATGCACGGGAACCCACGATCCTGAGTGGTTCGAACAAAACATATTGTACCCCCTGGTAAATTAACATAGACCCTGAAAATCACCAATGTTTAATGGAAACTAGTCTTCCAACCCCTATCTGACAGGGTCTATGTTAATATACCAGAGGGTATATTTCATTCTTGGGTTTACTATTTGTAGACAATTGAATTTGAATATATGTTCTGTCCATTATGAACCCATGATATTTGCAAATATCTGTAGATTTGAATATGTTTTCTGTTTGAATCAACTAAGATGCACATCAACATATGCCTTGGCGCTTCAAGACAGCCACTTTGGTGTTGCTTCAGGGGCTAGGTGACCTTAACCCAGATACGTGAAAGGGAGATGGCCGAGGAAATTCAGCAGGCCATTGCCTGGCCTCACGAAATTGTAACAGCCACCCTTACAAAGGGACAGCAGAGCAGATCATCTCTGCTCGCTCTGTTGAAGGTCGCCAGCTTGTCTCTAAGATCAGGGTAGCTTGATCAAGGCGTACGAAGCTGTGGCTACGAACTTTGGAGTTCAGTTTGGAGACGAGGACGCCATGTGCCTTTTCGGTCGGCACTGCTGAGAAAGGAGTTCAAGGTTGACCTGATTTCTGATCTGATTACTCTCTGGTAAACTAACGTAGCGAACTGGAAAATCTTTCCTTTTTTCATAGGTAAATCAACTATTTCTATGGGTCATTTTCAATAGCCATTTTGACATAACCAGAGGGTAGGATGATTTTTAGGTAGCTCTAGCCACTAGTACGATCAACTCATTGATTCACGTTGCCCGTTGTGGGCTGTCTCTCAGGGTGAGTTGCAGATATCATGATATCATTCCAACGTGGATTGTTGGAATTCCAAGGGGGAGACACCTTGGTTTCGTATTGGATACCCTCTGGTAATTTAACGTAGCCATTGAAAATGGCAATTTATAGTTGATTTACCCATTAAACATGGTGAATTTCCATAGTTATGTTTGTTTACCAGAGGGTACATGTAATTTTGGTTGCATACCAGTGGTATCTGATACTACATACAGTGAAATGGCCATGGCTATTAGTTTTTACTGCTTATTTCTATGGGGTTATACATGAACCATAAATGGTGTTTTGTTAGTACTTATACTGGTAAAGGACCATAACTGTAGTATGCGCAAGATGGTGTGTGCAGTGACAGGGATAGAATTGACACTGAAGTGTTTCAGGCCATTCGACCTTTCGCTTCAAACACTGGAGTGGATCAGCAGCAACTACGGCTGAATTTGAAAGTGCCTTGGATTTCTGTTTTGCGCCACTGGTCTTGGTTGGTTCATTGAATATATATATATATCTATCTATCTATCTATATATATATATATACACACTATATATATATAAACATTGTATATATATATATATTATTTATTTATTTTTGGTAGTATAAGTCTGTAGGTGATATCTCACAAAGCGCATACTTTTGACCAAGGGCCACAAACTTTTGACCCATACAGTACCATACTCCTATGGAGTACAGTCCCCATGTCCATTTCAGGTACCTAAATTGGAGGTGCCTATTCTACATAGGGCCTATGTAAGGGCTATAGAAACTGGATATGCCCCAAAATATGGCCAGAAATATGGTACAAGGTGGGCACCCTAGCTAAGATAGCTAAGTTGATTTATAATTGGGTGAATTGTTGGGTTTTGGGGGGATATGGGAATTATATATATACGGTATATGATGGATATGGGAATTATATATATATATATATGATTTACCCACATATACTTTTCAATAATCATTCATTATATGATAGATATAATCTGGTTGGTGGTTTGGAACATTTTTCATTTTCCATCCAGTTGGGAATTTCATAATCCCAACTGACTAATATTTTTCAGAGGGGTGGCTCAACCAGCAACCAGCAATTGCTTGTGAATTGGCCCCCACCTTCATTTGCTGAAGTTTTGCGTGTTTTTTCCAATGGGAAATCCATTATTTGGGGATTCTATAGGGAATATGTTCCTATGTGAGTAGTTAATGCTTTTTTGATGTTATAGTCCCACTATTAGCCATGATTAACCATGTTTTCCGGGTTTGTTAAGCAGATCCAATAATCATGGACATCACCTTATTCCCTTTGAGCCCTAGGTGGAGTCCGGAACCCTTGCACCTTGGCTGCAGATTGAGTTGAGGCTCTTCAGAATCTGAGAAGACTTTGGTGCAGAATGTTGGGGATATAAATGGTGTATGTATATATATATATAAGGTGGCGCCCCCATAGTTTACACAGTTGATAGCCATTACTCGAATAACTAAGGTTTATTGTAGATATCTATAGTTACTTTGGTTTATAAACCGACTCCACCTTGTATCTAATAAAACTGCATAATCGGAAAAAAATGTGATTCAGTGTTGGTGATAGAATGAAATTGTTTGTTTTCGCATCTTTATTAACATCATATTTCATGATAAAGTCATATATATATATATATAAATACTTGTTTCCCCATTACACCATTTTAAAATGATGGCTTTTCTCCCTTCAAAAAAAGAATGATGTTTAAGTCATCCTCCAGGTGGCCCCGGCCACTTGGGAGTTTCTTGGTGAATAGTTTCACCATGGTGAAACACCAAATTAGCTTAGCTATGGCTGGTTTATTAGTACAGGTAATACCATGGTTTATTAGTACAATAATATTGGTTTCACCATGGTATTACTGGTTTGTTAGTTTACAGATATTACTGTACAATAAACCCTCGGTCCTCGGTATTACAGGGTGGTCCATAGCAAAGTTGGCGCCTTGAACGGCAGGCCGGGCGCAGCGGCTGGATTAGCACCAGCAGTTGCATTGCGGAGGCAGCTCTGGATGTGAGGAATCACTTGGAGTTTCAGCCGCTTGGCGAAAAACATTAGTCAGACTGAGGAATCACATCACTCACTTGGATGTGAGGAATCACATCACTCAGACTGAGGATCTATGATTCATACATTCATTCATACTATTCTATTGAACATGTTTTTTGAATGTGGATATGGGAGAAAGTTCCAAGTGGGACCACTTATCATATGGAATTTCGTATTTGACATACTTGGGAATATTACTACACCATATACGAATTAGGCATAGCCTTGGAACTCATGGAGTTGGGGCATATACCCCTTTCATGCACGATGGATACGATTGGTTAAATAATGGCTGAGAACAAATGAAAGTCATGGCTCTTGGATGTACTTAATGGGATATCAATTTATTGCGAAATACAATGCTGCGCTGGTAATATACTCATTGAGTTGCGAAATATAGTAATGTCGGATCCTGATTAGTGTGGCCCCCCCCCAAACAATTCTGAGAGTCTCTTTAATGTGTTTTTTTAAGTGATGGGGTCTGAAAAATATGGAATCACTTCATTTTGATAGATTTCAATTTACTTTCAATTTACATTCAACTGACTTCAATTGATTTTCAATTGATTTCAATTAATTTCAATTTAATTTCAATTGATTTTCAATTAATTTCAATTGATTTTCAAGTGATTTCAATTGACTTCAATTGATGTTCAATTGATTTCAATTTAATCACCTTGAAAAAATGTTTGAGTGCAGCTTTTTTATTGGGTTTTCAAAAGACATCCTATATTTTGGGAAATTAGACATTTTGAGAATTCCAAAAGAACTGAGCTAAGTAAAAAAGAGAAAAGTATTGGGAAAAGAAAAGGAAAGGAGAAAAGGATTTTGGAAAATGTTCACTTCCAAAAAAAGCTTGACACAATAGAGGACCCCCACAACAAACATACTATTGAAGATCAGGGTTGCTCATGGGGTACACCCTTTGAAAAATTGTGTGAGTGCGTTTTTTTTGTTGGGTGTTAATAAAGGCATCCTATAAGTGTTTTTTGTATGTTCAAAAACATGTTGCAAGTATTCATTGAAAAACAAAAGTGAAAAACAAATGCTGAACAAAAAAAAATGGCCATGCAAAAAACTTGACATAATACCGACCCACCCCAACAAATACACTGATTCAGAATTATTTTGGAAAAACTTGACGCAATACCGACCCACCACACTAATCGGGATACTATATTAATGAGGGAGCATTCCCATACTAGTATCCATACAATATGATAATATGTTCAATACGAGTCAGTTATAAGTTGGGGGTAGAACAGTTGGATTCAATTTTTATACGAAGGATAATCTTGGAGAGTCGCCACTTAAATCAACCGTGCGAACCCTGCGAAGCAATGGGGTAGACCTTTTTTGTGACTTGGAGGATCACCCCACTTAGGAACACTTCGAAATCCAATAATGTGGTTAAAACCATCAAAAAGTGGTGTATAAACCATAAATTCACCATAATTCACCATAAATGGGTGGTATAAACCATCAAAAATGGGCTGGTTTATGACATTCTTTTAAGCAGAGATGATCCTCCAGGTATCACAGTTATATGTTCCATGATTATCCCATGATCAATCCCTATAACTATGGTTAAATATGATTTATGGTTGACATTACTACATTATCCTTGTGAGCAAGATCTGTTCACTATCATTCATATGATTGACTATTCTTGACTCTTGGCAACTATTATTCATACATATTAGCCATTATTAACCATGTCTCCAACAGCTGGAGGCATTGTCACATCTTTACAGGTCCAACGAAGGTTTTATTTGCTAAGGCAAATCCCAAATGACGATGATACAAACCATCATAAATCCACATTAGTTCCACTAGTTCGTCCAGATGGGCAACCCATTAATTATCATGTTTTTCCCTTGTCAATTCTTTTTTGTGTTACATCTAGTCTTCCTTTAGTCCCATGTTTTTTGTTCCCAATATTTTTATACCACCACCATGTTTTCCCTGATGCACGCTCCACACCCCGCTCCAAGGCAAGTGACCGAATCCCCTGCCCCTGCGGATGAATGGACTGCCGATGAGGCGAATTGGGCGAGATGGATGAACGGTCGACAGTTGCTGGGTGAATCTTTCATACTCACCAACCCATACGGTTATGGGTCAATTCTGGGTCAAAAAAAATGGTACCCTAGGATAGCTGGATTGCTATTCCCCAAAATGTGGTAATTTCATAGGAATTTGACCCGTCCTCATAGAAATCCGCAAAAGATTCTAAAACCATAGACTCTGAAGGTATCAGTTATTATTGACCCAGATCCAGCAAATTGATCACAAGTCCACCGAGTTACTTCCCATCAGCATGCAACCGCGGTATATCCCACTTAATGGTTATTTCTATGGGGTTATCATGAACCATAAATGAACTTATATATTCAATTTGGCTTATAGCTGGTATTTAGGGCTTCAATTGTAGATATATGCAACAAACAAATCCTAGTTATTGGAGTCATGAACAAACTTACCTATCTATTGTTGGTAGTTGACATATGCAGGTTTCCTAAAATAGGGATACCCCCAAATCATCAATTTTAATAGGGTGTTCCATTATAAACCCATCCATTTTGTGGATAATACCCTCTGGTTATTTAACATAGCCATGGAAAATGGCCCATAGATCCATCCATTATAAACCCATCCATTTTGTGGATCCCCTATTTATGGAAACCCCCATATGATCCCCACCGCCATTTCTCCTCCGCCAGGTTTTCACCGTTCGTTTGCAACGCACCGCACAAGTGACTGCTCTCGGGGTGCAACTCCGGGGCTTGGAGGTGGTCTCTTGGCCAGGCCAACGCCGTGGATTTCATGGTGGATTTCCTTGGGAACACATGATGGATCCTACTTTTTGTGGGGCCCCCCAGTTATAAGTTGGTTGGTTTAGATAAGCCCCAGTACCTAGTTCGTTATAAGTACCATAAACCATAGTGACATTGGAGTTATGTGCACCAACTGAACGCTATCTTGGGGGCCTCACATTGTAGGGAAAATGGTGATGTTGGATGGATTTTCTTCATGGATTTTCCATGGTGGTGACATGTGACAAAATTTGGGGATTTCATGGATCTTAATGATTTAATGTAAGTGGATTTTCATGGCGATTTAGCATCTATTTTTGTTACAGTAGTCGTGAACCATTCTACTTTGTAATAGGTAAATCAACATAAGCCATGGAACTAAATGGGTCATTTTCCAGTTCGCTATGTTGAATAACCAGAGAGTAATGGGGAGATTGTCAAAATTCTAGGAATCATGGTAATGTTCACAAAAAAATGTAAATCGCGATTTGAATCAACAAAAACGAACCACAAAGTTGGATTTGAGATTATTCGAGTCAGCACAGATGGAGATCAACAGAGTGAACACTTGGATTTAACGAACACAATATTGCTGTTGCTGGTAAAACTCAAGGTTTGGCCAACAAAAACTGATTGGTGGTTTGGAACATTTTTTATTTTTCCATATGTTGAGAATAATCATCCCAACTGACTAATATTTTTCAGAGGGGTTGAAACCACCAACCAGAAAATGAGGATGTTTGTCTATGGTTTAAGCATCAATCCTGTGGCATTTTTTAGCCGCAAAAAAAAAAAACTGGTCTACCTAGGGAGTGCCGTTCAGTCCCCATGTTGGTCAGATTCTACGTATATTAATGTGTATATATATATACACATATTGTTCCTGTTTATTGTGAGGAAATGGTATCTTATTTTTTTTGTTTACTTCCGTTTTGGGTGATGTTGGTTGAAATTCAGATCTTACTTTCCCGGTTCTTTTTGCACTGAGGATGTTGTTTTGGAAGAGGGAGCCTTGCCAAGATGGAACAAGGCTCACGGTAAATTGCACCTGCAATTGGTGTGGATTAAAATCAAAACTGGCAAGTGTAAGTGAAGACTGAGAACAACAGTTGAGACCCTTTACCAATTATATTATAAGCGAGTTGTAAGTTGTAAGTCCATTTATGGAATGATAACCCCCAAAAAATAGCCATTTATAAACATTTACAATCAGAAAAGGGCCTTCACTGAAGACATTAATAAGAAATAATAAGGGCATAGGTTAGGTATGGTTCAAAAATTCAGGCCCGGGGATCACACATATGGTGTTTATTCTCAATTGTTAATCATTTTGTTGTGGGGGTACCTATATATAGTCCTATATAAGTGATCCATACGCATATAGACCACTACAAGACTGACGGACTTGGGGCGTTACTGCTATTGTTGCTGAAGAACTCGTTGGTTTTGGCCGAAGCACCATAGACTAAACATTATTTAAAGCACAACACAAAATCAACATAACACACAATACAATCAATCAAAAAAAACACTAGGTTTCATTTCAATCCCAATCATTTCAAATCAAAGCCATGCAAAGTCGAAATAATCAATTCATATTTTCCTCTAAACCGACGCTGTGGAAAACCCAGGATTTGTAGGATGATTAAATTCGTTTTAATTCACCATTTTGATTGGTGCCAATGAAATTCGTATTGGTTGGTGAAATCCAATTAAATCACCAGAAGTTCCCCAATCAAAAACTACTCCAATTAAATCCCATGAATAATTACCCTCTGGTAATTTAACATAACTATGGAAAGATCCACCATGCTATTAATGGGAAAATCCACTATTTCTATGGCCATTTTCAATAGCTTTTTGTATGTTTACCAGAGGTATATCCGATTAATATCCCATTATTCACCATTATTAACCATAGAAAATCACCATTTATAGTGGTTAAAAATGGCCAAAATCCCTTACTTTCCAATCAAAACTCCCTCATCCCCCAGTCTCCGTAGGCGGCCTCTCCGGAGCAGCGCGTGCAAAAGGGCGACCGCGTCCTGGCGGTGAATGGCCTGCGCGACAGCACGGAGTCCATGACGCGCGGTTCGATTTCGCGGTCTGGGGGGTCTGGAGGGGTGATAGCATGATATAGTTTACCCTCAGGTAAACTAACGTAGCTATGGAAAGATCCACCCATTTTGAATGGGAAAAATCACTATTTCTATGGCCATGCTCAATAGTTATGTTAGTTTACCAGAGGGTAATGGTTAATAATGGTTGATATATGGTTATTAATGGTTAATAATGGTTAATAATGGTTGGTTAATAATGGTTGCTTGATCTACGGGTGATATATGATATACCGAAGGGAGATCATCTGGTTGGTGGTTTGGGAGATAATATATATGGGATAATCATCCCTTTGTAGTGATTCAATGGGATTTATGATGATTTAATGGGACTTTATATACTAATGGGATATGAATGAATGGGATGCCCTCTGGTAAACATACAAAAAGCGATGGAACATCGCCATGCCATGAATTGGAAAATCAACTATTTCTATGACCATTTTCAATAGCTATGTAACAAATTACCAGAGGGTAATTGACTTTCATGGGATTGATAGTGGGTTAATGGTGGATTAGAGGTGGTTAATAGTGGGTTAATTATTAGTGATTATTGTACAATGGCATTACTTGCTGATTAATATAGTGATTAAGAATGGGTTTATAGTGGTTAATCGTGGTTTTCATGTACATGGCTAATGGTTACCCTAATTGTTAATAGTGATTAACGGTGGTTTATAGTGATTAGCAGTGGTTAATGGTATTGATGCGAATCAAATGATGGTAATATAGTTCTGCTTACTGGTGCTAAACGTAGGGAATGAGGATATGATCCACAATAACTATTAATCCCAGCAACCCCCAGCAACCCATCCATTCCCTACGTTTAGCACCAGTAAGTATGTAATAATGAGAATGTAATTGGATCAAGTTAACTGAGTTGACTGCCAACAAAAAAAACCGTCCTTGGAACCGGGAATGCAATGGCGGTTTCATAGTGGTTGATAGCGTTTTTGTTTCCGGATTTTTATGGATTGGAACTTAAACCGAATCATGGGATGTCTTGGATTTCATTGGGGTAATAGTAATATAGTGGGATATTATCTGGTTGGTGGTTTGGAACATGTTTTATTCTTCCATATATTGGGAATTTCATAATCCGAAATGACGAACTCATATTTGTTCAGAGGGGTAGGTATACCACCAACCAGTTTTGGTAATGTAAAAAAATGTAATATAATGGTAATGGGAGTCACAACGATCAATAGTGATCAATCGTGATTAGTAATGATTAATCATGGGCTTTACTAGTGGGTTCATAGTGGTTACTATTGGTTAACAGAGGTTAATAGTGGTAAATTGCCGTATTAATACTTATTTGTTATTTGTTGTTTTAGTGAATGCCTGGATTTGATTAAGATGATTTTTTCAATGGGACATGTAGTACTTGGGGAATCTATAGGGAATATGAATATGTTTTATTGTTGAGGGGGTCCTTAAGCAATTCCAAGTAGTAATGGGAATGTAATGGTCCATAGTGGATCATAGTGGTTAACTGTGTTTAACAGTGGCTAACAATTCCTCTGACTATCAAAAATGGAAGGTAATCATCCAACAAAAAAATGTTACCATCAAAATACTATGAAATATGGGGAAGATAAATGGTCATACATAGTGGTTGATAGCGATATTTTATAAGACAGGAACTAATTTCCAAAAGTTTGTTTTTGCCTCCTTTTACCTCCATGAAGAAAGGATTTGCCAAGACGTTACCGGCAAAGCTGAAGTGTTGTTTGCAAAATGAAGGTCCTTTTGCAGCAAAAAATGGGAGTCAAGAATCAAACATTTGGGTACTTGAACATATTAGGGAGCAAGCATTAATAGTTCTGCCATGCGCAAAATACCATTGTGGATTGGTTGTGAAAGAAAGAATTTTACTACCTGGTGATCGAGGGCTATGCACTAACCCATTTCTTGGGCATCTACCAACCAGCTAGTATAATCTTGATAAACCTAAAAATCACCATCAAAAATTATGTTTTATGAAACTTGACATTCGAGCCAGGACGATGGAAATGCCGTATGACCAGCCAGGCGAGCGATGCTGGAGGCAGCCCTGGCCTCACGTGTCTGATATGATCCTGCTGGACCTGGCCAAAAACCGCCTGACCTGCCCTGACCCGTGGCTGCCAGTCGCCTTACCGGCAGAAGGGAGGAGCTGTCCGACCATCGACGAGCAGCGTGACCGGGACCCACAACCAGCTCCCGGATCAAGGGGATCAGGTTTCGGATGCGGCCAAGGGAGGGAACTTAAGCCGAAGGAAGATCATAGGGGTTGACCTACAACAGTGAGACTAGTCATCAAAACAGGAATTGATCATCAAACATGGTGTTTAACTGTTTAACCATCAAAAGCGTTGTTTAACAACCAACCCATGGAAATTTGATCAGCAAGTTGTGGATCCAAATCAATAAAGAATGCATCATTACAGAAATTTTCCAGAATTGGAAGCGACTCACAACTGATATATATTGGAGGAATGAATCCCTATAGTTATATACCACTTCACCTTAGAGATAGCACCAATTACGCAATTTCTCCTTTGTCCTTCTATATTACATTCTTTGCTCCTGTAATGTGCCAATAAACTTCACAATTTTTTAAAATGTTTAATATGAAAACAAAATTGATCAATGAGAAGAGGATAGCTTCCAAGAATCGCCCTGAGCAGATATAGCCAACTGAACTTGGGAAACAGCCCACCATGGAAGGGGTGCTATGGGAGGCCATAGCAGCTCTTTTGCCCAAGTTAAGCAGTCCACTGGAGGCACCTATCAACATAGGATTTGCAATAGTTGCACATAGCTGACCTGGTAAAAGTTTACAGTTTGCTATGGAAAATGGATAATTTACAGATGATTTACCTATTAAACTAGTGACTTTCCATAGCTATCTCAGTTTGCCAGTGCACAAGATTTTTGCACCAAGACGACATGTGTTTATGACAATTATCAGAATCTGGATGCAATTGATCAGAACCTGCAGAATCTTGCGCAACCGGCTCATGGTTGGTGCTACCTGGTTTGGGATAATTGTTAACTGAAAGAAGCAAGGGGGATACTATCCCATTATTCATGACCATAATCAACAACCATTATGAGGACCATTCTGAATTCTGACAATCAATAATCATGAGAGCAATATGAATAGCCAACTACTTTACTATACTGTGTTGGGTTGTTATAATGTCATTTGTTGTTTTTTATAGTTCTTGTGATGTGCCGCCGTTGTTCGCAGCTTAGGATTTCAGAAATGAAGGAGAAGGAGATTCTGTACGTGTCACCCGGGCGAGTTTGAATGAGTCAACCTTGGCCCATTGATTGTGGTTGTTGTGTGGGATAGAACACCTTTATGGAGGTTTCGTAGAATCTTGCTCAACCTTGGTTAGATACTTTAGTAAACTTTAGTACTTGATGTTTCTTGCTATCAATGGTAAAATTTGTATTAACCAACAAAACATTAGATTTGTTGACAGGTATCTAAGATTCAACATGAAATGGGGGGTTACCCCGAAATCATTCATTTTAATTGGATTGTCAATTATAAACCATCCAGCTATTGGGGTACTACCATGACTTAGGAAACCTCCTTACAAGCCTACATGAATCTGTGCTGGGATTATCATTGAAGGCCAGCGTCATGTGTTTGTGCTTGCATGTGCCCAGCTGTTTCTGGTACAACAAAACGTGTTTTTCTTGGTTCTCTGCCTACCATTGGCAATCATGCTAGCTTGATGTTTTCAAGGAACATTCCGAATATGAATATTCCATCTAGTTCAAACGCATCCGCATGTTTGCCCCCAAGGACATTGACACAGACGTGACAGATCTTTGTTTTTTCATACATCAATAGTTTGAACAAAAACTCATAACATATATATATATAAATAAATATAACTATATATACATATATATATATGGTATGTAGTTGTCACTTCTTTTTCTCTGCTCTTCCGGAGAGCCATCCTTGCTACGGATCTCCCTGCTGCTTGGGTCCAGGAGATGTGAGGTCAACTGACTGGTGACCCTCTGGTTATGACTAACAGTTCGCCATGGAAAATCACCATGCTATTAAGAACGGTAAACCATCTATTTCTATGGGCCATCTATACCATGGTTATGTTAGTCATAACCAGAGGGTATCATATTCACAAAATCGATGGTTTATTTCCTGGAAAATCTTAGTAAAATTGATGATTTGGAGGTATCCCGGAATCTTAGGAAACCTACATATGTCAACTTCCAACAATAGATAGGTAAGTTTGTTCATGACTCCAATAACTAGGATTTGTTTGTTGCATATATCTTCGGTGGCTGAAGGTTTTTTTTTAAGACTGGTGAGGCCCATATGGACTCACATTATTTGGTTCGTTTCTCTGGCTGCGATGTAGCTCCATTAAATTCTCCATGATATTCCCATGAATGTTTCAGATATTCCATGATGTTTCCAGTATATCAATGGGAATTTCAGGATCCTAAAATGGAGGTACTGTACCATATAAGGCCATATTTTGTGGGGATATTCCCTTACATAGCCCTGACATAGGTCTTATATATGGTAGGTACCTTCAATTTAGGTTCCTGAGATGGCCAGTGGGTATACCCCTATCTTTAAATCACCAGCATATCACCATTATGGCGGGTAACATGTTGTTCTCAAGCACTATAAATCATAGACAAATTATAGACGGTTTTATCAGCCATAATGTTGGTCAAAACCGTTATAGATAATTATATTCCCATCATATATACACTATAGCAACCCTCACGAAGATAGAGAAGTTGAACGCTTGGCTATATTAGCTAATTACATGTAATTACAATATATATATACATCCCATGCTGGAGGACGTGGAAACACATTTTATGAAATTTAACTATTATACATTTATATATATATACTATATTCTGTATATATATATATATTTATATATACATTATATTTATATATATATGTATTAAGATATTAATATTATATTTATTATATATATTAGGCTTCGGTGCATTTTCCGGTCCCCAAGGATATTATGAGTAGGGTTGGTTATCATCATTGTTTAATTTAAATGGAAAACGCACTGAGCCCATGTGTATGCCAGTATGTGGTGTATCATGATATGATGTCTCATGTGTTTGCTTCACAGTTAGGCTTCTTTTCTCAATTTGCGTTCATGTCATATCACTGATGCCTCAACACAACATGTTTATAAACACACCTTTGTTTATAAACATCCTGTTTTAGATAAAAAACAAATATATATATATCCGAACTATTTTGCAGAATATTGTGTTTTTGTTTCAAAGCAAAAACATGACCGTATTTTTGCTTTTTTGTTACCAAACTGAATTGTCTCAGCTGTTTGGTGGGTTTGCTTTCAGGTCCTTGTAGTTTCTTGTTGCCTAATGTGCAAGCTTGGGTATGGACCGTATACACACAAGACTTGAATCCAACAGTTCTTCCACAATACATACCTATACATAGATAAGTATCTATATATGCATACGTGTATGGATGTATCATTGCCATTCTTATAGGCATGTTGTTTTCTACTTGTTTGACTGTAGTAAAATCATAAAAAAGGTGCACTCTGCTTTGAACATCGATCATTTGCAGTCTGAGGCATGTAATACCATAGGAGTCTTCAATGACGTCTATTTGCAAAGCTGCTGCTGTCCTTGGGGCACGATAAAACACGCAGCGCCCATATATTACTATATATATTACTATATATTTATTTATATTGTATATATATATATTTATTTATTTATTTATTATATTATATTATCTATATATATATTATATTATCATTTTTGTCCCCATGATTTGTTCATGCTTTCATGGCATGATGATGTTGGCCAGGCGACTACTGCGACGTGACGCAGGCCTTGGAAAGTTTTGTGTGGTCGCCGTGGAGGATATGGATGTGTTCGAATCAGTTTTGAACCTATGTTTTATATTGGTTTATTGTGGCGCGCAGTGGCATCTCAACCTTTTTCCCTGACAAAACATGCCCGCCTCCTCCTCCGCCTCCTCCTCCTCGACTAGCTGTCCTCCTCGCCCTCCTCCTCGCCTCCGCCTCTTCCACCTCCACTTCCGCCTTGCCAACCTTGCCAACTCGTCGCCAAGCTTTTCGCCAACTTCCCAGCTCAGTGCGCACTGCTGGACGTCAACCTGCGAGCTGCCCAGCTCAGTTTGCACCGCTGGACCTCAACCTGCGAGCTGCCCAGCTCAGTGTGCACCGCTGGACCTCAACCTGCGGAATGCCCAGCTCAGTGTGCACCGCTGGACCTCAACCGGGGAGCTGCCCAGCTCAGTGTGCACCGCTGGACCTCAACAGCCAGATAGAATGCCAGAAGATATGCCAGATAGAATGTCAGATGGAATGCCAGAAGATATGCCAGATAGAATGTCAGATGGAATGCCAGAAGATATGCCAGATCCAATGCCATGAGATATGCCAGATAGGATGTCAGAAGATATGCCAGAAGATATGCCAGGTAGAATGCCAGATAGGATGTCAGAAGATATGCCAGAAGATATGCCAGATAAAATGCCAGAAGATATGCCAGATAGAATGCCAGAAGATATGCCAGATAGAATGCCAGAAGGTATGCCAGATAGAATGTCAGATAGAATGCCAGAAGGTATGCCAGATAAAGTGCCAGAATGTTTGCCAGATAGAATGCCAGAAAATTTGCCAGATAGAATGTCAGAAGATATGCCAGATAGAGTGCCAGAAGGTATGCCAGAACATTTGCCAGAAGATATGCCAGGTAGAATGCCAGAAGATATGCCAGATAGAATGCCAGAAGATACGCCAGATAAAATGCCAGAAGATATGCCAGGTACAATGCCAGAAGATATGCCAGATAGAATGCCAGAAGATATGCCAGATAGAATGCCAGAAGATATGGCAGATAGAATGCCAGAAGATATGTCAGATAGAATGCCAGAAGATATGCCAGATAGAATGCCAGAAGATTTGCCAGATAGAATGCCAGAAGATATGTCAGATAGAATGCCAGAAGGTATGCCAGTAAGAAAATGTATAAATGTCATGGTGGGGATCACACGAAGTAGAGTAATTTAACATATCTATTGAAAATGGCTGTTTATGTTTGATTCCCCACCTGCCAGGTGAGGGTTGTTTAGATTTTATCACAGTTGTTCTTCTCCTCCTCGGCTAGCTGTCCTCCTCCTTCTCCTCCTCCTCCGCCTCCTCCTCTACTTGCTTTTGCTTAGCGGAATTTTAGAATTTTTTTTGGACTATTTTTTGTGTAAAAATGTTTGCTTTTTTTGTTTGTAAATTTCTAATTTTCTTTTCTCGTTTGCTCTCAGCAAAGTTATATTCTGCATCAAAACCAGCGACCCCGTAAACCCGCCATTGCGTTTTAGTTTGCTGGATAACTTGGAAACAGCTGTCAATCTGTGATTTCCAGTCGGGAAATGACCATTGAACTCTTAATGTTTGGAAGCGTTAGGTTCAACCCAGCAGCTATGTCACCAATGTAATTTGTGTTTTTCTCGTGGGTCTCCTTTCTGAAACACGTTTCAAGGCAGAAAAGTTATTAGGGATAGCACATGCGCTATTTTCTTTTCTCGTGGCGTTGGGCTCTGAACTGCTGCAGTTCCTGTCCTTGTCCGCGGATGGCGTTTGGCTGTTCCGGCCAAAGCCACATTCAGCGCCATGCAGTCTTTGGCTGATCCGGCCAAGGCTGCATGCGCTGGGTCTGGCGATGGCAAGTCCAAATGGATGCGGCTGTCAAGCAAATGGACAGCTGAATTTCTTTTGGATCCTGCATGCCCAGAGGCTGGGTCATGGTTACAGGCAGCCATGGGGGATTGGCTGCAAAGCTTGAGGATGAACGTGAAAGTTTTCTCGCCCTTGTTTCCAAAACTCGCACTAAGTTACTGAAAGCATTTCCGCTGCATGAAGTGCCAGACAGAGTGGAAAATTGCAGAAATGCGTTCTTTTGGCAGCACTTGCATGGCACCGGCGTTGCCAAATGTTTGCAGGACCTGGAGATAGCCTTGGACATTTTGACGGCAATCAACTTGACAGACTTAGATGCAGCCCCAGACCGTCGCATTGTCACAGGGCTGCCGCTGCGAATGCAAGGCGTTAAACGCGGTCTCACCAACAATACCAAGCAAGAGTTTCTTCATGCTGAAGAGCTCATGGCACTTTTCGTGCAAGTGAGCCAAGCAGGGGTACACTTGGACATGGGCACCTGGTTTGATTTTTTTTTCGTGGCCGTGCACGAAGGCCGTGTGGATGTTAATCTTCGCACTGGGGAATTTCATGTGGACTTTGGCAAGTCGAACATCAGCTGCTCCGGCTGAGTTCGGATCGCCAATCCTGGCAGAAGCGTGACAGGCTGCTCCGGCCTGCGCGCTTGGAAGTCTTAGTTTTACTTAGGCAGCAATGACGAACGCAACAGGCTGATCCGGCCTGGGCGCTTGGGAGCCTCATTTTTTTGTATGGTAGCAAATGTTTGCACAGCGGCGGCCTTGCAGAAGCCAGCTGCTCGTCGAGCTCGAAATCCATGACAGCAAAACAAGACGAAAGACTCTTAGGAGCCTCTCCGCTGCCCCTGACAAGCTCCTAAGGAGAGGGCGATTTGACCTCTCCTTAGGAGCATCGCCGTCGTTGGCGATGCTCCTAAGGAGAGGACGCGGAGAGGACGAAACTGAAATTCCGTTAAGCGATCATGCAAAACATACCATTGTCCTCTCCGTGTCCTCTCCTTAGGAGCATCGCCGTCGTTAGCGATGCTCCTAAGGAGAGGACGATTTGACCTCTCCTTAGGAGCTTCCAAATACTCGTTCGTCGTCGCTTTTGGCTCCAGTTGTTTTAGTGGTATTTCTGACCCGGCCGTTCCCTGCCTCGGACACGAGAGCCATTGGCTGCTCCGGCCAAGGCTCTCTCCAAAAACTTCTTGCCCAGGCTCTCGGACGAATGGACATTGAAATGGTCTCAGAAAAAGGACCTCTATGGTAAGAAGCACCTCATCTCTGTGGGAGGCAAAATAGAAGGATGGACGAATATGGACGACGAGCCCAAGGTCAATGACCGTGCGAAGGACGCGCCAGAGCCAGTGTGCTTCTTCAGCCCTCACATTGAGCTGATGGAAGAGCTGTTGCACACATTCTTCGGGAAGATGGATGTGGATCTGAGGGCAGCAGATGGCAAACTAGCTTTTGCTTGTTTGCAGAACAGAGTGGCCTACCTTGGTGTCACCTACAACGAGGTCCACAGCAAGCTGTTGGAGGGACTTGACCTGATGCAAACCAGCATGGCAGACCCGTCGAGCCCTTTGTTCAACAACAACTATGCGCAAGCCATTGGCGTCGTGACCCACACTCCGACTCCGAAGCCGAAGCCAGGCCCAAAAGCAAATGACAGAAACCAAAAAAAGGAAAGCAAATGCGTCTGGGAAGCCGAAGCCCAAGCCGAAAGCCACGGCGACTGAGGAGCCTCCGCCTAAAAAAATATAAAAACAAACCAGGATGGCAATGGCGATGACAACGATGAAGGAGACGAAGAGGAGGATGACGTTTGGGACCCGCTGGTTGCCGCCTAGCTTGTACGACTTGTGTGTGTGACAGGAACTAGCTGCTCCGGCTAGTCCTGTTCATGCACTGGCAAAGCAAGTCGAAAATTTTGAAATTTCGACAGCTCAGCAAGCAGACGGCAGGTCTGGCTGCTCCGGCCGGCCTGCCACATGCAATGTGCTGGCATTTTTGGGACGTTAGGGATCAGATTTAGCTGCTCTGCCTAAAATGAAACGCGTGCAGCCTCAATGGTTCCAATGCTTCAAGATTCAGAAACATATTTCCTTTCCTCGTTCCCCGAAGGAACATTTCTCGTTGAAACCATGCAAAGTTATTTTGGTGTTTTTTCCGTACATGGATTTACCGGTTGCATCCCACCTTGCAAGTTTCGTCTGAAGCTTCTTTGTTTATCAGGTCAGAAAACGAAGTCTAATGGGATTGAAACCTCATTTCTTATAGGAGATATATGATGGTTCGGCATGCGTCTGCACAGTGGTAGGAAACATGGTTCTATTGTATACATGGTTTTCTCGTTTACTTCTTTCAAAGTTATTTTTGATTCTCGTTTTTAGCTGCCCCTGCCACTCCCCTGACTTTGAAGAAAAACAAGGCCCAAAAAAAATCTAAAATTCCGCTAAGCAAAAGTAAGTCTAGTTTCTCCTCGACCATGTCTGCATCAACTTCCACCTCCACTTCCGCCTTGCCAACTCTTCGCCAAGCTCTTTGCCAACTCTCTTCGCCAAGCTCTTTGCCAACTTCCCAGCTCAGTGTGCACCCCAGGACCTCAACCTGGGACCTTCCCAGCTCAGTGCGCACTGCTGGATCTGCTGGACCTCAACCTAGGACCTTCCCAGCTCAGTGTGCACTGCTGGACCTCAACCTGGGACCTTCCCAGCTCAGTGTGCACCGCTGGAACTCAACCTGGGACCTTCCCAGCTCAGTGTGCACCGCTGGACCTCAACCTGGGACCTTCCCAGCTCAGTGTGCACCGCTGGACTTCAACGGCCAGATAGAATGCCAGAAGATATGCCAGATAAAATATCAGAAGATATGCCAGATAGAATGCCAGAAGATATGCCAGATAGAATGGCAGAAGGTATGCCAAATAGAATGTCAGATACAATGCCAAAAGGTATGCCAGATAAAGTGCCAGAATGTTTGCCAGATAGAATGCCAGAAAAATTGCCGGATAGAATGCCAGATAGGATGTCAGAAGATATGCCAGAAGATATGCCAGATAAAATGCCAGAAGATATGCCAGATAGAATGCCAGAAGATATGCCAGATAGAATGCCAGAAGATATGCCAGATAGAATGCCAGAAGGTATGCCAGAGAGAATGCCAGATAAAATGTCAGATAGAATGCCAGAAGATATGCCAGATAGAATGCCAGAAGAATGTCAGATAGAATGCCAGAAGAATGCCAGATAGAATGCCAGAAGAATGTCAGATAGAATGCCATAAGATATGCCAGATAGAATGCCAGAAGATTTGCCAGATAGAATGCCAGAAGATTTGCCAGATAGAATGCCAGAAGATTTGCCAGAAGATATGCCAGAACATATGCCAGAAGATATGCCAGATAGAATGCCAGATAGAATGCCAGAAGATATGCCAGATAAATGCCAGAATGTTTGCCAGATAGAATGCCAGAAGATTTGCCAGATATGCCAGAAGATATGCCAGATAGAATGCCAGATAGAATGCCGGAAGATATGCCAGAACATATGCCAGGTAGAATGCCAGAAGATATGCCAGATAGAATGCCAGAAGGTATGCCAGATAAAGTGCCAGAATGTTTGCCAGATAGAATGCCAGAAAAATTGCCGGATAGAATGCCAGATAGGATGTCAGAAGATATGCCAGAAGATATGCCAGATAAAATGCCAGAAGATATGCCAGATAGAATGCCAGAAGATATGCCAGATAGAATGCCAGAAGGTATGCCAGATAGAATGTCAGATAGAATGCCAGAAGGTATGCCAGATAAAGTGCCAGAATGTTTGCCAGATAGAATGGCAGAAGGTATGCCAAATAGAATGCCAGATAGAATGCCAGAAGGTATGCCAGATAAAGTGCCAGAATGTTTGCCAGATAGAATGCCAGAAAATTTGCCAGATAGGATGTCAGAAGATATGCCAGAAGATATGCCAGATAGAATGCCAGAAGATTTGCCAGAACATATGCCAGAAGATATGCCAGGTAGAATGCCAGAAGATATGCCAGATAGAATGCCAGAAGATATGTCAGATAGAATGCCAGAAGGTTTGCCATTAACAAAACGTATTAAAGTCATGGTAGGGATCACTCGAAGTAAAGTAATATATATATATACCTTTTTAAGATGATGATTTTCGATAGCTATGTCAGTTTACTGGAGGATAAGCCACTGAATGGGGACTTAGTGACCAGGCTTTCTAACCACTTAAGATTCCTGATTCCTGAGAGATCATGGAATTATTTATCCTTGAATTCATCCAGTTATTTAACATAGCCATGGGATAGATGGACCATATATAGACCATTTTCCCATGGTAAATAACTAAATGGTAAATATATCAGCCTTCTGGAGCATATTGGATAACCGTGGTTTTTAAGGGATTTTCCATGGCGAACTGTTAAATAACTAGATGGTAAATAGATCAGCCTTCTGGAGCATATTGGACAACCCTGGTTTATAAGGGATTTTCCATGGTGAACTGTTAAATAACTAAATGGTAAATATATCAGCCTTCTGGAGCATATTGGATAACCCTGGTGAGTATGTAACCCATTCAATGCAGTGACTCCATGTATAAATATATGATGACCATATGGTCATTCCATGCTTATTTTGCGTAGTGACTAGTCGTGGTATCCTGCAGGGTTTAGCCTTGGATATTTTGTCTAAGCCACAAATATGAACGTTGACAATGAAGAAAAGGTTGCTTTAAACTGATTACAAAGTGGGGCCCCCGTTGACGAAATTGCCTTCAGTTGGTGCGTTTATAACTCCAATTTCACTATGGTTTATGGTACCTATAACTAAAGTGTTCATGGTGTTTATAAACCAACTTATAACTGGGGAGGCCCACATTGTATAAAGGGTTTTACTGCCGGATATATAGGGGGAATATATCCTAGTTGATGGTGGCAGTCCCTATTTACCAACCAGTATCATGGAATGAAAGAATTTTCTGAACACTGCTCATTTGGTTGCTGTAAGAAATGCAATGACACAAGAAAAATTGTACACCATCCTCAGTTGGGGGTTCTTACTTGGTATACCTTCTGGCTATTTAACATAGCAATGGAAAATGGTCCATTTACAGATGATTTAGCTGTTTTAAATTGCGATTTTCCATGGCTATGTTAGTTTACCAGAGGGTAATAGGGTTATAATACACTATAATTGGTTATAATTCGAGAGTTTTTGATGATTTACCTATCCAAAATGATGATTTTCCACAGCTACGTGAAGGACGCGTGTCAGAGCAAGCTGTCTCATTCTTTCGGGTTCCAGCTGCCGGTTCAGTGACAAGAATGGTTCTCAATCGCTATGTTAACTAATCAAACGGTACCCCTATTGAGCAACCGCACTAAGGACTAGGCTTGATGAAGTCCCGCTACGCCCAGGGTCTTCCAACATGCTTGCCTATCACCCAATATTGACCAATATCAACCAATATTCGCAAATACCACCCCATAGCACCCAATATGAAGCGTAATCACATTAATCCATTGTGTTTCATGATATTATATAAATCATTTCAAATATGTTTTTTTAATGATATCAACATATTTTGGTTTACAACTATAATTTATAGTTACCAGATATTAATCGTTTAATAAATTGTAAAATTTAGTTATTATAAACATATATTTAAACCAGATATTTAAACGGTTAACTATTAATATTAATACTATCGCGAAAATCACCAGATATTAGTGACAAAAGAACAAGTTTTAAACCCAACGGTTTGTGGATGATGCATCTGCCAGGACTTCGGCGTGATTTGTCTTTACGGCACCCTTCCAAGGCGCTTTGTTGTGGACTGGGGGTCGAAAGGATCGAAAGGTGGAGATGCCCAAAAAATCCACTGGTCATTTCGTAGTAGTGAATTCCATTGGTGAGCCATTTTCAATTATCTTCATCTATGGGATATATAATTTCCATGTAATCCAATGGTCGTTTAATAGTAGTTTTAAATGTGGTGAATTCTATTGGTTATGAACCAAAAAAACAGGTGGCGATTTCTAGTGGTTCTAAATAGTTAATGATTGTAATCGAATCATGGAATCATGGGAAAGTCACCAAAAATAGCTTGGTGAATATCATTTGGTCAAATTTGTTGGGCTGGTTGGTGGTTTGGAACATGAATTTTATTGTTCCATATGTTGGGAATTTCATCATCCCAACTGACGAACTCCATGATTTTTCATAGGGGTAGGTATACCACCAACCAGAAAATATATGGGAAAACATGGGAACAATAGATTCATAGATAATATCTGCTTGGTCGTTTTGGAATGTTTTGGAGCCATGGGAATTTTATGACTTTCCATTCAGCTTGGAATGTCACCAACCAGTTGGGGTTGATTAGGCCGAAGTCCTCAAGCCCACGGAGCCCTCTGAGGCGGAAATGGGAGTTCAAAAATCACGGCGGAAATGGGAATGGAGATTTAAACTCTGATTCATAGATGTTCAGAAGCATATGGGTTTGTCTGAAAATAGGGTATATTCCTAATTATAGCCATTTAGGGGTACATTATTTTCAGACACACCCATATTCTTATGGATTTGATGATTTCTTTACTTAAGTCTGGCCTTTTTAATCTTTTTAGATGGGACTTCCAGAATGGGAATTTGGTGAAAAACCAAGTGGGGTAAAGCCATCAAAAAGCTGAGGGCCTGTCTGCTGAAGGGTTCTTGAAACTACGGTAACGACATTTAAATATGTGGAGGGCGGGCCAGACCACGAGGCCCCGGAGGTAGTATGAAATACCAGTTCATATATTTAAATGTAGCTACCGTATGTTTAAATGAATTGGATTCCGTATGTTTAAATGGCCGGGCGGGCCAAGGAAAACCTTCCCGGAGGTAAATAAATATATATTTATATATATATGACGATAGCGGGGGAGCCCCACCTGGGGCCCTCAGTGCGGTTCTTTTGCTCTGCCAGCGGGCGCTTCGGCCAAAAGGTCCGCTATGGATGAACAACCCTTGCAAGAACCCTGGAATTCACACTCCTCTTTAAATCTTTATATAAAAGGGGCTGAAAAGCATCTAGCCGAGATGCCAGCCATTCTTTAAAGATCCTCACTTAACGCGACGAATCTCAGAGGTACCAGGAAAATAAACCCTGGGAGACGCCTTCATGGCATCATCAGTCAAAAGGAAACGCTTGAAATCTTTGGTACGGGCTGAGTTTCCATTGAACCCTTTTACCCAACCTAGATACTTGGCAAGCTCACGATCTCCTGCATCAGCGCGATTCACCAGCTCACGGTATGACATCTCCAAGTCCTTCACTTTGGGCAGATCACAAATGGTCCTTCCCCATTCCTCAAAGTGGAGACTCCTTCGGGCAACTCCGAGTTGATTGGAGCCGCAAGCTTGCGGATCGGTGAGGCCATACTCTGAGGCATCACTGGCATGGAGAGCTGAGCCACACCTGCCGACATGGATTCTTCGACAAACTCTTCTGGATCATGAAGAAACTCGAAATCATGCGAGGCAGATTCATCTGGGCAGCGACGCTTGGGAGCATCTGTCATCGCTCCAGATGCTGCACAGCCAGTCGATTCACGGCTAATCACATTCAAAAGATCCTCCAGCATTCCAGATTGCTTCAAGTCTCGAAGAAACATCAAGCCCTGATCGCGCTTGACGTCAGCACTGGTGTTCTTTGACAGCGATATCTCTTGACCACAGTTGAGATTCGAAAGACAAACAAGCGCAAAAACGATCAAAATCAAATCGAAAACCTTGAGTGTGAAAACTTGCTGAGTCATTCAACCAGTATGGACACACCACGGCGGACAACACTGGATTGTGCTCGGCACCTCGAACAAGACAAGAGTTAAGCCCACCTAGCTCTTATCACACTATGGTTATCCCGTTTAACTATAGTGATCCCACTGTCTTATTAAAGATGTTCACTTCATTTGGTTTTGCAAAGCGGAGTGGCACTGCGCGTCTTGCGTTCGTCTCGCTGTTGCTTTTTCAACCGCAGGATTGATGCTTCACAGTTCAACTGGTATTCACCAATGTCCAGCGCAGCTCTGAGCAGATCGGCAGGATCCATTTGATCCTTTGTAAGTCCATCAGCTATCATGAGTTCTGTCGGGCACCATCTCACTGATAGACGAGTGCGAGCCATGCATTGTTTCAGAATGGCCAAATCAATAGCAACACGTTTGTCTTCAACTTTTGCCGCACTTGACATTGACGTCAAATGATCAAACAGTGACTTGCAATCAGTGATTCCCACTACTGACTTGGGCTTTGGTTTCAGATTGGAGACTATTGGAGTCTTAGGCATGGCTGACACGGTTCTAAGATCGAAAGACCCTATCCTAGCTTCAGTCACCATCAAAGCCATCCACTCAGCGATGGCGCATGCAGTTGAGAAGCTCTGGGCTTCGGCTCCCAACGTTGACGACACTACCCTGGGAAGCTTATAAGATTTCCAACAGAACGGGGTCCACTTACTTGTTTCATTGCGTTCAAGGTGATTATCTACAAAACCAAGGATATATCCAGCTTGTGTTGAGTTTCCTTTGGCATTGGCAAACCCTGCATCTGAGTGCAAACATATGGCAAGATTTTCCCATGGGATATGTCTCACATGTATGGTAACATCACTGTACTGCCTGGCACGGTGGACCAACTGGTTGGCAAACTGAAGGTCTTTCACTTTGGGTCGCGGAAAACACTGCTGACTGAGAGAGGTTTGAACACATAGATCTGGGCGTGTTTGGCCTGCTAACCAGTTTGCTGCACCATTGATTGCTCGCAAGGCTGCTACTTCTTTTTCTGAAGCAAAGGCCTCTTTGTCGCGGGCCCGTTCACGGCTCATGTTGATTGGTCTAAGGTGGCGGGCATACTCGGACTGCTGATAGCTGATTTCACAGCTTTGAGGATTCTGAGCGTAGTGGACACCGCAAAATTCTCCACTGCCGACCCTCCACTTCCTGTATGGAAACCTGGCTCGTCCACTTTTTGGACACCAAAACCTGCAGGATTAGTGCCCGGGCCAGCTGACTCAAAGTGGGGCTGTGGCACAAGCCGCTCGTGATCTTTTCTCGAAAATCGGGATCAAGATGGCCTTGCAAACACCATCTGGCTTTGATTCTGGTTGATTGATCTTCAGACTTCTCAACAATCACGAACCGACTGCCAACAAAACGGTTGCGATGTTTGTTCAAAATCTGTTGCGCCTTGGCTCCAGTCCAGACTCTCACTGCTGGCTTCTCGGAGAGAGTCTGCCACTCGGCCCGTTTGGCCTCATCTACTTTCGACTGCAGTGCTGGGTCATTGCCACTTGGAGGGATTTCTTTCTGCATCCGTTTCTGCAGAAAGGCTGACATGAGAACTTCAAACGATGGGATCTCATTGCACGGCACGCAGGAGAGGACATCATGACAAAACAGTGCTTCCGTTTCGGAGTTCCTAGGACGGCTGTTTTCATGACCTACAGCTTCAGCACTTGCTTCACGTTTGCAACTAGTACCCCTTGGACTAGTCATGGTCTCATCACTAACCCCTTGGTTACTGGCTTCATTGGTTAGATCCTCTATGGCTATCTCGGTTAACAGCTCTGACAAGTCTTCATGACGCATTTCAGGTGGTCTGTACACTACGTTATCTGGCTGTTTACCTGTACATCTTCTTCTCACAGGGCCATAGGTTGAGCTAGAGGAAGCTATCTCTGGTCCTTCCACATGGATTCCTCCCGGCGTGACATCAGCAGCCCTATTGGCTGATGGGAGAACCTGTTCGGGCTCTTGGACTTCGCGAGACTGATGGAACAGCTCAGCAGCAGATCGTGCTCCTTCTGGTGCGCCAGGTGATGGCAAGGCTTCAGGCTGAGGAGGAAGCTCTTCAGCAACAACATCAGTGAATTGACTCTTGGGAAACTGTCCACGTTCAAGGAGGTTTCTAATTCCTAGCAACTCATTGTCAGGAAACTCTGCAACAGTTCGTTCCTCGATTGAAGCATGCCTCAGTTGTTCAGGAGCGCATCTCAGCAGTTGACGCCGGTGTGCAACTGTGAGGTTTCGGCCAATTCTGCCTAGTACCATTGCCGCTCCATGCCACTTTCCACCACGTTCCAAGACACCTGACTGCCACTTTTGAGATCTCCAGTAAAAAAACACCCAGTCCCCTGATTGAAAGTCAACCTGTGTTCGGGGTCTTGCTTTCAAGGCAGCACGGAGGGCTTGGTCGTCTTGGCATGAGAGCACAGCTTTGCGTGCTGCTTGTCGGATGGCATGCGTCTGGCCAAAATGGTCATCAGTCTCGACTGCATCCGAGGCTGCAACATGAGGTTCTTCTTGTAACAAGTCTTGAGGAATCCTAGGATGGATTTCTACCAAACACAAGTTGACAAGGACTGGCACCTGACTGCGAAATCAAACTATTCTTGGCCATTTGGGTTTGAGCAACACAGTCGGCAAACTGTTCAGTATTGGTCGGATGAACCTCTGAGCAAACTCGATCAAAAATACAAGAAAACCATTGGCCATGACGTTCAACTTTTCCCAATTGCCAGCGCGCATCTGCAGCAATTTGATGCATGGTTATTCCAGAGTCGTCACAAAAATCACTCATGGCCTCACTGATGTTTGGCTTGGCTGAATCTGTGGTCAAATGAACTGGTGGTCCAGCCCATGACATCCATTGATCACGTAAGGTCTTTTTCAAAACCTCAGCACTTTCCTTGACATAGATTGGCACCATTACCTGCATTGATGTTCCGTAATCAACAATATTGACGCATGGGACTCTCTGATTTGCACGCCAACCTTGAAGATATTTAACATCCATTCCTATGTGGTGATTAAACTGAAAGGAATGAGGAACATTTGCTGGAAGGGCACTCTTCGGCTGCTGGTGATTTTGGCATACGGTGCACTGCAATTGGCCAGCCAACTGGATGGCACGATCGGATGCTCGACTGTGTCGAAGGATCCTACACATGTCCTGAGTGGAGGGGTGACCTAAATTTCGGTGCAACTTGGCCAGTGTGGCTTTGATTTTGGCATCATCTTCACTATTGGATTCTTGGGCAGGTGATCCTTCGGCATCAGGAGCACGGCCGCTCGAATCATCTGCATCCACTGCAAGGCATTCCATGTGGCATTCATGCAAATTGACAGCTGTGGCATGGTGGTCATGTTGTCCTACCCTAAACGCTCGGAGCATTGTCTTCACAAACTTTGGAGTATATGTGGCAACAAAACTACTGACACGCTGACCTCCATGCAATTGACCCTCAATGGGACGGTGCTCGTGATTCTTGGGACACCTGCACATGTGCTCCAGACGATCTGGAACCTGACGATTGGATACCATGAGGCCAGTTCCCTTTTGGAAAAACAAACCGGTGTCCGGGCACTTCAGATCAAA